TGATTTTGAAAATTTTTTTTAGTCAATTTGAAGCAAGTTGAAAACAGACCTTTTTGACCTTTTTTGACCTTGAGAAGGTCATTGAAGGTCAAATGTCAAATCTTAAGTCAGATTTGAATTTCTGAGAACACGAAGATGATTTTGAAAAAAAAATTTAGTCAATTTGAAGCAAGTTGAAAACAGACCTTTTTGACCTTTTTTGACCTTGAGAAGGTCATTGAAGGTCAAATGTCAAATCTTAAGTCAGATTTGAATTTCTGAGAACACGAAGATGATTTTGAAAAAAAAATTTAGTCAATTTGAAGCAAGTTGAAAACAGACCTTTTTGACCTTGAGAAGGTCATTGAAGGTCAAATGTCAAATCTAAAGTCAGATTTGAAGGTCAAATGTCAAATCTAAAGTCAAATCTAAAGTCAGATTTGAATTTCTGAGAACATGTAGATGATTTTGAAAAAAAATTTAGTCAATGTGAAGCAAGTTGAAAAAAGACCTTTTTGACCTTGAGAAGGTCATTGAAGGTCAAATGTCAAATCTAAAGTCAGATTTGAACTTCTGAGAACATGTAGATGATTTAGAAAAAAATTGAAGTCAATCTAAACAGTATTTGTTATGTTTTGGAAGTTGTAAGAAATTGTTACAGACGCCGGACGCCAACCGCCAGACGCCGGACGCCAACCACCAACCGCCGGACGCCGTCGCAAAAAAACGGAGACCATAACAATATGTCACCACTTTTGGTGGTGACATAAAAAAAGCATGATAACAAGACAAATATTTATAATCAGAAAAAATAACATAATTTCTTTCTAAAATGTTGAAAAACTTTAAACGGACAGCAAAACAGTATCGACGGACAACTAGCATCAGTCTATATTGAAATCAATCTTTTAGCAGAGGGATCAGTTTACTGGTTTATGGGATATTAATATCGGGAGATGTTGTTTTAGTTTGCCTTTTAAGCAATTGATCATGTAATGATTGTTTAATATGGGGCAGTAAAATATAAATGAGTTCAGGACCTTCCCACATTGACGATCAAATCTAAGAGAAAATACCATGAAGGTCATAACAATAAAACATTTGTATGTTTTATGGCATTAGGATGATTCAGATTACCCTTATGAAGAGTCAGACTTCATCTTCCCTCTTAAAATATGAAATCATTTTTAGTATTGATCTTAACTTGAACCCCACTAGGACCAGCCAAAAAAAAGTTATTAGGAATGGGTGGTGTTCACATTTGAAGTTTTTTGACATGGAACTTGAATGCAGATTAAAAAAATGGTACTGAAAAAGTTCACAATTAGAGGTGTTCAGATTCGAGAGGTATTGGGATAAATGGATTTTGCTTTACATGTAATCAGATATGCAGTGAGAGAATCTTCGCCTAACATTCTCTCCCTGTATTTAAAGCTTTCATAAATTTCACATTCCAATACCCATGAAAGGCCATGAGAACTGCATATCAGTTAGCACCAAATACTATGAATCACAAGTCGAGATCAGAGGATAGAGTGGCTAATTGATCTAGATAAAGGGTACATTCAGACATGGTACATTTTCAAGCATCAATTTTAGAAAAGTTTAGCAATATTTCAAACTTCAAAATCTGAAAATATTACAATTTGTTTGTCACTGTGGTAATAAAGGATAAGAAGTTGATCAAAAATTGATCTATTTGTACTTTGTCAGATTCATGGTTTGAAAATTTCCATCAAATTTTTATCCAGAGCTTCTTGAGTCATTAATAAATTATATTCTAAGCTTTTTAGCTATGAGAATTTCCCCTGAGGTCTAAACTCCGCTGTAAATCCCAAACCTTGTTTGATAAATTCCTCTTAAAAATTTGAATAAAGTGTCTAAATTTCTGGCATCTCTGTACCATTTTGGAAATCAATTACATGATTGTCTGGTTTATTTCTTCCAGATTCAACTCTTTTCAACTCTAATTCATCTTTTAAAATGTGACCGTTGTGAATTTCATTCCCTGGGAATGTTTGAATCATAATTTCAAGAGAAATCAAGTTATACAGCACTTAGTCGGGTCTGATTAGATTTCCATGTTCAACCTGTAGTATCTACAATTAGTGTATCAGCCTTAATACACTCAGTGAGATCATGAGTTTGCTTTAATCTAATAGTGTAGAAAAATGTCATAGAAATCGTGGTTTCTACATACAGGAAGTGTCGAAAATTTAGACTGTAAATCATGGGGTTAATTATTGAAACATTTTAGTTTTAGGCAACAGTTAACTGTGGTGGTGCTTATACTTTATGAAGTTTCTGTTAATGGCCCCCTGGTTAATAAAAAATGGTGGTTATAATATCAATACATGTACAACACCACTTCTTGATGGCTTAAAACTTTAACATGGGTTCAATTCTTGAAACAGGAAGTTACAGATTCAGATGTTCATCCATAAAATGTCATAACAGGCATCTGTAACCTTAGAATGTTTGGGGAAATTTTCATCTGGTCTGGTTAATTTTATTTCTGACTATCAGACGATTCAGTTCTTAAATTTTCTCACAAAAAACAAAATGTGCAACCAAGACTTACCTGGTTGCAATTGAAAAATGGTAACCATTTCTTATAGACATTGTTACTGAGAGTCATTAACATAAACTTCCTAAAGTTACTTTATAAATCAACCAGAACAACAGCAACGCCAAAGCGTAGCGAATCCCATCAAACAGAAATTGCTGGCATTTTACAAACAAAATATATAGCAAATATTGTAAAATAACACACATAAGAAAGGTCACCATTTTCAAAATGGTTGCTCACTAGCCAAGTTGTCATCAGAATGAGTAATATGCTTTTAAGTAGCCACATATAAAATTTTTAAAAAATCACCCACGCATACATGTAAATGCTGGCCATTTTTAAAATGGCCGCCTACTACCCAAAATGTCATAAGACAGTATGAGTATTCACTTACCAAATATGAACAAAATCGCTCCACTACTTTTTGACTTACAGTAAAAAATGTTAAATAACACACATAAAAATAGCGGCCATTTTGAAAATGGCCGCCTACCACCAAAAATGTCGTCAGACATTGTGCCATGCTTAAAGTATTCACATACCAAATATGAACAAAATCGCTCCACTATTTTTCAAGTTACAGCAAAAATTGTAAATCGACGTGCAAAGGCAGCCTTTTTCAAAATGGCTGCCATGTATTTCTTCTGTATTTACATTTCTAGCTTAATCAATGTCCTATATAACTTTTTTACATTTAAAACATATTCCTATTACAGTTTTAGATGCAGTACCTAAATAACTGTAAAATCGGCACTAAAATGGCCGCCATTTTTAAATACCCCCATTGCGTATATGTGTACAAAATATGAACAAAATCGGGCCAACGGTATTTGAGTTATTGCCCCGCCGGACGGATGGACGGACGGACGGATGTCCGGACGGACAGACAGACAGATGGACGGAGGAGTTCCCTATATCCCTCTGAACTTCGTTCGATGGGATAATTATTACCAATGGATATATTGACATCAGTTCAAAAAAATAGGACCCACAGTCCTGTGCTCACACAGTTTGGAACCTTCAGAGGAATGTATATCCTGACTTTCAAACAAAAATATTGATTTGAATTTGTAGTCTCGAACTTTGAGAAACTTAGACAGCACAGTTGTGTGACCTAGTTTGATGACCTTTGACCTTGAAAATTTTACTTATTTAGAGCTCAGTAAGGTCTTTTGTGATTAAGCTGACCAAAATTTACATCCAAAAATCAATTTGAAAAATCAACTTTTTTGACCTTTCAAAGGTCACTAAAGGTCAAGTAAAGGTCAAATCCTAAAACAAATGTCAGATTTGAACTCCTGGTAACTTGTAGATTATTTTCAAAAAAGGATTTGGTCAAATTGAAGCAAGTTGAAAAATAACTTATTTTTACTGTTTTTTGACGTCAAATATCTCAAAAACGGTAAAAATTTGATGCTGACATATATTAAGCAATATGTAGGGAATGCTTAAATCTAGTTATGATGTAATTCATTGCAAGAAATGATCAAGTATAAGGCAAACTTTGAGAAACTTGTCAATCAAAACCTGCCATTGACTTTATACATAAGTTTCCTGAAAATGACAAAGTCCTACTTTTTGTCAAATTTTATAGAATAAACACCAAAAACTGTAATTAAATTCCAAGAGCTTTGAAATCTTCAGAGGACATAAGTTGCATATACAGCAACTACTACAAGTTATTTGAAAGTTCTACTTCAACAAAGTGTCTAGTATTTACAGAAAATTTCTAGGAAACCGGGCAAACTTGGGAAATGGCGATGATAGGTCAAATAGGCATTATGGATATGCATTAAATGACTGTGGATACGACTCAATCCGAATAGCAGTTTTAATTTGTCCGGACGGACGGACCAACGGACGGACAGACGGACGGACGGATGGACATCTTGTAATATATAGATACACTGTCCCACATGTTTTGTTAAAGAGCAACTGAAGCATACAATCTTTCCACAAAGATAAATTCAGACCAACATTTGGATATCTACATCATATAGGTAGATTATAATTGATTTTATTTATTTGTCAGACGGACCAACGGACGCCTGGTCGATCCCATAGGCTCACTGTGTGAGCCAAAAACAATGGACTTAAGATTTTTCATAACTTCACCTCCTTTGTAATAACTTAACCTCAAGTCATGTCACAACTTGACCCCCAAATCTGTCACAACTTGACCTCCAGATATGTCACAACTTGACCTCCAGATTTGTCACAACTTGACCTCCAGATTTGTCACTAATTGACCTCTAGATTTATCACTAATTGTCCTCTAGATTTGTGACTTCTTATAATAGTTTTAAATTTGCCACACCTCAAAAATAATATTGATGACCTTGCAAGATTTTCTTGACTAGATTTAAATTGTGGTTTGATTGTAATTTTAATTGTAATTTTAGTTGTCTGCCCAATTCAGAATACTCGCACGGTATATATATATAGAGTTAATTTCTCCATTATTCCACTCTATTTCATACTCCGAAACATGAGAACTCTGACTTTTTATGTCTGGGTAGCTTTAACTAAGTGTCCCTGCAAAAATAAAGCAATATCATTTAAGAGCACTTCATAAAGCGAACAATCTGATTTCAAAGTAGAATAATGTTGTTCATTAACACATAGCCAACTCAAGAGTCCTTCAATTATGCTACATTTATTAAATTATCCATCAAAAACCAAATTCTCAAACTTAAAATCGAATTCATTTTCTCCTTCACCAAAATTAAGACCACTTGAATAGAAAATGTAATTTACGGAATTTACATTGGATTTTCCGACTAAGGAAACATAACTGAATTGTTCACTTTTTTATGCCATTTGCGTACAATTTACTGAGTTAGGAAAATCAAAGATTTGCACAGGAACCTAGTCAGTCTAATGTATTTATCGGGATCTCTTTTGAAATAACTTTATAATGAAATTGGCTATAAAATGTGCAATTCTACTGTATTGTATGCAGTTTCTAGCCAGACTAACGCTGTTTTTATCCATTGCATTAAGTCACAAACTGAATTATCCGTGAACTTTTGATGAAGAACCTTATTATCAAAGTTCCATGCATCTTTTATTAATATTGTATAAAAGTCTAACGATATCTATACTTTTCCTATTTATTGTTAGTTTTTTTCCGAAACATATTTTTGTTTACATGTAGTTCTTTTATCTGAAATTCTAAATCAAAACATGCTGAAAATTTACATAATATACATTAATATGTATTTTTGCGACTGAAAATTGTTTTGAACGCACCATATTATATGGGCATGTTTTCCATTTCAAGACCATTGTTTGAAATACATACATTTCTGCAAGCGATGGTTTACCCACATAATTCATGATTTTTTCAGCCTCAATTTGGGTATACAGGTTTTACTGTAATATGCACAATAGTTAGTTGTTGAATTGTCCTAAATTGTCGTAAATTGTCGTAAATTGTCCATCTGACCACATGAGGTAGAATAAAAGTACATGATATATTGAGTAATGGGTTATCCACATAAAGTAAAATATATTCTCATTATATCGCACAGCCTCCAAGTCCATAATATGCACTTTATGAGGTTTTATATGTCTATTTCAGGTCAGATATACGGACATTACGACGCACAGCATTGGAAAATCCTTCTTTGAAACAATACCAGATATCTCCACCAATCAGATTCTTCTTTTCTAAAAATACACAAAAATCATTTTTAAGTAAAAATTTCTGACATATTTTTAAGAAGAATATTAAACAAGAATTGATTCATGTGGTGCACGCCCACCCCCGCCCATTATTACGAGATGGCGACAATATGGCACCTTTTTAAAGTGCAATTAAAAAATGATTGAAAATGCAAAACAAAACAATGCAATTACAAAATAATTTAATGCAATACAATGCTAGATTATCATACATTTTTTTACATCAAACAAAAAAGATTTACTAATACTGAAAATCAATCCCAAAAAACCATATTCATATTATATAATACTATAAGATTGTACTGAGGAATAGATTTTTGGGTGAAAACCCCCACAGCAGGAAAGGCTTTCCTTGCACTTTTGCTAATTAGAATAATATCACAATAAACAAGATGATAAGGGATCTCATTTACAAAATATAGCCTTTTCCAAAACTAAATTTTTAAAATGGCCAACTTTTTTCAAACAGTAATGAGTTCTTTTCATATATGATGGATGAAATAACTAGTAGTTTGGAAAGAGTTTTCAGAATTATTTGTTGCTCCCCCCTCTCCCCTGCCCTTTGTGAATTTTCAGATCTACCCTTGCAATGAACAATGATTGAAATGAAAAACAGAGGGAATTACCAAAGGATAAAAAACATGCAGACATAAACATATATAGTTACTACCTTAAAGCATACGAAAATGCAAGAAAAATGGCTTTTGTTCAAGTTCTAGATTTCATTATGCCGAAACGAGTATGAGCTGAGAAATTTTAGAAAGGGGCAGTGTTCTTTCTGGCGAATGATTTCTAAAGGCGGTTTCTGGTATTTTATGTATTATTCGATCAGTGCGTTCTTAATCTAGTTACGACTAAAGATTATCTGAAAATAATTACTTTCTAACTTAATTTCAAGATAATTATAACTTTTATTGAATTATATAATGAAGATGGTCGACAAAAAATCGAGATTAAAGAAGTTTAATTCATCATTCCGCCCGTGTTATATATTAATTGAATCAAATGATCAGATAATTTAATCTTGTTTCAGTGTTTTGGGCCGGTAATGTAATTTATCTAAGGTTCTGTATTGTGCCTAGAATCAGGAGTCATACCAATTGCCCAAGGGTAAAAACCTTAAATGGGTTCTTTTAAAACGTAAAATATGGTAAAAAGTAGTGGAATTTGGGAGATACATGAGTATGAAATTTAATCTCTTTTAATTGTATGGAAATATAAGATAGCCTTTGATCAAGCTGATTGGTTCATTCAAATTTTACAGAGAAGGGGCATGTTATGAGTAAGATGATAGTAATAGTTGAAATGGGTATTAGACAAAATTCATGAGAAACATGATACAGGTAAAAATTGTGTCACCTCCAATCCTCTTTAGGAAAATAAACAAACAAATGATAAGGAAAAAAATAATCAAGCAAACAATAATCAAACAAGGAATAAGCAAGCAATGAATAATCAAGCAAATAATAACAAACAAGGAATAAATAAGCAACGAATAAAGATTGTTCTTTGCATATCTTTACATATTACACACACATAAACTTGCCTGCCTCAACGCCAAAAAGTTTAAGACGATACAACATATCTAAAATGGCACTATCTACAAGGGCATTCAACAACAGATACTAATCTCAAGGCAAGAAGATGAGTCAAGTTTCACGTAATTTAATTTAGCAATCAGTCAATTAATTAATTAATGAGTTTGTAGTTCATTGAATGCCACAAAAGGTCAACTTAATGTCACAATGATGCTGACGAAGCAGGAATCAAACCCAGATGCAATATAAGGAACATGAGAATCACAAGTAACACTCACTCTTCCTCATGCCAACTAATTCACCAAATAAATCAACGAGAAATTCAAATAATCCTTCAATTTTGCTACGTAAATTCATCTTAAAATAAATCAGATTAATGTTCCTGACAAGTTTTTGGTGAATATGAACAATCGTAGCATTGCGGAGGAATCCCCAAAATATATCAAAATTAAGATTGAAAATCAGTTTTCATTTATCCAAATTTCAATCTTACCTCTGCGGGTAGATTAAGATTTAAGGAAAAATTTCATCCCCCGAGGATTCTCTGGATAACTTACTTGAAATCCCATGATGCAACTTTACAATGGAGATATTACTTTTTCGCTTGTAAGAATTCACATGCCATCTGCATTGTTCGCAAATTGAACCCATGTTACTCACGGCTAATTATTTGATCTTAAATTGTTTCAAAACAATTTAACTAAATGTTAATTAAGTGATAATAATTTTAATGTAATAATTCCAACGTAAATTGCTTGGCCTGTATTTGCTAAATTATGTCTTGTATGTCTCATCATTTCGAGACAATTTCAAAATGATGTTAATATTTGAATCAAGTACTAAGACCTCCTTAACATAAGGCCGCAAAAAGTATAATAGTTTATAAGGCATTTAAAGCATTGCTATCGCATCCCATAATGCATTACCTTCCACTTCCTGTCCAGGCAAAGGCTCTCTCTTTTTAACAACACGTCCAAAGAAATCTCTGACAATCTGAAATTAATAAACTAATTTTTAATAAACTAATTCTTAATATCATGTACATGTATACAATACATTCAATACATCATCATTCATCACTGATATCTAATGATGTATAATTTTCTGATAATATTTATGTCTGACAATGTTATTTAAGGTCCAACAAAACAAATTATGTGCTAATAAGTTGATGCCATTTATTATACAAAGCAAATTATATAAATGTACAAACAGGTTGAAAATCAAAAATTCTTGAGAACAAATATTATGATGAATGTATAACAAAAAGTTTAGAAGATAAATGTCATCAGGCCTAGACACTTTATAAAACAAAATATTAATGAAATTAGAGCCTCGAGGGTCCACTGGTTATTCGATTTTGGTGTTAGGTTTTTCTTTGTTATTAGATCTTGATCTTTGTACAATATGGAGAATGCCCTAAAGAGGAAATTTTCCATTCTCCTTTGCCTATAAACTCTAACAGGGACCAAGTTTCAAATTTTCAATGGAATTTTAACATGAAAATTAACTGGGTATATCCAAGGTTAACTTCATAATGGCTCCTTCCTAACCTGTTTTATAATTTCATTGAGGGAATTAAGACATCGTGGAAGTTTGTTGAATAAAGCTAAGAGGTGAAAAGTTAATTTGATAAACAAGTTAGCTGATCTAATATACTCGCTGTTTTTCCCTTCCTAAAAATACTAAATGGGTCATGTTTATTTCACGCTTTTTCTCAAAGTATGAATGAAATATCTCACTAATTATGTATGTTTAACAGTGCCTGCTGGGTCAACCCAAAACCTTAAACCTTTTCAGGGGTTATCTTTCATTTTGACGTATATTTTGCATCCATCTTGGAGTAGAAAAAGCAATGTGAGACCTCCTAAACTTCCTCAAACACGATCATCAGTTCTGACCATGCGAACTATGTTCCTATGGTTCTCACAATGCGAATAATGATTCTTTAGTTGCCAACCACAAGTTCCTCTCTCCCGAACATATTTCTCCAACCGCACAACAAATTCCTACATGGCGAACCATATGTGGGAACTCTGTTCCCGATTGCAGAAATATCTCCGGGATAGAGAATTGGTAGTTCGCAACAAAGAATCAATATTTACGTTGTGAGAACTGTGGTTCAGGTGCTGAAATGTAGTTCGCAAGGTTGATGATCGCGTTAGTGGAATTCTAGGAGGCCTGAATATTGCAATTACTTTTTCAAAAATCTCTGTGGGCGTATGCATAATTTTTCATGATACAACTCTCTCTCTCATATAAAATTTTTTGAATATGACAGGCATGTAATTTTATCAAAAAAATGTGCAAATGGATAGTTGTTAAAGGAGTGGTATCGATATGGAGAACTTTTTGAATACACGTTTCTCTTATACCAGTCATAAAAAAATCTAAAGATTTAACACATCTTCAATTTAATGGTCATCTTTTGAATGGTAACAATATAATTTGAAAAACATACTTTCATCTATATTGTTTTAGAAAACACATCAAACACTTGTTTTGTTTTTGGTATCATGTTTCCAGAGTGAAATGAAACATCTTTCTGAACCTCACTGGAACAAAACGACATAAACACAACATGTTTAGGTCTCTCAATATTGTAATTGTACCAAGGAAATTTTGTATGATTTTAAAAAAGTATCTTGTTAATGAAATAAAAGGTTTATCTTGATTTTTATCTATTTTGGGGGATTTTGTTTTAATTTTTTGAATACTTTTATAAAATCAACCAAAAATTCCTTTGTATAACTATAATATTGAGAGGTCTAAAAACATGTTGTATATGCTATTTTGTCCCAACAAGGTTCGGAAAGACATTTTATTTCATTCTCAAGAATTGGTACAAAGGAGCAAAAGCAATTGCACTAAAGAAACAAACAAGACACACAGTGATAAATATCGCACTTTGAAGAGCAAACTGGCCACCATGCAATTTACCCAGCATGGCCAAAACCTAATCAGACCTTGGCACTAGTCTGCTCTTGCATCTGTTAACATTTCAAGTTGACAAGGTTAGCGGTTTTCCTGCAATTTTGATGACAAGAATTTATTTGTAGTGTTGAACTTTGGGAAAATTTAGATAACATTGTTTGTGACCTAATTTGATGACTTTCGACCTTGAAAATTTAACTTTTTCAGACCTCAGTAGGTGTTTTGTAATTAAGCTGACCTAAATTTAAATCCAAAATATCAATTTAGAAAATCAACTTTTTGACCTTTTCAAGGTCACTGAAGGTGAATGAAAGGTCAAATCTTAAATCTAAGGTCAGACTTGAACTTCTGAGAACTTGTAGATGTTTTTAAAAAAAAAATTTTGTCAATTTGGAGCAAGTTGAAAAATTCAAAATGGCCGCCAAATTGAAAAATTCAAAATGGCCACCATGTAATTCAGCCAGCATACCCAAAACCTAATCAGATCTTGGCAATAGTCTGCTCTTGCATCTGTAAAAATTTCAAGTTGAACAAATAAGTGGTTTTCCTGGAATTTTGATGACAAGATTTGTTGAAAAATTCAAAATGGCCGCCACGTAGTTTGCCCAGCATGCCCTAACCTAATCAGATCTTGGCACTAGTCTGCTCTTGCATGTGTAAAAATTTCAAGTTGAACAGGTTAGCGGTTTTCTTGGAATTTTGATGACAAGAATTGATTTGTAGTCTCAAACTTTGAGAAACTTGGATAACATCATTTGTGACCTAGTTTAATGACCTTGACCTTGAAAATTTAACTTTTTCAGACCTCAGTAGGTCTTTTGTAATTAAGCTGACCTAAATTTAAATCCAAAATATCAATTTAGAAAATCAACTTTTTTGACCTTTTCAAGGTCACTGAAGGTCAACCAAAGTTCAAATCTGAAATCTAAGGTCAGATTTGAACTTCTGAGAACTTGTAGATGTTTTTAAAAAAAAAATTTGGTCAATTTGGAGCAAGTTGAAAAATTCAAAATGGCCGCCAAATTGAAAAATTCAAAATGGCCACCATGTAATTCAGCCAGCATACCCAAAACCTAATCAGATCTTGGCAATAGTCTGCTCTTGCATCTGTAAAAATTTCAAGTTGAACGGATAAGTGGTTTTCCTGGAATTTTGATGACAAGATTTGTTGAAAAAATTCAAAATGGCCGCCACGTAGTTTACCCAGCATGCCCTTAACCTAATCAGATCTTGGTACTACTCTGCTCTTGCATCTGTAAAAATTTCAAGTTGAACAGGTAAGCAGTTATCCTGGATATTTGATGACAAGATTTAGTTTATGTGCCGCCCGCACGCCCGCCCGCACGCCCGCCCGCCCAACAGCACAAGACGACGACAATATAGCACTTTTTCAAAGTGCGATAAAAATGTTAACAAAAGCAGTTATATAAAATATTTCTAAATAATTTTCGCATTAAATTGTTGTCAATCAGTCAACATTACATAAAATACCGTGTTTTTTACAGAATGTTTTCAATGATTGGTTTAAGAGGAAGACATTGCTGAATTCAGTTCTCCATATCGATACCACTCCTTTAGTAAATTCCACTTTAATTCATTGATAAGATAATTCGAAAAATGGAAGGTTGTATCTTTGGGTCAACCAAGGAAGGCAAGGATTTTCTGAAAATGGTTGAGCTAAGGCTCTATTGGCATAATGTAGTCTTTTTAGGATTACAATTTTAAGGTTAGTCCTACAATCTGCATGTCAACAAGATCTGCTCATCATATGAATACGAATTTTACATTTAATTAGAACTATTTGACAAATCAAGAAAGGAAATAACTGTAGCAGTAAATCTAAGCCAACTAAAACATTTATGCCATCTGGTTTATATATCAACTGTACCTACATGTATATTGCTACCCATTTTTTGATGAACTTGGCGTCCATTTTTAATTCATCATTGCTCATCATTAGGTCATCATATTAATTTTTAGCAGCTTGTTAAGTCAAGTAATTAAACATTTAAGAAGTTTTTGATGAACATTAAAATAAAGAGATAATAACAAAATAACATATATGGTTGCCAAATTACAGACAATCAGGTAGAAAGCAACCTACTTTTTCACCCATTGAAATAAGTACATGTAAGATTGACAAAGTTCAAATCATAATTTCTCAAATCCCACGTAGCACGTAGGACCTGATTATCCCATTGATTTACTGAGACCGCCAAAAATATAATTCAATTTTTTGGTTCAAAATTATAATCTGTCAGCGGTCCCTGACACTCCTACTTAGAGGTGTAACTCCCGAGTCAGTAACTCGAGTACAGCTCGTCAGAGCTGCCTATACATTGACTCGAGTTGTCCTCTAGAAACTCGCAATCTATGTCAACTCGCGAGCTAGCTATAACTCGAGTCAACTCGCGAGTTTCGCCTATCTTGCAAGCATGTAAAATGAATTCAGGTCCCAGAGATCGTGCAACATTACTTCATTAGTGGAATAAATATACCAATGATCGCCATATTTAGCGCCCGTCACCTAAAAACACTCTCAAAGCTTCACAAAGTTCAACAAATATCGTGGAATGAAGAGTTACACCAAAAAAATCAGAAAAAGATCGACTATCGAAGGAACTCAACGGGCGATAATAGAGTAGTCACTAAAATTGAATAAAAATGGTCCCCTTATTCTCACGTCGTTTACACGACTTTTACATAAAAAAGATGATCTATCATTAAATTAAGATCATAAGTCTTAACTTTAGATCGATAACCAGCAGTCTTTAGTATAAATAATGAAGATAATCCGGGAAAACCATTCATTAATTTGAGGGGCCCTTCTGGGTTTTCTAAAATATTGTTTGGTTAGATTCTAGCGATCTCTCGTCCTTACCGTATGTGGTGACATCTATACCAGATCGTTTTTGATTGAAATATGAGATAACTGCAATGAATACCACACTTTCTTATGGCCCCAACGTGTTCAACACCTTTTAGATGAGACTAAACCAGAGAAACTTGCCGCTTGAAGTTACAGTAATTTTTTATACCCGGGTTTACAATATGTACTGGACGAAATGAATGAACTCGAGTTTTACTCGAGTTTTGGAAATATTTGGCAAGTTGAACTCGAGTTGGATTTTTCTGGCGAGTTACACCTCTACTCCTACTAGCTACCAAACATTAATTGTTAATACATGTACACATATATGTGCCATACATCTACAAAGTAGCAAACTAGTGTTTTAAGTACTACTTTTCCTCTACCATGAACAAAACAAATGTCAAGTAGGTTGTATTGACCCTCAACAGATGAATGGTCTATTCCACTGGCTCATCTTAGGGTTCACTGGATGAACCCTCAGATATCAATATATTCCCATACCAATCTGTCAAATTTCAATGTTTTCTCATACCAACCAAAATAACACTCAAAAGCCATACCAAATTTCCAAATATAAGACCAAGGGCATTCAAATGTCCAAGCCCCCGGAAGAAGGCAGGTCTTTGAGGAAAACGGTCCAAAACAACCTCAAATTAACCCTTTCATGACTTGAATTTAAGAGGAAAATGTTGACCTGGTGACGGATAAGTAAGTGGGTTTTTAAGGAGAATTTGAAAATAACCAATACCCCGGAGCCCATACTTAAAATTATAACAATGAAATACAATTTTTGATAAGGATTATCACATTTTAACAAATTGTTAAAATTTGGTGTAAAAATATGAATAGAACTGGAGATATTGTCATTTCATTGATGTATATAAATAAAAACAAGACACACAGTGATAAATATCGCACTTTGAAGAGCAAACTGGCCACCATGCAATTTACCCAGCATGGCCAAAACCTAATCAGACCTTGGCACTAGTCTGCTCTTGCATCTGTAAACATTTCAAGTTGACAAGGTTAGCGGTTTTCCTGCAATTTTGATGACAAGAATTTATTTGTAGTCTGGAACTTTGGGAAAATTTAGATAACATCGTTTGTGACCTAATTTGATGACCTTCGACCTTAAAAATTTAACTTTTTCAGACCTCAGTAGGTGTTTTGTAATTAAGCTGACCTAAATTTAAATCCAAAATATCAATTTAAAAAGTCAACTTTTTTGACCTTTTCAAGGTCACTGAAGGTGAATGAAAGGTCAAATCTGAAATCTAAGGTCAGATTTGAACTTCTGAGAACTTGTAGATGTTTTTAAAAAAAAAATTTGGTCAATTTGGAGCAAGTTGAAAAATTCAAAATGGCCGCCAAATTGAAAAATTCAAAATGGCCACCATGTAATTCAGCCAGCATACCCAAAACCTAATCAGATCTTGGCAATAGTCTGCTCTTGCATCTGTAAAAATTTCAAGTTGAACGGATAAGTGGTTTTCCTGGAATTTTGATGACAAGATTTGTTGAAAAATTCAAAATGGCCGCCACGTAGTTTACCCAGCATGCCCTTAACCTAATCAGATCTTGGTACTAGTCTGCTCTTGCATCTGTAAAAATTTCAAGTTGAACCGGTAAGCAGTTATCCTGGAAATTTGATGACAAGATTTGGTTTATGTCCCGCCCGCCCGCACACCCGCCCGCACGCCCGCCCAACAGCACAAGACGACGGCAATATCGCACTTTTTCAAAGTGCGATAATAATGGTGCCAAAAGGAGCCTATCATCCCATAATAGGGCTCCATATGGAGCCTATTGTCATGAAAGGGTTAAGGTTTTGTGTAACTACTAGAGTAAGACCAATACCATACCACAAGTGAGATGTCACATATTTTCCATGACCATTCTCATACCGGATAGTGGAAAAATCCAACCATTGCCATACATCAAAAGTCATACTTTCGGGGTATTCTCATACCAGATTCTAAAATTTGGGTCCATTGCCATACCAAATGTCAAAAAAGGTACCCAATGTGCGTCGAGGATCCCCATCAAAGTTTATATACAGTCAACCCCCCAGGTGGCTCACCAAATATGAATAAAGACCTAAGTGAGAAATGTCACTTAGTCTTAAGTCTTGAAGAAGTAATGGCCTAGTCACATAGCCCGGCCGATGAGGTTACGATGAGCCAGCGATGCAATTTTCACCGAACTCGGCCGAACACCGGCCGGACACCGGCCGGACATCCGTGGCGTTTGTTGCTTAAAACCGCATCGGTGGTAGCTCGGTGAAATTTTAACTTCGGAGTTAAATTTCACCGGGCTATCACCGAGCTCCCTCATCATGTCATCGCAGCCCCATCGTAACCACATCGGAAAACACGTCGTCCGGTGCACAGCCGAGTATCGGCCGGTGTCCCGTGCATCTGAGACAACCAGAGGACGAGGTTTTTTAACGGACAGGGGCCGAGCTCCGACCGAGCTCCGGCCGATGTGGGACAGAGCATCGGCCGGTCACTGTTCAAAGCCCGTTAACAACCCGGCCGGCGATCGCACGGTGTCCTGTTACCTGCTCGGGTACCGGCCGTATTCCTTCCGATGTCCGGCCGACCTCCGGCCGGTAGTTGCTGCCACATCGGCAGAAAAAATATACCATTTTGAGACAGACTCCGTACGGTCACCGGCCGGTGTTCGGTCGGTCGCCTGAAGATGTCCGGACGGAGTCCGTTCACGTCACCGAGCTCTGCTTCCGATGAGGAGAGCTCGGTGGCACCAAAAAAATCCACCGTGCTCTACCGATGCCGGACATCGGCCGGGCTATGTGACTAGGCCATTACATGGCAAAGTTGCATGGCATCAACAGACATGCCTGATTATGGATGATGTGCTCAATCAATGTTCCATGGTTCTGGATAACTGCTGCAATGTGAATGTTGATGTTATTCACTTCTCGTTCCAGCACATCTAGGGGTGTTTTGTTATTCTAAAGTATTTTTCTTTATTTTGAGGAAAGAAAAAATTGTTGTACACCCCCAATACGATACACTTGGAAACCACTTGGATATCCCTGATAATTAATGTGTATTTCACATGGAATCCATACTATTTCCATGTGGATTTGATCCATATGGATCCTCATTATTGACACACATATCAAGAGGGATATTTCGCAAGGATTCCATGAACAAAAACTTTCCCAATTCCACGTGGATCAAAATGCCTAAAATCCATGCAGATTTCGTATGGAATTCTTGGGGTTTCATGAGGATTCCAGATGGATCCTCGTGGCATAGGTTCTATGTGGATGCGGATTGGCTGTGTATCTAATGTTTTTTGCAGTAAACAACTTCAACATTTGCATAACAGCAGTTATCCAGAACTGTAGAGCATGGGTTGAGCACACCACCCATTTATCAGGCACGTCTGTTGATGCCATGTAACTTTTGCAAGACAAGACTGAGTGACCTTAATGGTACCCACAAACATTTTAGACCCTCCTCTAAAACATGTGAGAATATTACACCATGAATGCAAGTAATAATTGAAATATAGCTTGTTGCAAGGGTTCCCATTTTGCACCATGCTGTATAAAGCCAAAAAACAACTGATTGCAAAACAAAACAAATTGCAAAACAAGACATTAAAATGCAAAATGTCACCACCTGCCATTTGTCACATACACGAAACATTGAATGCTTATTGCCATCACAAAAATGGAGACCATAACAATAATCACTTTTTGTGGTGACATAATTAAACCCAAATGCAATTTCAAACACTAAGTAGTATTATTTATAGAGAATTAGGTTTGACATACATGCTTCGCCTTCGTGCATTATGCAGATGGGTTAGTACATACACTCATGCTTTTATATCCAATATAGAATGATACATGATTCTTTATTCCTTAAATAATTCATTTCAGAGACACAACAAACAAACTCAGGATTCTGTCGTGGGTCACGGATAATTCAACCAGCCGCTTGATTTTCCACAGGAAATTTTTATCTAATAAAGCAACAATGGAGCCAAAGATTAAATAACACATTTACACATTAATATTTCATGAAAATCTGATTGATTGAAAGCATTTACAGTGCAGTTGATTTGGCTAGCTGTGTGAACAGCATAAAGATGATTCAAGAAATTAACGCTGATTACCCACTTGGAAAATGCGACAGGGTCATATTTTGAAGTCAAAAGAATGTTCGAAAAGATTCCAGTAAACAAGGAATTGAGTAAATAGGTGCATTGAGAAAACTTCAAATTGTACAGAAATGCAAGAAAATTTGATCAATTCATTCAAAATCAGTGGAGAAATATTGAAAAATATTCCAAGGTGTAAAAAATTCGGCACTGTTCCGGCACCGTTTCGACACCGTTCCGGCACCGAAACCTTTCAACACCAAAATTTGTTACCGGACTAGTCAGTCCATTTGGTGCCGAAACGGCACCGAAATTTGGCACCGAAACGGCGTCGAAAATCAGATTGCATTTTGGGGGTGTAAATGGGCAATATCATAAATAGTTTGAGAAATATTCCCTTTTTAACAGTAACCATCACAGGGATTTATGTCATGTGATGCGTGTTCAACCAATCACAGAACAGGAAAAATGAAAGTGAGACGATAATGAAAAATACATACAACAGCTTCTTCCTTGACTTTCTTAGGCTTGAGAAACTGCAGATGATTTGGCAATTGCTCCTTCTTGAGATTCTCATCTAGAGCTTTGTCAGCAATTGTTGCTTTATGCTCATTACCATCTTTGGCATTTGGGTTATTTTTGGAATGCGCCAGTTCAGGTGTGCTGGATTTGTCGTCTGGGAGACCTTGAGCTCTACGTTGCCTTATGTCTATATGGGACTCTGTCCTTCGCATTTTCTCTAAATCAATCTGAAGGTATATAAAAAGCTAGAATAGTGATGACATGTATTTCACACCCATTTCAACCTTTTCCCCTGGGTATTGCAATTTTCTAACATTATTGTTTTTGAGAACTTTTCTGTTTTAAACTTCTGAAACTTTTCAAGTTCGTCAGAACATTACTCAACAAGACACACAGTGATAAATATCGCACTTTGAAGAGCAAACTGGCCACCATGCAATTTACCCAGCATGGCCAAAACCTAATCAGACCTTGGCACTAGTCTGCTCTTGCATCTGTAAACATTTCAAGTTGACAAGGTTAGCGGTTTTCCTGCAATTTTGATGACAAGAATTTATTTGTAGTCTTGAACTTTGGGAAAATTTAGATAACATTGTTTGTGACCTAATTTGATGACCTTCGACCTTAAAAAATTTTACTTTTTCAGACCACAGTAGGTCTTTTGTAATTAAGCTGACCTAAATTTAAATCCAAAATATTAATTTAGAAAATAAAATTTTTGACCTTTTTAAGGTCACTGAAGGTCAACGAAAGGTCAAATCTGAAATCTAAGGTCAGATTTGAACTTCTGAGAACTTGAAGATGTTTTTAAAAAAAAAATTTGGTCAATTTGGAGCAAGTTGAAAAATTCAAAATGGCCACCAAATTGAAAAATTCAAAATGGCCACCATGTAATTCAGCCAGCATACCCAAAACCTAATCAGATCTTGGCAATAGTCTGCTCTTGCATCTGTAAAAATTTCAAGTTGAACGGATCAGTGGTTTTCCTGGAATTTTGATGACAAGATTTGTTGAAAAATTCAAAATGGCCGCCACATAGTTTACCCAGCATGCCCTTAACCTAATCAGATCTTGGTACTAGTCTGCTCTTGCATCTGTTAAAATTTTAAGTTGAACAGGTAAGCAGTTATCCTGGAAATTTGATGACAAGATTTGTTGAAAAATTCAAAATGGCCGCCACGTAGTTTACCCAGCATGCCCTAAACCTAATCAGATCTTGGCACTAGTCTGCTTTTGCATGTGTAAAAATTTCAAGTTGAACAGGTTAGCAATTTGGTTTATGTCCCGCCCGCCCGACCGCACGCCCGCCCAACAGCACAAGACGACGACAATATAGCACTTTTTCAAAAGTGCGATAAAAATATACAGTTGCAAATAAGGAAAATGTACAGTCAAACAAAACACTGATCTCCCAAGCATTAAAGCAAGTGGGGGTAGCACCCACCTCATCAGATTTTAAAAACAGGCTTGCACCCACCTGAAAATCCTTTTGCACCCACTTGAAAATGAGAAAAATCGTGAAAAATTGACATACTGACCAATTTTGTTCTGAATTGTGAAAATGAGAATTTTGCTCCCACTTGACAAAAAATCATGAAGAGAACATTGCAAGACATTAACATGCAAAATGTCACCACCTGCCATTTGTTAGAGAAACCAACCACCAAACACCAACTGCCAAACACCAACCACAGAACACCATCACCACCACTTGTGGTGGTGACATAAAAAATGACTGTCACCAGTACTTAAAGAAGAACTTGAGTACATCCTGTGCATTTAAGTGTTTACTGACTTGGTTAGCAATAACAACTTTAATTAGTCATCATTAAACCTATTTTGAGTGGTAACATAATCAACAAGTAGCTCAATATGTTCAATTATCTGTACTTTTGACATAAATGTATAATATTTGCTGTTATTAATGCCTCAGAAGTTTAAAAATACCAAAACAAAATGATTCTCAGGAATATCCATGTTAAAGTAATAATTATTTGCCATTTGGTATTTTGTTATTATTTGTAATAATATTATTATATTGGATCTCATTTTCCTTTATTTATATAATTTCAAATCGTCAGTTGCTTCCATATTTGGGTGTTCACTAATAACAAAGAGATTCACACACCCTTTATAAGTAAACAAATGGGAGTTATAAACACATATTTTGCGAAATCTCTCTAGTATCACAACTCATATCTCTATTGTTATCAAGTGATCATAACATGATTCTGACCAATCACATGACTAGAACTGACCAATCAGAAACCTTTACTTGTAACAACTGGGTGAGAAATGATAATTATACTCATACCTCTCTTGCTATCACCTGCTTGGCTGAATATGTCAATTGTCGACTAGGCTTCATTCCTGGGAATCTAGAAACTTCATCTACTCCCCTGAAATATAATATAAATATGGGAATCTAGAAACTTCATCTACTCCCCTGAAATATAATATAAATATGGGAATCTAGAAACTTCATTTACTCCCCTGAAATATAATATAAATATGGGAATCTAGAAACTTCATTTACTCCCCTGAAATATAATATAAATATGGGAATCTAGAAACTTCATCTACTCCCCTGAAATATAATATAAATATGGGAATCTAGAAACTTCATCTACTCCCCTGAAATATAATAAAAATATGGGAATCTAGAAACATCATCTACTCCTCTGAAATACAATATAAATATGGGAATCTGGAAACTTGATCTACTCTAACCTACTTAAGGTTAATAAAAATCTGGGAATCTAGAAACATCAACTACTCTGCTGAAAGATACATAAATCTGATCTTGCTTTGACACAGTATTCTGATCAGGGTTTCCTCTTTAATTACTTGATGCAAAATTTTTATTTCAAAATTCTTATTTCACAATTCTGACTATCGAAAAAATATGCAAATTAATTTTTTTCTCAGTCTCAAGTGGGTAAAATTTCAGTTTCAAGTGGGTGAAAGTTTAGTTTCAAGTGGGTGAAATTTTAGTTTCAAGTGGGTGAAATTTTAGTTTCAAGTGGGTGAAATTTTAGTTTCAAGTGGGTGAAATTTTAGTTTCAAGAGGGTGAAAATGAGTATTTAGATGAAATAAATCCACTACATTTGGAGATCCACTGTCTCGTTCCCCTGATGCAGAATACTCAACAGGTTTAGATATATATTATTATTATGCAACCAGTTTAGATACTGCAATATGATTGGTTGCCTGTAATTTGGCAATATTGGCCCTTAAGACCCCCTGATAATGTTCATAATTTCATCTCATATTATTGTTATTAGAATATTAGAACATTATTAGAATATTATAATCGCAATTTTTATGACATTTTACTGGCCTCAGGAAACCCCCATATACGTAATTTCAAATGTTTGTATATTATCATTAGTAGCATATTAGAACATTATTAGAATATTAGAATCACTATTTCAATGACATTTTACTGGCCTCAGGAACCCCAAACATACATAACTTTAAATTTTTGCATATAATCATTATTAGCATATTAGAACATAATTAGCATATTAGAATCACTATCTTTGTGATGTCAGAAACTAATCGGTCTTGGATATATAAGTACTGGCCTCAGAAGCCCCGATTATACAAAATTTCATATTCTGGCAAATTATCATCATTTGAATATTAGAACTGCTATTTAAATGTAATCTCCATGACGTCAGAATACTAACGGGTCTAGGATATACTGGTACTGGCCCTCCGGAGTTTTTTCTTGATGATACGTCAAATTGTAGGCAATCATGATTCTGATCAGTTGTTCCAAGCTTTCTTTCTCGCGTGCGCTGTAGAGTTGAGTGTTAACCTATCAAATAGAGGCAAACTTAGGATGAAATCCTAATACAAACAGTGTGAAAAACAAAGTTATAGTTTAACACCCCCCCCCCCCCTCCCCTGTTTTCAATTTAAAGATTATAATTCACATACAACTTGAATTTTACATAAAAATCAAGATTATTCACGATAAACAAATTCCTAATTTACCCCCTCCCTTCACCCAAATTTCCTTCTTTTTCACAACTGACTGTCCTTACATACCGTACACTGATTTTCAAACACAAATGCTAATTCTAGAACTATTGAATTATTGAAGTGCGTTATAGATAAATCAAACATTAGAGCAAATTTACAAATGTGGCAAATTAAATTTATTCAATGAATTTTATGAAATCTAAAGTAACAAAGTAGTGTCTCACAATGCCATCTTTAAATGACAAAAAGATATATGTTTAAGAAGCAAAATTAAAAAGAACTGCATTTTGAAAAATAAAATTTTTCGAAAAATTGTTTTAATTTGTGATTTAAGGAAAATAGACTGCCAAACAGGGTTGATTAATAAATGCCCGTATACCCTGGTGCCTGCCCTGGTGCCCGCCCTTGTGGATGAGTCACATAGAGTGCTGAGGACCCAAAATGAAAAGCGTGCAGCTTTTCAGGAAAGTGGAACTTGAATTCGATCCCCCCAAAGTAGAGCGCAACTCAGAAAATTGCATCTTTGTCCCGTAAATATTAAAACTGTTCGGTGAACAGTGAACACCATCATATCAAAATTGAAGGTTACTATGGCAACAATAATAATGGAACCCTTGAACACCACATACGTGATGGCACAAACTATCCAAAAACCAAAAATAACAAAAAAATTGTGACACGAATCTGTCAAATCACATAAGCAAAAGGTTAATGGGAATACAGGCATACCCAATTCACCATTATCATCCTTCAGCATAACATTAGCTGGAAATAAAACTGGTATTGGCTAGAAAAATACTAAAAAATGAACTTACCGGTCTAAGGGTTGGCTGTATAATATCTATTAGATGTGGGAGAATGTCCATGACGATCATATTATAGTTGACAAACTTCCTGGTGTTTGGACACATCTCATTCATCATGGCCTCAACCAGATGTGAAGATTTACCAAGTTTTGTAGTTATCTGAAAAGTATGAATATGTTCAGTTCATTACATTTTTGGATATTTCAATCAATCTAGATTTGTTATTGAAAATACATGGTGAAACTTGACAAAGATGAAAAATTGAACAAGAAAACAGCAACTCCATGGAAAAGCAAATCCCACCGTTTAAAGCATATTTTATTCAATATGCCATCATTCTGTACATGATAGAAAAAAACAGGAAATATTAGAGTAGTATAGTCTCCTTTTGGCAAAATCTACATGATGTGTTGTGATGCCATATATTTAATTCTTTCTTGAGCAGAGGTCTGACCATAAATCATTATTTTCCTGAGAAATGGTGGCTATTTTGAATTCAAAATTTCTTCTTGACCTGAGAGTCCTTTGAAATAAGGCAGCCATTGTGAATTCAGCAGTCATTTTGAAAATTCATTCTTGAGCACATTTTTATGTCCATATGGCATTAGCATATAAAATTTGAACCAAATCTGTCAATAGCATTTGAGTTATCAAAGATTACAGTATCAACTCAAGCTCATGAATATAAAGTTGTCCCGACCTTGATAAATATTGATAGATGATCATACAGACGTTATTTGGAACGTAATGCATTTGAAATTATATCAAATTAAAGCCAGTTTTATTACAATGCATGTTATTTATAGCCTATTGCAATATATGATTAGGTCCAAAGATCATTTCAAAAATACATGACATTTTTTTCAATCACTGCAGATTACATGTACTTGAATCTTATCAAAACATGTCAACAAAACAACTCATGACTGGGGCGGTTATAACCTGAATTACAAAACAGATGAACTAAAGGATACAAATACATCAAAAACGATTATTTAACGAACCATTTATGATCTTGTTGAAAAATGATAAATGTATCACAAAATGGAGTCTTAATTTTGCATAAAATCAAATGTTTAGACAGCTATTGCTTAATTTACAAGCAAGATATAAGCAGTAATATGTGAATGATATTATAAAACGTAAATTTCACTTGGTGTCAAAACAAAAAAGTAAAATATGGGAAACTCTATTGAACATTGGAGAATGGCCATAGGAACATTTGGTGGAGGCCAAAAAAATGCGACATTACGTTCATCACCAATCAAATCTCCAAGACAACTAGCATTGATGCTACGACTCATAAAAGTGTTACTGGTGAGAGCAGGAGTGGAGCAGAACCCTGGTCCACCGACCAATGAGAAATCAGGTAACTATATAAATTGAAGACATTTTTCAAAAAGTGGCCATTCTATTATTTGAAAATATCTGAAGATCCAAAGTATTATTTTTCTATATTGAGTGTCTAATCAAAATGTTTCAACGATTCACTGCTGGATATTTTTACTGCTGAAGTACCCCATCTAATGTTCACCTGTCAATAAGCTTAGATGCAAACCTCAGGCACATGGGGTTGTCTCCAGGAGACAGCGACCTCATAAGCAATATAAAGCTTACTGAAGTCTGTTTTTGTCATTATTAGGTGAAATGTCCCAAAATATCAATGAAGCTATAAATGAATGGTGCTGAATCTTCAGACACTAGACAGGTAGAAAACACCTGAAGGAACTCACTGAATAGTGACTTTAAATGTAATACAAGAATACTAGCATTAGATTCGAATGTTCTTTGATTCACTAAAGCTAAAGATATCACAAGTTACATCACATTGAAAAATGTTCCAATATCTCATGACCTTTTTTATATTCTAAATTGTGCAATACTGCATTGTCAAGCAGGTATAACTCTGATAACACTATAGTACAGGGTGACACAAAATGCAAATCTCCAACTTCAATCTGAAAGAAATTCTCTAAATAATGGAATCTTTTTCAACATGTATATTGCTTGAGTAGATGAGTGTGTTCAATGAGCAAAATATAGTTGTATGAATATTGCGTCAATCCCTCTCCTATTAGGAGAAATCTTATTTTCCATCTTGGCATGCTCTCACACAAAATTATTAAAAATTTAAGGTCAACCCTGTTTTTCTGAAGGTTTTCTCCGAGTGCAACAGCAATGTGTTACTGAAGTAAGAGCAAGATAAGGTCTCTTTTCAAGTGACAGTATTTATCAACAGCACTTACTTGTGAAACATGAACATGTATATAACTGAACCTGTTTTAATTGAATATTAACTCATATCTAGATTTTGCTCCTTAAAGTACCTTCACATATTAAACATATTTTATAGTAAAACTTTACTTTAATCAAATACATGTAGTGTTGATGACATTGAGAAACCACAAAGGGCAACATTTTGAAAAAATATTTATCAGTATTGACATACCATAATCACTATATTTAGCACCCATTCCCTAATAAGCCTCCCCCTGTCAATTCACAAAGTTCAAGAAATGAATTTCTTCAATATTGTTCAAAAGTTAATATTCTTGGTTCATTTTGGCAATCTTGAACATGTCCTCTCAAATAACAATCCATATCATTATTGTAAAAGATGCTGTTCCTTCATTCTGATGCTGCAAATAAGCCATTCTTGGCAAAATATACATATTATATATTTCCAAAGAGAAAATGAAGTATGAGTATATGCATCTTCCGATCACAGGGTTTCAAAATCAGAATATATTCTTTTTTTACCCCCTGCGATAAGCAGTTAGCATTTCCCCGATTAAGAACTCGCAATCTGATTGGCTGCCGCAACACTGTGACAGAAATCATGTATAAGTCATTGCGCATAATTAGATCCTGGATTCAGTTTAATCGGGCGCTTCCAAATTGGTTATAGCAGGGGGGAAGAAGGAGGTACAGATTCTGGACACCTGCTTAGCAGGATGGAGTATATGAAGTATATGTATAATTTAATGAGCAACTGGCAATTAAACAATAAATGTTCATCTTTCAGAGGTAACAAAAGAAATGTATGAACTTGGCTGCAAAATAAAAGCATGCGACCAACAAACAGAGTTGAAAGAACAGGCAGACCTCATGTGCCAACTTGGACAAGAGTATATCAGATCAGCAGAGACCTCTGATATCTGGTATGAACACTACGTTTGGTCCTGTGCATTATATAATGCAGCCAAATGTCGAATAAAGAAACTGATTAGAAAACAAACCGATGGCACAAACACAGCTCTTAAAGATGACTTGGAACACATTGACAAACAACTCCAGCTTATAGAAAGTAACTTTGTAGAGAAGTGTCAGGCCACAAAACATTGCGAGCTATCAACAAAAACTACAACACAAAAGTATAGCAACACACTTGAAAATATACGAGAGTACTCAAACACCACCGTAAATGACATCATTGAGAAATACATGGTAGTTGATGATGTGACCACAGAGATGGAAGACGAAGATGAAGACAATACAATAAAACACAGCAAGGTGTTTTATAATGGACTAACACAACAGCTTTTAGATTTTTATAAGTCTATTATCAATGATTGTATTTCTGTTTTAGGACATCCTGATTGTAACTTTGCATTCTTAGCACTGGGTTCCCTGTCCAGAAAAGAGGTCACTGCTTATTCAGATCTTGAGTGGGCAATATTGTTTGATCCTTTAGATAAACCAGTCGATCATATCAAAATGCAATTGCGCATGATAGCCTATTACATGCATTTGAAGGTGCTTAACATTGGGGAAACATTGCTAAACTGCTTAGACATACCTGTTTTAACAGATTATAACAAACACCTACCCCCTGACATGAAAGACAATGACTTTTATGACAAAGCAACCACAAGGGGAATTTCCTTTGATGGGACACAACCTTGGGCTAGCAAAACAGCTATTGGTAGGAAAACAGGAGTTGATCCCAATAAACCTCCCAAACTTGAACTTATCATGAATGTTGATGAGATGAGCAAGTTTCAGTATACAGATGAATCAATCAAAGAGGGTTATCACCTTAGTGACGTTCTCATGACATCAACACTCATAACTGGAGAATTTGCCTTATGGAAAGAATACAATGAAAAAGTACATTCCATTCTATCATCACCATCCACCACTAACCCAGATGTCACTATAGGTAGAGAACGAGCAATAAAAACTCTTAAGAAAGATTTAGAAAAATACAGTGAAAATCCCCTGTCATCAGAATCATTCACTCAGAAAATGCATACAAAGCATGATATATACAGATTTGCTACAATCACTATAAATATTCTGAAACTCATGCATGGTTGCACATCATTTGCGCCCCTACATGTGCTAGAGGAATTGCAAGGGAAGGGAATCCTACCTGAAGGGGCAACAAAAGATCTACAAATCATGGTTTGTAGTGTCATTAACCTTAGACACATGGTTTATGGAAGGTATAAGCAACAAAAAGAATTCATATCATTCTTACCAAGTGACTCTCAAGATGATGAAACAACAGAAGTGATGCCAGTCAGAAGTTTTACAGCCATTCTACGATTTTTTAACACATTTATTCCCTGGTGTGAATTCCTTCAATCAAACTTGAATGTAAGTGGCACCTGGACATATGACAAGAGGTACATTGAAGGAAACAATGAAGTGAAAGCACAATTATATAACAACATTTTCTTTTTCAAGAGGGCATTGTACACTTATCATAAAGAGTTAAATACACTTCAAAATCTTGAAGAAGGAGAGCAAGAGTTAGAAATAGCTTCCATACAGAATGCAATAGGTTTACTGTATGAGTCACAAGGCTCAGATGCACTGCAACATCATTATGACAGTCTGAGAATAATGAAAAAAAACAATGATGAAAGCAGGGTCTCTATGTCACTTAACAACATAAGCCTTGTGTATGAAAGCATGGGAGATCTGGCTAAAGCACTGGAATATCAACAGGAAGGTCTGAAAATGGACAGACTTATACACAAAGACAATCCCCACCCAGATGTTGCTACATCACTCAGCAATATAGGAGTTGTGTATGAAAGCATGGGAGATCTGGCTAAAGCACTTGAATATCAACAGGAAAGTCTGAAAATGGACAGACTTATACACAAAGACAGTCCCCACCCAAGTATTGCTACATCACTCAGCAATATAGGACTTGTGTATGAAAGCATGGGAGATCTGGCTAAAGCACTTGAATATCAACAGGAAGGTCTGAAAATGAAAAGACTAATACACAAAGACAATCCCCACCCAAGTGTTGCTACATCTCTGAACAACATAGGGGCTATGTATAAAAACATGGGAGATCTGGCTAAAGCACTTGAATATCAACAGGAAAGTCTGAAAATGAAAAGAGTAATACACAAAGACAATCCCCACCCAAGTGTTGCTACATCTCTGAACAACATAGGGGCTATGTATAAAAACATGGGAGATCTGGCTAAAGCACTGGAATATCAACAGGAAAGTCTGACAATGTCCAGACTAATACACAAAGACAATCCTCACCCAAGTGTTGCTACATCTCTGAACAACATAGGGCTTTTGTATGAAAGCATGGGAGATCTGGCTAAAGCACTGGAATATCAACAGGAAGGTCTGACAATGAAAAGACTAATACACAAAGACAATCCCCACCCAAGTGTTGCTACATCACTCGGCAATATAGGACTTGTGTATAAAAGCATGGGAGATCTGACTAAAGCACTTGAATATCAACAGGAAAGTCTGAAAATGGAAAGACTAATACACAAAGACAATCCCCACCCAAGTGTTGCTACATCTCTGAACAACATAGGGCTTTTGTATAAAAACATGGGAGATCTGGCCAAAGCACTGGAATATCAACAGGAAAGTCTGACAATGTCCAGACTAATACACAAAGACAATCCTCACCCAAGTGTTGCTACATCTCTGAACAACATAGGGCTTTTGTATGAAAGCATGGGAGATCTGGCTAAAGCACTGGAATATCAACAGGAAGGTCTGACAATGTATAGACTAATACACAAAGACAATCCCAACCCAAGTATTGCTACATTACTCAGCAATATAGGACTTGTGTATGAAAGTATGGGAGATCTGGCCAAAACACTGGAATATCAACAGGAAAGTCTGACAATGAAAAGACTAATACACAAAGACAATCCCCACCCAAGTGTTGCTACATCACTCGGCAATATAGGACTTGTGTATAAAAGCATGGGAGATCTGACTAAAGCACTTGAATATCAACAGGAAAGTCTGAAAATGGAAAGACTAATACACAAAGACAATCCTCACCCAAGTGTTGCTACATCTCTGAACAACATAGGGCTTTTGTATGAAAGCATGGGAGATCTGGCTAAAGCACTTGAATATCAACAGGAAGGTCTGACAATGAAAAGACTAATACACAAAGACAATCCCCACCCAAGTGTTGCTACATCTCTGAACAACATAGGGCTTTTGTATGAAAGCATGGGAGATCTGGCTAAAGCACTTGAATATCAACAGGAAGGTCTGACAATGAAAAGACTAATACACAAAGACAATCCCCACCCAAGTGTTGCTACATCACTCGGCAATATAGGACTTGTGTATAAAAGCATGGGAGATCTGACTAAAGCACTAGAATATCAACAGGAAAGTCTGAAAATGGAACGACTAATACACAAAGACAGTCCCCGCCCAAGTGTTGCTGCATCACTGTGCAACATAGGTGTAACACATGAGGAAATGGGGAAGCACAAAGAAGCTTTGTCTCATTACTTTGAAGCTCTAAACATTGCTCATCAGTACAGAGGGGATTCACACCCTGATTACATAACAGCATTGGAATTGATTGACAAGTGTAAGGAATAAACCCTGTCTTCCTGCACTCTTATATAACACTTACTTATACAATATCAATGGCATTTAACACTGCCCCCAGGATTCCGTGTTTGCAGAGCGCGGACGGAATTTGCCTCTGCCCGCGGAATTGCAGAATCAACTATTTTGGTCAATTTCCGCGGAATTTTCCGCAGAATCCATATATTTTCCAAAAGTTTAAAAAGTCAGTCTTACCTGTAACAATTTGACACGTTTTTAGTCAAATCCCTTGCAGAAATAACCCAAATTATGCGAAGTGAAAATTCTAAACGCCATCGTTTGATTTCTGCAGTTAGATGGCAGCATGTATGTAGTGACTGACTACCTGACTATCACGATATTTTCCCGTTTACTGGTTCGAAAACCATTAATATCCGCGGAATTTCTGCAGAATTAGCCCTTTCTTCTTGCAGAATTCACTAATTTCACTTGCAGAATTGAGCATTTTAACTTGCAGAAAACTGGGGGGAGTGATTTAAACTTACTGCTGGGACTCAAACCTACACAGCCAATCTGCAACAGTACCATATGGTACCATTTTGGCAATGGTACTGTACAATACAGTGAAATATGCTACTGTATGGTACCATAGACTATAATGGTACTGTAGACTAAAACGATACTGTGAACACTTTACAGCACCATACTCCAACAGTACCATATGTTTAATGTACCGAACCGTACCATGATTTTAGAGTGTGGATTTGGGGTGTAACATGAGAGAAATCCTTAAATTTTTAAAGCATACAGATCACCTGAGAGACCTCTTATTCTTGTATTTATTGACCAATATTATAAACACATACAGAAGATCATTTACACCAGTAAAAATTCAAAATAAACAAACATTTCTGAAAATAAACTTGTTCAATTCAGAGACAAATACTATCCATACTAATTTTCGTAATTTTCATCACCCTTTTAGAGATGGAAATCCACTGTCATCTTACAATTCCTTTGTACCAAGTCAAACACCCATGTATTATACCCATTCTGATTCGCCCTAGACTAGAATTACAAAACAATCCAAATGATTGACACTAACTTTCTTCATTTTTTCATTACTCTGAAGATATAGGTTCACTCCCTTACAGTCCCTCTGTATCAAGCCATCCATACTTGTATCAATTTATGTAGCTAAGCCATACATATTCCACTGATACACTCTAATGTTATCAATAAACCCATCCACAGGGTTTGACTGACAATGACAGACCATTCTGACAATAAACCCACCCACAGGGTTTGACTGACAATGACAGACCATTCTGACAATAAACCCACCCACAGGGTTTGACTGACAATGACAGACCAATCTGACAATAAACCCACCCACAGGGTTTGACTGACAATGACAGACCATTCTGACAGCCAAGAGATTCCAATATCGGATGTCACAAACAGAACAGGCTATCTCTATGTGGTGGTGAGAACTGGCATCTAAGTGGGTACCCCTATGGGTCAGTTCAAAATAATTATAATATATATCAATGATATTTTATGAACCCTGTTATGATGTATATTGTATCTAAACCTACTTACTTATGAGAAGGATCACACTTGGCTAAATCTTCGAACAGCTGTTACTTGAACTTGGTGTAATCAAATATGCTATAGGCCTCACTCTCATTATACACACTATGCCACTTCTCTGTGATGTCATCAATGAATGAACAGTCATATTAGAGTTAAGCAAAACCCCAGGAGGATTGGCTCCAAGGATGGAAACTTGATATTTTCCAACAATGAAAACATAGAAATGTCGTTATTTTCTGAAATCAATCATTTTTTGAGAGTTTTGGAATTTTTCATTAAGAAATAAGAATGTCAAATGTTGAGGTGAATAAAATGGTGATTGTTTGAATTTGGATTTTGAATCACGACATGCCCATTTATGGAACAGAATATCGATGTTGCACTCTGGGAGCTAATCCTCTTTGAGCAAAACCTGTATACCTGAATCCCACGCAGTGACTTCTTAAGAGGGAGTTATGTACTTAAATATCACTACTCTAAGTTCTGTGAACTGAGTACAGTGAAACCTGTTTTTCTGAACACCTCTCAATTTGAACAATCTCAGTCTCACATTTGTTATCTCCTATTGACTTACATGTTTATAAAACCTTGAAATATGAAAACCTGCTAATTTGAACACTATAAGCCGGTCTCAAAGGTGTTTGGATTAGACAAGTTTTACTGTACTTCGATAATAGAGATATCCTTTATAGTCACACATTATGCTTTGAATTTAAAATAATATGTCTCATTGCAAGTTTGCAGTTTTTAGTTAGATTCAAGCATATGTACTTCATGTACTTAGGGCATTGCAAAAGAAAAGTTGATCCAAGATAGTTTTGTCCAGTCTATAATTTTGAAAGGACAAGTCTCGGTTTGGAGAACAGTCTACTGAATATTCAAGAGATTACATTTAAATCTACAAGGAATAAAAATATCAAAATTGTCCGAAGCAGACGTAACGTGCAGTAGACTGCAAAAACTTAAGACGTGGGTGTAGCCAGGTTCCCATAGGCAAGGCAAATTTAAAAAGGATATTTTCACAATTATGGGACATGATTTTCAGTCCAAAATGTTGATACAAAATTTCATGGATACTTTTTGGAAAAGGTGCTTGCCATGCTTGCCTAATACCAAGCTTTAACCCATGAGTAAAACTTAATTGTGCATTATATATTATCTACATTTTACTGTATATAACTCAGACAAGTGGCCATAAGATATAATGCCATCTGAATAATAAGACATACAAGGCATTAACATGACAAAATGTCACCACCTTTGCAAGGTCATTGAAGGTCAATCAAAGGTTATATCTGAAATCTGGATTTGAACTACTGAGAAATTTTAGATAATTTTGGAAAAAAAACATTGGTCAATTTGAAGCAAGTTGAAAAAATACCTTTTTTGACCTTCAATATTTTGCCATGGTAACAGATATTGGCAGTAATTTGTTTGGAACTCATAACATGTTTATATATATGTTGACAGTAAAGTAAAAAATAAAAATATGAAGTGAATCTTAACAGTACTTGTTAAGTTATTGGAAGTTGTTGAGTATTGTTGACACCAAACACCAACCACTGACACTGTCCACAAAAAGTTGGAAACTTAAGAATATGTCACACTTCTGGTGGCGACATAAAAAAATGTTGCCATTTTGAACTGAGAGGTCATAATGAAAATTCTATCTTGAGCAGATTCAGGAATTCAGGAAAATGACAGCCATTTTGAATTGAGCAGCCATCTTGAAAATTCTTTTTTTTGAGCAGAGCCCTATGTCCCTAAAGCATCAGCACATAAAATTTAATCCAAATCTGTCAACTGGTATTTGAGTGATCAAACATGACATATTTTATGAAAAATGGCAGCCATTTTGAAATGAGTGAAAAGGCCTCCTTGAGCAGAGGTCCTTTGGCCATAAGATATAAACTGATAAAAATTCAATAATTTGGTCCATCAGTGTGGGTCATCAAAGATTACATTTTTTATTGAAAATAGTCCTCATTTTGAATGAGTGGCCATATTTCTTTCTGGAGCAGAGGTCCTACACCCATAAGGCATAAGCCTTTAAAAATTGAACCAAATCTATTAACCGGTATTTGAGTTATCACCCAGACTCACTAACCAACAGATGGACAAACAGATGAACAGCTTCTCTATATCCCTACAAACTTTGTTCACTGGGATAACAAACTTTTAGGGATTGATAAAAATAGTGATAATGTTCAAAATACCCTCATTTTCACAACATCTATAAATTAAAAATTGTAGTGCAATCAAACAGTTCAAATGCTATTCCTGATACACAAAATAATACACATAATGATACAAAACAACAGATAAGTGCATACCTCATTTTGTACAGTCGGGTACTGCAATTTAGGCACATGATTGGTTGCGAAGATAAGATGGCTTGTCACCATCAAGTATGGAACATAACGCTGTAGAATATAGTTCTGGTGTTGCGCTGTTTCACGGTTTAACAGATCAGCAAAACAGAACCATTCATTGGCCAACGACAGCTAAAAACAAATCAAAATGAAAATATAATATAATTTTATATGAGTCTCATAGTGTGGAGACTCATATATGAGACTTGAAAAGGAATAAAATGGAAAGCTTGACAATCAAAATGTGAATTGGCTTAATTATGAACTTTCAAGTATTTACTTTATCGACCTTTAAGACACACATATACCTATTTTTAAAATACCTGTATGGCTATTTGCAATTATTCTATTGTATTCCCTCATTCAGCCAATGCATTAAAATAATCTGAATCATAAACCAAAGAAATGTGACTCATTCATTGGGTAATTTCAAATTCTCCACTGGATTGCAATAGCAATGCTTGGTTGCTATAGCAACACCTGGTAACTTAAGCAACACCTGGTTACTTTAGCAACACCTAATGAGATCACTGTATTACAGAACTTACTCCATCTAGACGAGGATCCTTAATCTTCATTTGAGGATAGTTTTCATGTACACCTTGTATGATTTTCCCGTAATCTCCAGTTGCTTGTACAGTGCTCAGCACAGTCTGAAACCTGTAACAACATCGTAGCTACAGATGTGTATAAGTAGCTAATCTGCGATAGGGGCATAAAAATAAAACAGCAAAAAATCTGCTGAAGGTTCATCCATCAATTTCATTGTTTATTCTTTCAATTTCTCAACATAAGATTCCTGACTACACGACTGACTGATGATTTTTGGAATAATGGGTTGAACAGTAATGGATTTTCAAGTGATGGCAACAGAATGAAAAGTTTTAGAGTAAAATAACCCTCAAAGATTTTGAACATGTTACTATATCAACCTGCTAGCTGTAGATGTGTTGTCAATCTTCTGTGTGTCATTCCAGTCATCTGCTGTCATCTTCTCTCTGTCATGTGGGTTCACAAACCTTTTCCTAGAATTAGATGTAAAAATTATGCTTATTGTTGGTGTAAACATAATAAAAGAGACCTCTTAGCAACACTACAAATGCCTCATAACAGCGATGTAAGAATAGATGATTAAGTCCAAGATTCAAGATTTGTGGGTGATTTAAAGCACGAGATTCTTGTATGTAGGTAAATCCATGGCTGGGTTTAAGGCTGGCATACATGAAGAATGTGCATTAGATATGCCACATTTTATAGCGTTCAGATTTTATTAACTTAAGCTTATGATTTCCTCCTCTGAGTTATTTTAAGAGACTTTGATTTAACATCTGAAGCAAATTGATACAGATGATGAATGTTAAAAATGTCAAGGTCAGTTATCAAGACTTCATAAAACATAAATTCATTAGTTCTTTTAGCATCTATAATATTTGTTTCCAGACAAATCAGTTTGCAAGTGGAAAATGATCAGTTCCACTGTGGCACCCTCCATTGAAATCAGGTATAGTTCAAGCCCCGAATCCTGAGGAAGGCGGACTACTGATGATGCAATGACTACTGCAACAGAGCTCGACCACTTGACCTTGACCTTGTTTATTGAGTTCTACTCACAGAGAAAAGCAGAGCATGTTTAAGTTATACAGTGATCTCGACTTTCCAGCATTAAAGCAAGTGGGCGCAGCACACACCTGAGATTTTGAAAATAGGCTTGCACCCACCTGAAAATCCATTTGCACCCACTTGAAAATGAGAAAAATCATGAAAATTTGGCATATTTTGACTAATTTTGGTCTGAATTGTGAAAATGAGAATTTTGCACCCACCTGAAAAAAAAATCCTGGGGAGATCACTATTAATGTTAATTAATGAAACAATAAGTACCTTTGTGCCTTTGGCATCTGAAATATTTGTTTCCAGACTTCGAAAAAACTTTTATGTTGATCCTTCAGTCCTATACCCATCGATTGCACATTCCGTAAAGTTAGCTCTTGTTGCTTCTGCTGTATAAACTGGAAAACCAAGTGCTTTTTATAATACTTTATATAATAATAATAATAATATATTCATTTCAAACTCCTAAGGCAACAGGCCTCTAATTACATTTAATTATACCTACAGTTTGAAGCAGTGATAAATAAAACATCTTAAGTTATAAAATAACTTTTCATTGTCAGTGCTTTTGTTATATAAAATGGAGAGGAAATATCGTCATAATAGATATACACATCATTACTTTCATAAAAAATCATGACAAGGCATTAACAAAATTTCACCACACCATATGTTACAGAAGCTGAACACCAACTGCCAAACACAAACCACTGACCACCCTCCACAAAAAGGTTGGAGACTCTAGCAATATTTAATCACTTGTGGTGGTGACATTAAAATTGTACATTGAAGTCAAATGAACAACACAATATTCAATGTTTGGAACTGTTGGGGAGAATACCAGGGCCTTTACCTGTAAAGTATTGAGGCATGATCTGATGTCATTTTCCATCTTAGTACACAGAGCTAGCAGAGTTGTCTGGTCGGTCTTTAACCTCTCCTTTCTTGAGATCTGAAATAAGAACAGTAAAATATTATTGGTGTCAAAATGTATGGTACTAAAGCAATGGTGGTACTAAGGCAATTATGGTACTAAACCAACTATGGTACTAAAGCAACAAAGGTACTACTAAGCAATGATGGTACTAAACCAATGATGGTACTACTAAGCAATGATGATACTAAAGCAACAATGGTACTACTAAGTAATGATGGTACTAAAGCAGAGATGGTACCAAAGCAATGATGGTACTACAGGAACAATGGTACTACTAAGCAACAATGGTACTAAAGTAATGATGGTACTAAAGCACTCATAGTAGTCAATTTCAAATCTGCAAATAAATCTTCACGAGTCTAAAGAAATACCTTCTTGCTGAATTGAGAACTTAGTTTTCATTAAATTATTTTTATATTTATGAGCAGCTACAGCTAACTTGGTGTACACCGTAAAGAATCCATGTATACATTTACGCCCTAAACTACATCCCGTTCAAACAGAACAGCACAGTGCTGTTGATCAATCAATGCAAGCAGTGCTGTACAGCAGTGTTTTAATAACCTTGTACATTTACACAATCAGTACTGCTTAGTGCCAGTACTGCTCAGATAGCACTGCGTAGTACTGTTCAATCAGCAGCACTGTACAGCAAGATATGTAGTATAGGAGATATGCATACAGATAATGTCACATTGTTTCATTCTGTAGAGTAGAGAGTATACTGACATTGAATGCATAGAAAAAACATTCTACCTTGGGGCATTTCCAGCCCCTAGCTGTCTTCTACTCGATACATACCTCTAAAAGTCGACTAGCCAGTCTATTAGCAATAGGAGGCTGAAATGGCAGCACCATCGCTATTTGTCGCAACTGTCTCAGTGACGGAACATAGGGGTCATTACATATACATATGATAGGTCTCCGTAATATGCCTTTGTCTTTTTGCTTCTTTTTCTTTGCAGTTTCACCAGTATTTTTTAACACTTGCAGCAGAATGTTTATTGCAGGCTGGAAGATACGGAAAATACAGAGTAAATCACTGAAATGGAGTATCTCTTCAAAAAAGATGAATTTCTATCATTGTACTGAATAATTTTATCCAGTTGAAATGATGTTTAAAATGAATTACACCATTGTAAAAGAAATAAATATGCAATACATATTGTATTTAAATATTTTAGCAAATATGATTTGTTTTCATATTTGATGTACCTGTGGTGCGCCATCTATTTCATCAATAACTAAACAGTTTGGGCGAGCGTCTGCTCCCATAACTGCCTGCATACTGGTGGCAGCCTCTATCTTAGTTCTAAATGCATCAACACTTCGATCATCGCTGAAATAATGGAGAGTAACATATTGAACTTGCAAAGAGAAACACTGGAAGTGAAGAAAATAAATTTTAAAATACAAAAACTACTAATATTTAATTCAACTGTGGTGAATACTTATGTATGTGTCAGTTTCACAACCTTTATTCTTGGAAACAATGATGATGTAATAATGCAGAGGAGAGCAGGCCTGTAGTCAGTAGAGTTCGAGAGGTTCCAGTGAACCCCACTGGGCAAAAATTCCTTCAAAATCATGCATTTTTTGGACCAAAGTTGTCAAATGTGAATCATCTGGAATTTTATAAAAAGTGAACCCCAATTGGTAAAAGCTGGCTACAAGCAAGGAGAGGTTGCATTATAAAGCTTCTGTAACTTACCTTGCATTCATTTCTACCACATGGTAGCCTGCATGTCTACCTATGATGTGACCTAGTGTTGTCTTCCCAAGTCCTGGGGGTCCACATAACAAAGCAACCTACAGGTACACATAAAGCAATATAATATTCAGGATATGTAACGAAAATACTATATATTGACATATCAAAACAAAGGGAACTACTTATTTAGATATATTATTTCTCTTGTATTTCTTTACTAAATTGATACACATTAACCGAGATTATTTCTGTCTAGTTCAAAATACATTCAGATACTATACCACTGAAGATAACTTTAGAGATCTTCAATAAAAAATCTACACTTTTAAAGTTGGAATCTGGCAGAAATAAACAAACAAGCATATCACCACCTGCAATTTGTTACAGACATTGACCACTGACCATCAAATACCGACCACCAAGCACCAACCAACGAACACTGTCCAAAAGAAATTGATGAAGATAACAATATGGTGGTGACATAACAATACATGTATTATGAAGTAACCTATAGCTGATACTGCCTCTTTAATAAACATGTATGTTTCAAGAAAAAACTAACCTTATATTCTGGACGATTAAACTGATCTAGCTCATCATTTTGTTCAAACTTCTTTTTGAAGTCAAATTTTTTATTGTCAAAGTTTTTATTATCAGGCTTTGCTGCATTTTTCTTTTGGTTCTGCTGTTCTTTTTTCTCCCGTTTTTTCTCCAGTTCCCTCTTGTCTTTGTTAAAGACACAATAGTCCCACATTTTCAACCAATGTAACAATGTCCTGTTTGTACTCTGAAATACAATCGGATGTATAAGATGAATAACAATTAAAGACACAATAGTCCCACATTTTCAACCAATGTAACAATTTCCTGTTTGTACTCTGAAATACAATTGGATGTATAAGATGAATAACAATTAAAGACACAATAGTCCCACATTTTAAACCAATAATGTCCTGTTTGTACTCTGGAATACAATCGGATGTATAAGATGAATAACAATTAAAGACACAATAGTCCCACATTTTCAACCAATGTAACAATGTCCTGTTTGTACTCTGAAATACAATCGGATGTATAAGATGAATAACAATTAAAGACACAATAGTCCCACATTTTCAACCAATGTAACAATGTCCTGTTTGTACTCTGAAATACAATCGGATGTATAAGATGAATAACAATTAAAGACACAATAGTCCCACATTTTCAACCAATGTAACAATGTCCTGTTTGTACTCTGAAATACAATCGGATGTATAAGATGAATAACAATTAAAGACACAATAGTCCCACATTTTCAACCAATGTAACAATGTCCTGTTTGTACTCTGAAATACAATCGGATGTATAAGATGAATAACAATTAAAGACACAATAGTCCCACATTTTCAACCAATGTAACAATGTCCTGTTTGTACTCTGAAATACAATCGGATGTATAAGATGAATAACAATTAAAGACACAATAGTCCCACATTTTCAACCAATGTAACAATGTCCTGTTTGTACTCTGAAATACAATCGGATGTATAAGATGAATAACAATTAAAGACACAATAGTCCCACATTTTCAACCAATGTAACAATGTCCTGTTTGTACTCTGAAATACAATCGGATGTATAAGATGAATAACAATTAAAGACACAATAGTCCCACATTTTCAACCAATGTAACAATGTCCTGTTTGTACTCTGGTATACAATCGGATGTATTAGATGAATAACAATTAAAGACACAAAAGTTCCACATTTTCAACCAATGTAACAATGTCCTGTTTGTACTCTGAAATACAATCGGATGTATAAGATGAATAACAATTAAAGACACAATAGTCCCACATTTTCAACCAATGTAACAATGTTCTGTTTCTACTCTGATTTAATAGAAATACAATTGGATGTACAGGGTGTCCAAAAAAACAGGACCGTAAGAAAGTTGAATAACTCGGTCAATTTTGCATATTTTGCCTTGAAATTTCAGAATTATTTAGTTCATTCAATGTGAATTTTGTTGTGAAAGTTTGATAATAATCTACCAGTTGAGTCAAAAACTACAGCTCCTTACAAAACATGCCCCAAATGTGCAAATCTCATCTCTATGCACAATTCAATCCGGCGAACAAAGCTGTTGATGATCCTCCTACACACATGTCTTTCTGAATGGACAAGTTTGTTCCAAGAACAATTGCTACTGGGGCTTACATCCTCCTGATGAAGTGTTACAGCATCCATTGCATTCTGAACAATGCACTCCCTGGGTGGCAATGAGGAAACATGGAATCATCAGTCCCTTTTGGTTCAAAGGTGAATGGGGACTTGCTATCACCATGAACAAGGACCAGTAAGTTCTCACCAAGTTTTGGAGGTCACTAAGCACCAGAAGGGTCATCTAAGGAGATAATTAAGCAGTGGTTTCAACAAGCCAATACCACCCCAACACTGCAAATGATATGCTGAAATGGTTTAGGCAATGGTTTGGTGGTCAGCTCATCAGTTGCAGAACGTAAACCATATGGGCAGCTCATCCGCCTGATCTAAATCCCCCAAATTTCATCTTTGAGGATTTCTCAAAGCCAATGTGTATACTGACAGGCCCCTAACAATCTTAAGAGAGCAATAACTACCCCAATATTTACCATCCACATTAATGTGTATAGGCAAGGGTCATTAACAACTTTGTTCGCAGGATTCGTTTGTGCATAGAGAGGAGAAGTGCCCACTTTGAGCATGTTTTGTAAAGGACTGTAGTTTTTGACATAATAAAAGGTTATCATCAAACTTTCAGAACAAAATGCACATTGAATGAACTAAATAATTCTTAAATTTCAAGGCAAAATATGCAAAATTGACCGAGTTATTCAATTTTTTCTTACGGTCCTGCTTTTTTTTGACACCCTGTATGAGATGAATTACAATTTTTCTGTGTTCATTTTTTCACATTTTTGAACTTCATGGTAATACTGTAGATACATTTAATTTGACGTATTGGCAGATTGAACAAGGCATTAACATGACAAAATGTCACCACCTAAAACAATTTGGTCAATTTAAAGCAAGTTGGAAAATACCTTTTGACCTTAAGAAGGTTTGATTTGAACTTCTTAGAACATGAAGATGATTTTGAAAAAAAAATTCGTCAATTTGAAGCAAGTTGAAAAAATACCTCTTTGACTTTTTTTGACATTGAGAAGGTCATTGAAGGTCAAATGTCAAATGTAAAGTCAGATTTGAACTTCTGAGAACATGTAGATGATTTTGAAAAAAAAATTAAGTAAATTTGAAGCAAGTTGAAAAAAGAGCTTTTTGACCTTGAAAAGGTCATTGAAGGTCAAATGTCAAATCTAAAGTCAGATTTGAACTTCTGAGAACATGCAGATGATTTTGAAAAAAAAATTAGTCAATTTGAAGCAAGTTGAAAAAAGACCTTTTTGACCTTGAGGTCATTGAAGGTCAAAGGTCAAATCTAAAGTCAGATTTGAACTTCTGAGAACTTGTAAAAGTCAAATTTGAACTTCTGAAAAGATGTAGATGATTTTGAAAAAAAAATTTGGTCAATTTAAAGCAAGTTGAAATCAGACCTTTTTGACCTTTTTTGACCTTGAGAAGGTCATTAAAGGTCAAATGTCAAATCTAAAGTCAGATTTGAATTTCTGAGAACATGTAGATGATTTTGAAAAAAAAATTAGTCAATTTGAAGCAAGTTGAAAAAAGACCTTTTTGACCTTTTTTGACCTTGAGAAGGTCATTGAAGGTCAAATGTCAAATCTAAAGTCATATTTGAATTTCTGAGAACATGTAGATGATTTTGAAAAAAAAATTTAGTTAATTTGAAGCAAGATGAAAAAAGACCTTTTTGACCTTTTTTGACATTGAGAAGGTCATTGAAGGTCAAATGTCAAATCTTAAGTCAGATTTGAATTTCTGAGAACATGTAGATGATTTTGAAAAAAAAATTAGTCAATTTGAAACAAGTTGAAAAAAGACCTTTTTGACCTTTTTTGACTTTGAGAAGGTCATTGAAGGTCAAATGTCAAATCTTGAGTCAAATCTAAAGTCAGATTTGAATTTCTGAGAACACGTAGATGATTTAAAAAAAAAATTTTAGTCAATTTGAAGCAAGTTGAAAACAGACCTTTTTGACCTTTTTTGACCTTGAGAAGGTCATTGAAGGTCAAATGTCAAATCTAAAGTCAGATTTGAATTTCTGAGAACATGTAGAAGATTTTGAAAAAAAAATTTAGTCAATTTGAAGCAAGTTGAAAAAAGACCTTTTTGACCTTTTTTGACTTTGAGAAGGTCATTGAAGGTCAAATGTCAAATCTAAAGTCAGATTTGAATTTCTGAGAACACGTAGATGATTTTGAAAAAAAAATTTAGTCAATTTGAAGCAAGTTGAAAACAGACCTTTTTGACCTTTTTTGACTTTGAGAAGGTCATTGAAGGTCAAATGTCAAATCTAAAGTCAAATCTAAAGTCAGATTTGAATTTCTGAGAACACGTAGATGATTTTGAAAAAAAAATTTAGTCAATTTGAAGCAAGTTGAAAACAGACCTTTTTGACCTTTTTTGACCTTGAGAAGGTCATTGAAGGTCAAATGTCAAATCTAAAGTCAGATTTGAAGGTCAAATGTCAAATCTAAAGTCAGATTTGAATTTCTGAGAACATGTAGATGATTTTGAAAAAAAATTTAGTCAATGTGAAGCAAGTTGAAAAAAGACCTTTTTGACCTTGAGAAGGTCATTGAAGGTCAAATGTCAAATCTAAAGTCAGATTTGAACTTCTGAGAACATGTAGATAATTTAGAAAAAAATTGAAGTCAGTCTAAACAGTATTTGTTAAGTTATAGGAAGTTGTAAGAAATTGTTACAGACGCCAACCGCCGGACGCCAACCACCAACCGCCGGACGCCGGACGCCAACCGCCGTCGCAAAAAAACGGAGACCATAACAATATGTCACCACTTTTGGTGGTGACATAATAAATCAGCCAAATTAAAAATCCGCCAATTTTCGGATCTATTTTGGAAAATCCTCAGAATATTTGTAATTTGCAATTATTTAACTTGTGTAACTGCTTCTATTTGGATATTAGTGCAAAACTGCAAGTAGAACACATGAATCTGAAATGTTCATTTCCAGATCAATGATAAAACTTGAGCTCAGTCCTGACTCAGCCAAATTAAATGGTCGCCAATATTTGAAATTGAGCAAATCTGCCAAATCAAGTTGCGTCAAATTAAGTGTATCAACAGTATTTGGGATTTTGTCTGAGTAATGATAGCCGTGTAAAAAAATGAAGTTGAATGTACAACCCCCATTTAATAGAATTTTAAGTGTTACTTGCCTAGCCTTTCAATGTTCAAAAAATGAGAAAATGGGCATTTTTGAAAAATGGTTTGAGGAAAGGTGCCAATTTTTCATTAAATGGGTCTAAAATGGGATGGAACCATGAGAGAAAAGCTTACCTCATCACTCAAGAGTTCTGTGTATTTATGTGGTGCATAACGATCCACCCAGAGATGCTGGGCTCTCTCATTTGTCTCCTCGACAACCTCATCATCTATATCACTATGGTTACCATTTACTGCTGCTATAGCGCTGTCTATTTCACTAGAGTATAAAGAAGACTTTTAATGAACATGTATTTCACTGCATTTGCTTGGCTTTTCTCATTTTTATTTACGTTTGTGTCTTTATATTTTAGTATTAAAAATCAAATAAATATCCCAATAAGACTTTTAAGACAATAAAGTACTATTAGAAAATACTTTTCAAAATTTATTTATTTTTATTGTTAACTTATTTCTCAAACATACCCTTATGTTTCACCTTTTAGTGTTTGATCATGAATATGTTTAATAGATGAAAACAAGGTTTCCCTGACAAACAATTAAAAAAGTTGGTTTGAAATTTCCTGAAGCTTTCCTTCATCGCTGCAATTTTAATGCACTTTGTCTCAACTTTCCACCAGTTTTTGCTTCAAACCCATTTTTTGTAATATGTTAAGACCAGTTTTCTTGGGACATGGTTTCAAAACCAAATTACCTAAAATGCATACTTTTAACATCAAAGAAGTTTATACTGACCCTGTAATGTGCTTGGATAGATTTGTAGATTCTTCTATCAATGATGTCAATTTTTTAGTTCGAACTGTGTTCATCAGTGAGGTGATAGATGTCCCTAGTAGTGACAATCCCTTAGAGCTAGCAACCAGTTCCAAACTCTGCAAGAAAAAAGTTTGGTGTCAAGAAATTTTGATTTAGATACTCAAAGCTAATAAAACAAATTAGGGTGCGACAATGAATGAAATTTGGTAAAACCTCCGCATTCTTCATCCTTCATAATCGTCAGGTCCAGGAGCAACATAAACTAAAGAATCTTTGATTATTTAGGATATCTTGCAAAAAAAGTGACTTCTATGAATGTGGCATCCTCCTAAACAGGTATCAAGAATCAGTACCTCCTTCTTCCCCCTGCTATAACCAATTTTGAAGCGCCCGATTAAACTGAATCATGTGATCTAATTATGCGCAATACATGATTTCTGTCACAGTGTTGCAACAGCCAATCAGATTGCGAGTTCTTAATCGGGGAAATGCTAACTGCTTATCGCAGGGGGTAAAAAGAAAGAATAAATTCTGGATTTTGAAGCCCTGTGATCGGAGGATGTGAATGTGGACAATTCTGCATCTTTAATATTTTTTCGATAAGTTTACATTAGATCAGATATCTGAATTCTAAGATCAAAATTGAGAGAACTGATTGGAGGTAAATGCCATTATCAACTATTTAAAAAAAAAAAAACTATAACTAAACTAAATACTATAACTAAATACTCATGCTAATCTAAAACAATAATGACCATCATACAGTTATGGCCCAAAAAATACAATACTCTACCTCTTTTTCTAAGTTTGATTCATCTTTTAATGTCATATAAGCTCGTTGACCACCTTCACCAGTTGCAGAGAAAAACTGTCCATTTGGTGGTCTTTTCAGGACTCTTTCTCTTGTCATCTCAAAATCTGCAGAAGAATAACATAAATTTTTAAATCAATATTTGGGCACTCAAAAGGACATAGATAAGTATATCTCTTATGGCATTTTTCCCTGTAATTTTACTAAAAGTCATAAGTAGTGTTGTTGCGATTAATCGATACATTCCAATGATAATCGTCAAAATGATACAAGCGATACATCGATGTCCGTTACTAATTTTAATGTTTTTGAAAAAAATCATCTTTACCTACATTATTTTCGGGCAGATATTGTGATACATCATAATAGGATTATTTTTCATATATGTTTGCTCCTAAAATATCCCGATGCAATGATGTCCAAATATAACACATGATTGTGCATTGCAACAACACAAGTCATGAGGTCAATTAACAAAATCAAGAGAGAAACTACATGGACATACATAAAATGATGAGCACAGTAAATCTGGAAATGTGCAGACAAGAAAAGAGTAAGAATATTGCTACCCATTCGGGCCATCCCGTAAACTATCAACAGCGTAATAATAAATTTCGGTCTCAGTCTTATGTAGGCAAAACAATATATTGGGTCTAATATAGAGAATTTTGGAAATTTTTTTAAAATTTAGTCCATCCCTAGCCCATTTTCACATCTATGCCTGAAATATAATTGTAATCGGTACTTACTGTCTTTCATCGTCTGGAGACGTTTAATTCTGTCAGTTGCACTTAGAACTGGTGACTCTGCCCTGTTTTGCTGTCTCGTTGTCACAGCAACTGGGGACGATGGAGGAGTTATTTCGAAAGAATCATCACCGATGGAATTATCTTGTGATGCAGGTTTCTTGGAATGAGATTGACTGGCTGTACCATGCCTAGCACGCTTCCTCTGTGGAGCTAAATGAGATTAAATAGTACTTTATGATTGAAATTCAAAAGATCTTAAGAAATCCATGGAAATACATTGATTTCTTCAAGGTAAAGAATCAGTCTATGCCCACAAATGTGTATACAGTGTAATGATCAAATATTAGATCAACAAAAAAATAAAATTATTTTCAGTGATCTCTCCAGCATTCTAGCAATAGGGCCCTACTCCCTTTAAATTTGAAAATCTATTATTCACTGTCTAATACCTTTGTCACATTTTCTCTGATCTTCAACACTGGCGCCCGGCCAATGAGTGTTATGCTCAAAACTGAATGCAATTTAAAAAAACTCATAGGCCAGGCACCAGTACTGAAAATAGGAGCAAATGTGACCATAGCATTAAAATGAAATATTGGATTCAGTACACAATGAAAATATACCAGGGTTATCTTGTTCCAACACCATCCTCTTCGTTTCTGGTCTTGGAGGGGATCCATTGAAACACACATTATTTTTCAAAAGTCTAAATTTAACGGCGTTAGGTACGCATATATTTCTTACATCTATCGACTCCTAACACCAAAAGAAATGTTCTCCCCAAGCCAGAAAAGATGCGACTGTCTCAAATTGCAGTAATATACACTTCAATCTTCGAGTCGACCAGTATTCAGCTTATTTCAAAATGTCTGCCATGAACATTTCATCCAGTGCCTACATTTCAATCTCTTTTTTTCCCGGGAACATTATCCTTCAAACTTGAGAAATTAGTTCGCTCAATTAATACAGAATCAAGTTAAGCAACATTGATAAATCGTGAGTTTTGACGTGTTGTTAGGTAAAATGCAAGGAAATTCCCTCCGCTGAATGTTTTCTTCATTTATATATTACTATGCGTCGTGTAAGTTAAAATAGTCCGAAAGTGACGTCATCAAATTCATGGATGACATTTTGGAAAACCGGTCGATTTGAAGTTTGAAGTGTATGTTACTGCGATTTGAGACAGCCGCAACTTTTCTGCCTTTAGAAGAATGTTTCTTGTGATGTTAAGAATCGATAGAGGTAAAAATGTTGGTAAAAATGAAAAAAATAAGACAAAGCAATAAATTGAGACTGTCACTTACCTTCCAAAAACGATGAATGCAAGCAAATAGACTTTGTCGTGTCAACCATTGAGCATATATAAGCACAATATCCAAGTGAAAATAAATAAACATTTTTGTTAACTTTATTTTGAGACTTCTATTTCCACATTCAGATGGCAATGCGATATTTGAATGAAGTCTTTTATTTGCGCATATGTGTGTAATCCACCAAAATCTGAACCACAACGGACCTAATGTGCAGATTGCCTCTACTCAAAAAATGGAAAATTGAAAACGATTAACATTTATTTCTATCAATACTGTGCTTCTGCTTTTTGATCGATAAAATAAAGCTAGAGTTCACTTATGTTTACTAGCTATCTCATAAGGTGAGTGACAGTCTCATTCTTTAACCTTTAGTCTCATTTTTTTAACGAAGTGTCCGGAGTACCTTAAAATTTAAGGTTCCTTAGCCAAAATGCTAAAGAGCCTTAAAAGGACGATTCTCGGTTTGGAGAACAGTCTCCTGGGCTAATAATTTTTTTAATGAAAAATATAGAAATATTACCCAAATTAAACTATGAATATTCAAAAGAGGACATTTAATCTACAAGATGTAAAAATAACAAATTGGTCTGAAGCAGGGATAAGGCTCAATTTGACCGATTCAATTTAATACAAGTCTCGAATTGGGGAAAGAAGTTCATCAGTGTACTGCGCTAATAATTTTTTGCGAAAAATCTAGAAATATTACCCAAATTAAATTATGACTATTCAAAAGAACACATTCAAATCTATATTATGTAAAAAAATCATATTTGTCCGAAGCAGGGATAATGCTCATTTAGATTGATGAACTTCGTTCTCCAAACCGAGAATCGTCCTTTAAGGCTATTTAGCTGTGAACATAGTGTTTTGGCTAGAGAGCCTTTGTGTTTATAATCCGTGTTTATATTGTTTTTATTGAAGTTTTCGTCATCTAAACAATAAAACAACACCCTCGAAAGTTTTTCAACCCAGAATGCCACTTAAAAATTTCACACATGTATATCACTATAGAGTTGTAAAAAAATTAAGCCCCATCATGGGATAACACTCTGGTATAGTGGTTAGAGTGCTCGCTTTCCACTTCTGAGGCATGGGTTTGATTCCCAGACGGAGCACCTTTTATTTTGAATAACAAGCCGGAAGTTTGTTCTCCGCCCGGTTATCGATGTCCGGAAATTATGTACACAAATCTTTCTAGAATTCTTGGGCTTGCTCCATCGCTCAATCATCAATGTTGAAATTAATCACTTGTATCGGCTCTGCTATAATCTAGTCACGAGAATACAGGGAATCACATTTTAAGATGGCAAAAAGTATGATGAAGACCTGGGGATGAAAAAGGATCTTGTTTCTTCTAGATCAGCACATCTTGACGCAGTTTATCGTGAATACAGGGACATCACAGAATACACTTCCAAATCTATTGCCCATTAGATTTCAATGCTGATTTTAGAATTTTTCACGTGACGAGATATTTTTGCATCTTCCTCAGAATTTAAGCACATGAGACAGCACAAAGAAAATTTACAGTACAAGAGGTGAACTGTCGAGGAAACAGCGGCTTATGCAACACAACAACAACATTTTTATCCTAAACTCCAATCCATCAATAAATGTCTATACATCAAAATCTTTACTAAACGGACGTTGCGATTTATGGTGGATACAATGGTAAAAATAACATTTTTCTGGCTATATACGTGATTGCCTGGTCTTACACCTTCTCTGGTGAACCAGAGACATATATTTCGATATATGCATGAACATCAAACAAATAAACATTTACTTTTCAAAATCCATGTTTGAACCTTTAAAAAGCCAAATTTAGACTGGGGATTGAAAAGGTTCTTTTATTTCTCTCGGTAGACCGGAAGTAAATTTATGAGTCGAGCAAAAAGTGATAATGTTTTTTATGAAGTGGGGAAGTCAAAACAGTACTAAAAGAAGTCATAGTAAGCATTAGAAGATCATTTACAACCATTCAAATCGACGGCAAAGTTAGTTGAAATGACTGAAATCTTTATATGTTATCTTCTTCATCTTCGCGGACCTCAGAGAAGTCATTTCTGGTTTAATAATCAGTGATTTTATCGATCAAAAAAATTTTCTTTTTGAATTTGTCCGATATTTGCTAATATGGTATGTATATTTGTGCTGATTGTTAAATTACAAAATTAATAGGTTGGGTATAGAATATGTTAAAGTCGTTTGATCTTGTCCCAGAAGCAATATTTCGTCATTTCTGTCGCCTGGAATTCCTTTAAGGCTCTTTAGCAGGATTGGCTATCAAAATGCTAAAGAGCCTTAAAATTTAAGGCTCTTTAGCCCAAATGCTAAAGAACCTTAAAATTTAAGGCTCTTTAGCATTTTGGCTAGAGAGCCTTAAATTTTAAGGCTCTCCAGCCGCGGCCTTTTTTAATTCTACTAATGTCAGACTGTGAAAAATGTAGTACTTACTTATGTCAGGTAGAGAATCTGTAGTTTTTGCAGTATTTTTCAAGTTCAAATCATCGTCATCATCTGAAAGATCTCCGAACATGTCCGACTGGTCTCTCTTCTTTGACTTGCGAAAATTTGAGTTACTGTCATTTTCTTTATTTCCTACTCCGGGACTCTCAGTTAAAGGTGTCGCAAAACTGTCATTTAGATTTTTAACTGGACGGCTCCTTGTGGCAGACTTTGGCGTAGTAAAGTCCAAGCTTTTCTTAGATTTGTTTGATATCACTGGATTGGAATATTCTGAAAATGTACATTTATAATGGTTCAAGGATACATAAATTTGAAAAACCATATTGATGTTATTCACAATCAACCAGGGAAAAAATGCCAAGTCACCGTAATCAATTACAAAACGAACTTCAAAATGAGCACAGATCAATCAAAGAAAAATTTGAAAAAATAAATGAATAGCAGACCAAATAAACATACCTTCCATGTCATTCATGGCGTCCAACTCATCCTCAAACGCGTAATCAAAATCGTCATCCATTTTGGTGTCAGTAAAAGTATGTATATATTCCCTAAAATATGATAAATTATGAAGTTTTTAAAATCTACAAAAAGTTTTCAAAAATAATTTTCGCCATTTTGGAAATTTCGCGGGAAATTTGTAAAGAGGGCAGCACCAGTGTTCTGTACGAAACATGAAGACGTTTTTATGAATTTCCCGGGGAATTTACAGTAGCCAGAAGTCTATGGCTCAATGGATTTGATTCTGGATGATTCAACTACAAATTTCTTGTATCAGGACTTTGAATGAACGGCGGTAGCTAGAATTCAGAAAATAAGACACATTATGGTACTTGCAAAATTGATTTTTTTACATAGCCATTCACTCCAATGTTGTAAAATATTACGGGTAAAGAGGGGAGATTTCAACGCAGTAGCCTGACAGTCGCCCCACGGTATTTCAACATAAAGGGACTTCCTAGGGGGGGGGGGGGTACAGGGGCCAACCAGGAAGGTTCCTTTCAATTTAAAATGAGTTTTAAACCATAGATCTATTTTAAATGTCAAGGTTTTAAATTATATTCATTGACTATCACTGTTAAATTATATCATCTGCATTATATGGGCTTATTAGCCTTTTGCAGATTATTGACATAGACATGAACTTAAAGAATCATGTATCATTCTACATTAGAAATATAAAAGCATGACTGTATGTACTAACCCATCTACATAATGCACGAAGGCGAAGCCTGGGTGCATTATCAGAATGGGTCAGTACATACAAGAATGCTTTTATATTTCCAATATAGAATGATACATGATTCTTTATTGCAATTCAAACATGACTCTGGTCAATGATGAAGTTGAACAGTTCACCATTTACGTACATCTACAATATTATTGTCTCTGAAGAAATTAAATTTTAAATGTTTTTGGACAAGTTTATTATTTAGAAATACTAAAAAGGGGTGTTACGTTACAATTACAATTCTTTTGGAAACTATTGAGAAGGTTTTGTTTGCCAAAATGTTTTCTGCCCCCCCCCCCCCTTGGGTGGGCCCAGAAAAAAAAATTGGGCCCAAAAAAGGCCTTAACGCCATAATTGGGATTATTATTTTTTTTTTTGTTTCAGGCCAAATTTTGAAAAAATGGGCCTCAAAATTGCGGAAGTTTTTTTCTCTGACCTGAAATTTGCCCCCCCCCCCCTTATTGGTTCCCAAATCCGCCACTAGGTCGAATTGGCGTTTTTTCTCATTTGTCATTTTTTGAGGCCTTATCAAATGTCAGAAGTAAAATAACGCAAACTGAACCCACATTTATGGGGGTATAAAATATAGAATTATATATAATTTTGTTATTTTATTCTATTTTATATTTTTCTTATTATTTATAAAGAATGTACACAAGCTATCCAAAACCAGTGTGGTACAAAAGACGAGAGCTGGACATTGGACATTTTCCCTGTTAGTTTTCTGTGGTTCATTAATCTCTTTTTGAACGTTGGCTATCAACCTAGCAACCTCATTTGTTAAATGGGAGACCTTTTCAACAAACATACAAAACAAATCATACGTACTTCATCAAGAAAATGTATATTAATAACAATAAACAAATATGTATGCCATCATACCGTATGATGTTATACTTTAAAACTTCATTCTGAGCCTATTCAAGTGTACAAGCCCACTTCTCGCATTAATTCCGTTCCTCTTCTCGTTATGTCTTCTTCTGTAAAATTTGTCTTTCCAGCATACATAAATTCCCGAACAGCTTTTACATCATAGAGCGAATGGACCCACTCTTGGGCATGCCATTTGTCCTCAACACGAACCAAACTACCCCCTACTTCAGGATATTTTCTCGGTTTTGGGCATCCATAGTGGTTTACATTTGCGATATGTCTTTTGATTGGAAGACCCTGCTTTTTACGTTTTATATTTTCATGGAGTCTATTGCATACAACACATTCGAATGAGTCGATAAAATTGGGTCTATCCCAATCATTATTAATTCCCCATTCTCTCTTTGTCATAATATCCTTCAGATATTCATTTTTCACACCGGTTCTTTTAAACTCAAGATATTTATCATATTCCTCGTCATTTTCATTCAGATATGTTAAATAGTTTGTAAGATCTTTGACTGTTTTGAAATCATCCACAATAATAGCCGAACGGTTATCTGGGAGAAAATCCTGAAAAATAGAGTGTCATAAGTAAGATCCCGTGTTTAAAAATATTCTTCATTTCGTGTTCCCCCATGTTTGATGTATTTTACTTAAGTCCAGGTACAATCGCATTAAATATATATTTATTTTCTAAACTGTTCCATTGATTTAAATACTGTTCTACTCACTCGTATTTTAGGCGACCCTACTATAATGGGGACGCTACCCGCATATAGAGGACGCCACACCTTCTCTGTGATATAGTCATCACAAATTGCATTTTCCGTTGCCATAGTGAACTTGTATTTAGCTTGGATTTTGTAAAACTCCGTGTGATGCATGCCTTCTACTGGATTTCTAAGGCTGGAAATATATAATTTAAATTAATACACCACCCTCCATAAGTTTGAAAACCGGAAGCTTACATATCAAATAGCATATCAAAGCCTTTCAAAGTTTGAATCTTAATTTTGTTCCTTGATTAAAATAGTTCGGAAAATGACAAATCTGATGATTTTTAAATCGCCAAACATGAATGAGGCTTTTAAGTCATTCAAAAAGAATTTCCGATTGCCAAACTTATGGAGGAGAGTGTACATCATTATGGTACCATAGATATGATTATTTAAGTTCCTAATTTCAGCAATGTTTTAGTCTGGAATACAAGAAGCTTATTCGTGATCAAAATATCTGGAGTCGAGATAAAAAAAAGTCAGAAAGATCAGAGTCCAAATAAAGAAGGGATTACGATCACTTAACTTACGTTTTGTTATATTTAAATGAGTTTTAAAAAGAAGCAAGTACAGTCTTATTACGCGGAACACAGAAATTTATCCAAATGAAAAATAAAACAGATAGAAAAATACTTTTCGGGTAAATCCTTGTTATGCATACACAATCCATAGGAATCAATCTTTATGTATTTCTGCATCATCGCCATGAGGTGGTCTCTATCCGAGGGAGGGTCACAATCGCTATAAACAAAGTTAACAGGCGCCAAACCTTCCCCAGCCTGATATTTATTCTTCTTCGCAGTTGGTACAACAAAGGAAGTGTTTTCTAGAAGTTCTATAGAATCCAAATACTGAGTTGCAATACTCATGTCTGATTCGCGTTTAAATGTTGAAGTATGGTTGAATAGGCTCATGGTTTCTACATGGGAGTAAGCGTAAACATTTTTAGGAGATTCTTCATGAAGTAGCGCCCATTCATGGTGGGGTTTTCGAGGCAGAGGGAGATCATCAAACTTGATGTCTGTTCCATAAAACATGAACACCTGGAAATAAATTCCATAAACACCTTTCAAAATTGGTTGTACATGTAAAAATATCCCGAGAATGAAGACCTATTATATCATCATGATAAACCATGACATCTCAATTCTTCTCAGCCCTGAGATGCACAAGTTTCAGGTTAAACAGAAAGATGCTAGGAGTATGAGAATGCTATTATACACGTCAACACATTCACCGATTAGTCAAACGGCTCTTCTAATACATGGTATAGTTGAATTACCTTTGTATTCTTATGATGCCTGTAATCTCTATCAACAGTGAAATAACATTCATTCGTTCCACATTTTTTGGTTGAACCAGGATCACCAGTGAAGGGGGTCCACCAGAGAATTATGGGATGTGGAATGTCCTCTTTTGTTGCCTTCTCTTCACCATCTGGTATAGACTTGGGTTCATCTTCAATGTCCCGATCAACAAACGCTTAAAACATAAATGTGACATCACCTGACGCACTATTGGCTGGCCACCCCGTGTAATGAGATAGGACAAGGTTGCAGTATACTTTGACGTGATGATGAGAAAGAAAATAACATATCGAAATGGCTGTAAGTTTATTTTATAATTGTACCCTTTTCTAAGGACATCTCATAGGATACAAAATAATTTATTTAATTGTTTTGTTGTCACTTACTGTCAACAGCTCCAGTGTCATCTGCTTCAACATAACTGACATCATAGCTGACATACTGCAAATAGAGAGAAACGAAAACGCCTGACTCAACTAAAACAAAACAAAAGTAAACAAAGGAACTCCCAAGTCTTTGGAAATTACAATAGCTATGTATGTTTTGCAGCTAATAGGTTATGATCAAAAATATAAAATGGTATTTTTCGTGCACATCCCATTAGTCGGTGCAACGAAATTTATGCTCCTCTTTCGTTACATTTTTACAATCACAGTCCACAGACGCTGACGGCTTAACTGACGCAGTTTGCGTATGGTGCGGATACGGTGCTACGTGGAATGTCTCATAGTTGGTTGCGATTTGCATGTTACCTACCTGTGTGTAAAATGCGTATCTTGGATTCAATGATTATAGAAAGGCATAATATCTCCATGAGAAAATGATATCCAGCCTTTTCTTATTTTTGATAGCCACATTTAAGTGGACAATTCTTCGGCTTCGACAATGATCGGCTATTAATAGATACATTGTCCCTCATTCGAAATTAGCAGAAATAACTCACCTGAAAGCCTATGATTGCCAGCGTCAAGAAAACAATGAAAAACGACAGTAGAAAGCATCTGAATAAACACCTGTTCCTAGCCATCTTTTTCCCTCCGCATGCAGTACCATCAAAAGTTAATGCGTACGCTGCGGATGTGGTCGAATTTGTTGCAACTATATTCACGAAAATCTTTGATTAGATTGTTTGGTTCTGAGTATGACTATCATCTTATTACTTATAAGATTCAACTTAAAAGTTAAAAATGATATTGCAAATAATATATATTTTGAAAATATCAAATACACAGATACTATTCAAATTTCATATCTGCTGGCATAGATAGCGTGATTCATTATCTTTACAGCATCATAACATTTGTCAAAGTTCCCCCGCTTTCTTTAATCACAGTGTTAATGTTAATATATTGTGATATTGAAGTCTTAAAATTGCGCTCAGTCGTTGTCCAAGTACAGGGTGATACAAAAATGCCACTCACTTAATGTGGCATAAAAATGCCACTCACATAATGTGACATAACTTTTCCATCTGTATGGTATATAAGCTTATTCTTTAGTTCATTTAAAACTAGACCCCATGGAGCAACTCCACGAAAAGTTTCAGATGGCTAGCTCAACTATGTTACAAGATGTGCTATAAATGTCGTCTATTCTTTTGCAGACACACCTCAATTCTACACAAAAAATGCCACACACCATTTGTAACACAATGTATTCAGCAATTAATTGGCGATGGTATTATATTAATTATTTTTTGAATAATCATTATATTGTAAAAATGTCATTATTGAAATAGTACAGGGTGACCCAAAAAAATGCAACCCTCCATTTTTTCAATATTTTTCCTAAATGGAGGTTAATTGCTCTGAAATTTTACACACAAAAACTTCATTCAATGTGGGATCCTCTGGCAAAGTTTCAATAATCATAGTCTTATATTGATAAAGTTATGGTCGTTCCAAAATATGCTCCAAATGTCGTCTATTTCCAATGTTAGGTTTTCAGATGAATCACATTCCCTTCTTTCTGAACATGTAAACTCAAGAAATAATGTGTTCTGGGATCACAAATTCCAGATAAAGTGCTTCAAAGGCCCCTTCATTCTGTTAACTGCACAGCTTGAGCTGCCAATTTCCAAACATGAAATCATCAACCCCTTTTGGTTTGAGGTTGATAATGGCCACACTGTTACTGTTAACACACACCGCAATATTGGAGTTCCCAGGAAGTTCTAGGCAGTTCTAGAGTGACATAGAGGCTTCAATAGACAAGAACAGTGGTTCTAGAAGGATGGAGCTACTCCTCACACTTCTAATGATAGCATAGCCTGGCTCACTAGTCATTTCTATGAGAAGATGATCTCTCCTAGGACGGAGAACCCATGATCATCCCAAAGTCTCGATCTCAACGCCCCTGACTTCTATATAGGGGGTTATTTAAAGGATAATATGTATGAAAATAACCCTACCGCAATTGCAGAAGCATTGGCTGCAAAAGTTGAGCCATACCCATGGGGAAGAATGCATCCATGTTATGAACAGTTTCCTTGAACATCGCAAGTTTGTTTTCAGCGAAATTGACGACATCTGGAGCATATTTTGAAACAACCATAACTCTATCAATATAAGACTATGATTATTAAAACTTTGCCAGAGGATCCCACATTGAATGAAGTCCTTGTGTGCCAAATCTCAGAGCAATTTACCTCCATTTAAGAAAAATATTGAAGAAATGGAGGGTTGCATTTTTTTGGGGTCACCCTGTATTTGAGAAAATAATCCCCATAAACATAATTATAATGGCAGATATTTTCCATGACACATTCACAGTCTTATTCCATTTTATCTTCAGCTTGATGTGATACAACAGAGACATCTTTGTTAAAATGGTATGAATGAAGTATGGATCATTGCAACTTTTGTTTTCATATCTGCGGTACCATAATTGAATTCTTATGTTTGGATTTTATACTGTGAAGTTTATTCACTAATTTTTATTACAAACATGCAAAACTTGTTTTTTAATGTTGTCTTAGATTAGTTTTTTGTTTCTAGTGGGCAATTGAAGGGCAGGCTTTGTGACAGAGTGAGACAATTTTCTCCGCAAGTTTTTTACCTGATTGAAGCATTGTCCATTTTCCCAATTATGGAATTTCCCGAATTATGGATTCAGAAGAGGAGGTAAACATAACATATTCAAATTTTTGGGATTTCCTCAACTGAGTAAAAATTGATTTTAACTGGATGCAGGAAAGTGACAAAGTGACAATGCTAGGAACACCACCTAGAGTGTCAGTTACAGCATTTGTAGAAATCAATCAACTAAGTATACAATATATGTTCAGTTTATAATTTTTATTACTAAAATAAGTAATGCTGAATAATAGTATTAATACAATTTGGCACTTTTAATAATATCAGAGCAGTTTAAAATAATTACAATTACATTTTTATTACAAGCATTTTACCACTGTTTCTTGAGCTATACATAAATTCACTCTTTATATAACATAAAAATCTCCAATTCTTACAAGCTTTTGCACAATATGATTCTTATATAAAACATCATTTATGATAGCTTGCATGTGAGTGAATACTTCATGTTATACTAAAAAGTGAATTGGAATTGCATATTTACTAACTACTCACTCCATAATGGAAGACCCTCCTCACCAAAATATCATAAAAGAAATATACATGTGCATTAAAAGAAAATAATGGATAACAATCTTACAGTGGGATTTCTTTTTCTCTCAAAACTTCATTTTAACATCAACTTTGCATTATCAGCATAAGTGAGCATTATTGACTAAAATGATTCAATAAAATGATAGCATATTTACTGGAATCATTCCGTAATGTTTTGAGGTTCATTTCTAGAACACTGTGTAGAACATCAATGTTTTAATAGTTGAAAAAGCAATATAAAAAGAATATTACACTGTTGTGATTTAATACATAAAGCTACAAGACTAAGTATATTCATCCAATTTATATCAATGTTGTCATTCCAGAAATATCAACATCCTTATGGGATGTACGAGGGGGGATTCATAAGTAGTGGGACAAATGCTATAACTTCACTTATATCAACCAGATTTTATTCAGACTTACACCCAACTTCAGTAAAGTGAGAGTTTCAATCATGACGTTACAACAGGGTCCACGGAGATATGTTCACAGGGACTTGCTGCCTCAGAAAAGTTAGTCCCACTACTTATGAATCCCCCCTCGTACATTTTCATAGAATAATACAGTAAAATAAATGTATTTTGATTTTTAAATCACTAAAACTGTGATTTCACCAATTTATGAAAATAAGTATTTGGACCGATAAGTATAAGAGTTCTCTAATTGTCCTATGTTTTCCTGGAAGTGTCATAACCAGATTATCTTACTTCTGTATAAATATGCCATGATTAAAATACTATGCATGTATGGCAAATCTTAAAATTTGTGCTATATGGCAAATAAAGAGATACATACCAGGTCGTTCAATAAGTTCACGGAAAAACGCTCTCATTTCAAGGATTTTTGATATTTTCTCATGAAATTTTCACACAATGTATAAAAAATACTTTCTGATTGATTGTTAAAATCTCAGCATCTCTAATTAGATTGGTCAAAAATAAGGGTTACTATGGTAACTTGACTTTTTGGTAGGCGGGGCACGTTTTACGTCACACAATTTACCATTACAGAAATCTATCAATATGTGCAAAGGAAGGATCCTTATTTTTTATTTGTTCTTATTCAAATTACAAATTTTTGAGGGAAAATTGATGTTAATGGTTTTCACGAACATTTTTGAAATTGTGCTAGTTAATGCTGTACCAGTGGACCAGAAAATCAACAAAGTAATGGTATGGTAAGTTGATTAAAACTTCCATTCAGCCGAACTCTAAATCTTTCCATCAGAATAATGCAGCCGATCACACTGCTAATATTGTGCAGGAAACCATCACAAATAACTGGCAAAATAGATGGCAAAGCTGCCCCAAGTTACATTCTCTCCAGATGAGACAACTTTGATTTTGCTGTTTTCACTAGGATGAAGGATCAGCTAAGAGGTTGACTTTATGAAACAATGAATCTACTTTCGACTGCAGTCCAGATTGCCCTTCAAAAAAGTTTTCGAGATGACTTCAGAGCATTGTCTCGTCAATGGCTTGAATGGAACTTACTGTGCATTAAACATGCGGGAGAATATTTCTAAAACCTTATGGGACAATAGTTGTTACTATAACTACATTAAGTAATATCATGTACAAGTAGAAAGCGGAGAAGAAATTCATGTGATATATATAGGTTATTTACTGGGAGGGATTGAATATGGGTTTTATTCCGAGGGACAATATGATATTGACCGAAGGGTAATATGATATTGACCGAGGGAGCGCAGCGACCGAGTGTCAATATCATATTTCCCAAGGTCAATATCATATTTTCCGAGGAATAAAACCCATATTCAATACCGACCAGAAATAACCTATTTATTCCATAATGCACTCCTCCTTAAAATGTTACATTTGGATAATGCTTTTATCAATTAGTCAAGGTTAAAAATAACCGGGAAAACCAAAAATAGGTTAATATGTTCCAATACGATTTTTGTCCCGGGGACAATACGATTTTTCCATGTAATACGCTCCAATACGATTTTTTTCCCGGGGACAATACGATTTTTTCATGTAATACGATTCAATACGATTTTTATTCCTTCATATTTCCCTGGGAAAACAGTAGTATTATGGAATAAACTCATAAATTGCCTACTATTCTGTTGTTTTTCTAATGAATAATGTGACGTAAAAAGTGCCCCGCCTACCCAAAAGTCAAGTTACCATAGTAACCCTTATTTTTGACCAATCAAATAAGAGATGCTGATATTTTCAGAATCAATCAGAAAGTATTTTTTATACATTGTGTGAAAATTTCAAGAGAAAATATCAAAAATCCTTATAATGAGAGCATTTTTCCGTGAACTTATTGAACGACCTGGTATATGGCAATTATATTAAAATACATCTGCACATGTCATGTTACATAGAAGTAAAAATGATGAAACTTTAACACCATCGAAAAACAGAGTAGCTGAGCTGAGCATGGAAATATTTACATTTCTAACTGATACTGTGATGGATCATTCTCTCCACAGCCCCCATGAATTAACCTGTTTATTCCAATCCACCTAAACTACAGTTTTACTGATATCAATAAATTGAACAATGCTTTAAATGATAGCCATAAAGTGGCAGTGGCATTAAAAATATGAAATATTGAACTAATCATAAATTCTTTCAATCTTAACAGCTGAGCAATTACACTATTTTTAATTACTTTTATTAATTAATTATTATTTGAATTGTACTGTTTGATAAATGTATATTTCTACCTGTTCACAATACTGTAAATCCATCACAAATGATTTACATTAACTAATTTTATTGTCAATGCACAGATAGATATAAGCAATATCATGTATTAAACGGAATTCATTTTATGGTTAAACCTATTCGGTGCGGTTTTCTCTAATTTTTACTTTTGCTTCAAAAAGAGGGGGGAATATCCCAGAATTCATAGATGATCCTCTCTCCATGAGGAGATAAACCTCTAGAGGTCAATCTTTACATGGAGGATGATACAGTGATACAGTGACCCCACAATCTTTGAATTGTGGGGTATTTCCTCCTCTTCTCTACAATTCATCTTTCTGGAAACTGCACATTCACTGCACAGTTTTTTTTACATTATTAGTATCAATTGCCTTACAAAAATAATTCTATATTTTCATAAATTTTAGTAAAGGCAATGATATAGATTATGCACACCTGGGTATGCACCTTTAACAATATTGAGGCATATACAATTTTTAGAATTCACTCTTAGATTTCCGGCATTTCACCTGGATTTCAAATATTAAACTAATTGCCAATTTGCATTTCAATTATGCATAACTTCTCCAAGTCAATATTTAGAATATTAAAATTTACATTTACAAATAGTTCCATTATATTGTTAGACAAGCAATAAGATTAAGATGAATAAGCACAAAAACACTGGCAGATCCAGAATCTAATGAGGGGGGGGGGCACATTTCAAATCAGAAAAACTGGGCCCCTAAATTTTGAAAATTTAAGGCTCATTTTTTCATAATTTGGCCTAAAAAGACCCAAAAGGCCAAGTAATGCCCACTATTTGAGGCCCTACAAAAACAAAAGTCTGGGTCCACCCAAGCGGGGGTGGGCTGGGTCTGCAAGTGCAAAATACAAGAGTTAAAACTTTCCAGTAATACATTCATCAAATGATATATCATATGTAAGAAGCAGTATTGATATAAATACATACACACAATAACTCCACTTTTATATCAATTGCACCCAAAGCCATAAGAAGTTATCTATATATTAATACATTTTCAAAATTAGCACCAGATATCTTAGATCAACAATAAGATTCTCGTACTCTATGTACCCATGTACAGGTAATCAATTTTATGAACATATATCTCAAATGAAATATAAATCATGAAACATTACACATAATGATGGAAGAGGTAAAAAAGTGCATTTCCAAGTTACCTTATTAAGTAGCACTTTCAATCAGTGGAAAAGTGTTGATGACAACCTCAAGTAAAGAACAGTATCGAACTATACATCCTTTTTCAAATCTCCATTCTCAAATACATACATGTGCACTAATAAAACAAATCAATAATAATTTGGTACCCATAAAAATAATGCTAATTTAGTACTAAAAATTGTAAGTACCAAATTAGTATACATGTAATTTATGCATATAAAGTGTACACTCCCGCTTCTTTCATCAATTCCATAGCTCTTCTCGTTATGTCTTCTTCTAAGAACTTTGTCTTCCCAGCATCCATAAATTCCCTAACAGCTTTTATTCTATATAGTGAATGAACCCATTCTTGGGCGTGCCACTCATCGTTAACCTGAACCAAACTGCCCCCTGCTTCAGGATATTTTTTTGGTTTTGGGCACCCATAATGGTTCTCATTCGCAATATGTTTTTCAATCTGAAGACTTTGTTTTTCACGTTTTATATTTTCATGTAGCCTATTACATACAAAACATTCAAATGCGTCAAAGTAACTAGGCTTATTCACATCCTCGCTAACTTCCCATTCTCTTTTAGACATAATATACTTCAGGTATTCATTTTTCACACCGGTTCTTTTAAACTCAAGATATTTATCATATTCTTCGTCATTTTCATTGAGAAATGTTAAATAGTTTGTGAGATCTTTGACTGTTTTGAAATCATCCACAATAATAGCCGAACGGTTATCTGGAAGAAATTCCTGAAAAATAAAATGTTATGTGGTCATTTTTTTACTGCAACATATAATATTTTCTATTAAAGGTATAAACCTGCCTTTCGCATCAATTCAATTGCTCTCTTTGATATTTCTTCCTGCGAGAACTTTGTCTTCCCGGCATCCATAAATTCCCGAACAGCTTTTATATCATAGAGCGAATTAACCCATTCTTGAGAGTGCCATTCGTCCTCCACACGAACCAAACTCCCCCCTTCTGGATACTTCTTCGGTTTGGGGCACCCATAATGGTTTGCATTTACAATATGTTTTTTGATCGGAAGACCCTGTTTTTCACGTTTTATATTTTCATGGAGTCTATTGCACACAACACATTCAAATGAGTCAATAAAATTTGGTTTTTTCCAATCGTTATTAATTCCCCATTCCCTTTTACTCATAAAATCCTTTAGGTATTTATTTTTTACACCCGTTCTTTTAAACTCGAGATATTTATCATATTCCTCGTCATTTTCGTTGAGATACATTAAATAGTTTGTGAGATCTTTAACTGTTTTGAAATCATCCACGATAATAGCTGAATGGTTATCTGGGAGAAAGTCCTGAAAAACAGAAAGACATGGTCATTTTATAAATAATTAACTATATAGACTAATAATATAAACTTACAAAGAGGAGAATTGTAAATAAATAACCCAAACTCCAAAAAGAGGTTTGGTGAATCACATAAATGGCAGGTCACAATGGCTTTTTCTAATTTAAATGATTCACACAGAAAAAAATTCATAATTCGACTCTTACATTCTTTCAATTTAATTATTTTTATTGTATCACTCATGCAAAATACTTTTGAGATTTTTGAAGCAAAAGATTATATCTGAAAGTATAGAATTCACCCCATTGTGTTTTGTGCCACCTATTAAATCATCATTCTTATCAAAATATCAATGAATTCCCTGCACCACATTTTTCATCACTATTAAAAAATAGTAATTAAAGCCTAATAGTATTTTGAAACATACATTGGGTCTCAACATATTAGACTCACAGCCACTGTGTCTGGGCAACAAGATGGTCTGGTTTCTACTAGCAGAATTTTGTTTTCTTCATTTGAACCCATTTTTTTAACAATTTTTTCTGTGTAATACATTGCAATATGTTGCGACCCAGTGAACATTGATTTGTATCTAACATTGTGAATGAATGGAATAAAGAATAAAAATTTAAAAAGTCCCACACCGCAGAGATCAATCAGAGTTTCATTCAGATATCAAGATTATCATATGAAAAGGTTGGAATATATTGTTAAAATCCACATGTTTTAAAAACATTTTTTCAACATTACTTTTAGACATAAGTCACTTTCATAACATGAGAACTTGTGGTACTTTTGTACATTTTGATGTTGTTATTGCCTTATTATATAAATTGATGAAATCTAAACAAAAATATTACAATATAAAATTTTGTTTTTTAAATTGCTGCTGAAAATATGAATTTATATCAAGAAATGTATTCCTGATATGGTTTCATTATCAATGATAGCCAGCTGTCTGAATTGATAAATTGATAATAGATGTATAGTACATGTACAATGTACATAGTATATCATCACATTTTCATTCCCATCTTAATACTCTAGTTTCTTATCTATCAAGTATACGTATACATTATATATATACATGCGTGGCTTCAGTCACACTGCTACAATATGGTTCCATTTTTAATTTTGCTTTTGTGATTATGTGATTTACTATGTAACCAAAAAAGGGACTTAATTTGAGCTTTTTGAGAGGGGGGCTTTTAAAGGAAAATACTTCAAATCATCTGAAGAGAATATTTTTTATGAGATCTACTCCTGCTATAAATACATTGATATTTTATTGAAACATACTCGGAATATATAAGTATTTAACTTTGTTGGTTTTAAGTCAATCTACAGCCGTACAGTGTGTTGAAGCAAATATCTAAGCAAAAGTGCTAAACCCAGCAAGAAAGGTAAACTTTAAGTATAAACCTGTCATAAGAACAATAGACCCTATACATCCTAAAACCATGATCTAACATGAAAAGAAATATCTAGCATACATCCCCTTCCCCCTCTAAGTTCTGGATTATATTTTGGGTTTTTACTCACCCGTACTTTAGGTGACCCAACTATAATGGGAACGCTCCCCACAAATAGAGGGCGCCACAATTTCTCTGTCATATAGTCATCACAAATTGCATTTTCTGCTGCCATGGTGAACTTGTATTTAGCTTGGAGCTTGTAAAAATCCATGTGGTCCATACCTTTCAGCGCATCTCTAAGACTGAAAGCATAGAATTTAGGGTTTATAACAAATTCAGGGTTTATCATAATTTATAAATGTTCCCTAGACATGACTATTTATCTCCCTGATGACAAAACTACATTAACTATTTTAAAAGGGTGAAGTGTTTTCAGGAAAAGTTCTCTAAGTCAGTTATTAAAAAATTAAAGTTACATTTAGTGGTAGGGGTAAATTCAAAATGTTTTGTTGATGTAAATCAAGTGAATCTCATACAGGTTTTTGCTTCCAAGTAGAGAATGATATTAATTGCATCATCACACTTTATAACAAATTGGCATTGGGTAACGCTATCAGGAAATAACTAAGGGGACAGTTAGGTGGGTTCGAGTGAACCTCCTGGAGAAAAATTCTTTCAAGGTCATGCAGTTTTTCACCATTTTGAGCACTTTTTAGGTGATTTTTGACCAAGAAATCATTGGCAAAAGCTGTCTGCGAGCTTAGCAATGTAGCTTATAACTACATGACTTACTGTTCAGGCAGGTCCTTGTTATGTACACATTTACCATAAGAGTCCACCTTTATGTATTTCTGCATCATCTCAATAAGATGGTCCCTATCTGATGGAGTCCCACAGTCAGTATGTACGTAATTGACAAGTGCTAACCCTTCTTCAGTTTGATATTTATTCTTCTTCACTGTTGGTTCTTGTACAAAAGTCTTTTCTAAAAGTTCGACACTTTCCAAATACTGAGTTGCAATACTCATGTCTGATTCGCGTTTAAATGTTGAAGTATGGTTGAACAGGCTCATTGTCTCTTCGTGGGAGTAGGCGTAAACATTTTTAGGAGATTCTTCATGAAGAAGTGCCCATTCATGGTGAGGTAGGCGAGGCAGAGGGAGATCATCAAATTTAATGTCTGTTCCATAGAACATAAACACCTGGAACATAGATTCTGATCAATACATATAAGAACAAAAAGGAATGATTATATAAACACCCCAAAAATAAACAATGACTATATAAACACCTCAAAAATAAACAATGACTATATAAACACCTCAAAAATAAACAATGACTATATAAACACCTCAAAATAAACTTTGATTACATAAGCACCTAAAGAATAAACAATGGCTCCATAAATACCTAAATAATTAACAATGACTATACAAACAACCCAAGAATAAACAATGACTATATAAACACCTCAAAAATAAACTTTGATTTCATAAACCCTCAAGAATTAACAATGACTACACAAACACCTCAAAAATAAACAAGGCATTAACATGCAAAATGTCACAACCTGTGATTTGTTACAGACGCTTACCACCAACCCTTGAACATCGTCCACAAAAAGACTATAACAATATGTCACCAATTTGGTGGTGACATGACAATGGCTTCATAAACCCCTCAAAAATAAACAATGATAACATGACCACCTCAAGAACTAGATAACGGCAACTCCGTGGAGTAGCAAATCCCAACAAACAAAATATCAATTACCGAATTCCAATCAATTATACTCATTACTTTGGTTAAAATTGAAAAAATTAGATTTTAGAATTGCGAATTCCTGCAAAGCAGCCATTTTGAATTTTCTGAGGTACAAATCTGAAAAATAATACCATAATTGTGATCTACTCCAAAATTCCTTCAATTTGAGTATAATATAGTCATACTTTGAAGGGATCGAAAAATTATTGCAAAATCGTACATTAGACGGCCATTTTGAATTTTACGAGGCTTGAATCAGAAAAAAGATACAATATTTGCAATCTACTCTTAATTGCCTTTAATTTGAGTATAATAAAGCTATACTTCAGAAAGATCTAAAAATAAGCGAAAATTTCTGTTTTCCTGACCCCCCATATACGGCCCCTGGGGGTCAGGATGAAAAACACGGAATATATGTGAAATAGATAGATGTTGCGAATATACTACCAAAATTTCAAACAATAATATTAATTACTTTGGTTTAGAATGAAAAATTTATGATTTTTGTGAAAAAGTCCCATCATTTTTAAAGCGGCGACCATCTTGAAAAAATTTTTTTGGCGTAAAACTATTCACCAATATACATCTTTCCACTAAATATGAAGAAAATCCGTCTACTAATATTTGAGTTATCTTCCGGATGGACAGACGGACGGACGGACGGACTGACGGACGTCTTGTAATATATAGATACACTGTCCCACATGTTTTGTTAAAGAGCAACTGAAGCATACAATCTTTCCACAAAGATAAATTCAGACCAACATTTGGATATCTACATCATATAGGTAGATTATAATTGATTTTATTTACTTGTCATATCCAGTATTTAATACATTATAGGTTTAAACCCATATTAATATTGAAGTCATATTTGGTAAGTTAAAATCCAGTATATATTAATTATAGGAAATACCCATATTAATATTTAAGTCATGATTGGTAAGATAAAAATCCACATTAGATATAAAAGCAGGTTCCTCAGGCTTGTGACTGGGCATAGGTGGGTTTAACGTTTTAGTCCATGGAAACACTCCCCTTCCCTGCATGGATTCAATAAATAAGACATAACTGGGTCCCTGGACTATATTAACATGTCCATGAACGCTTCAGTGTACGGTGTATTTTTATAGTTAACATTTTTCATTTGTTTTCCATTTTTATAGTTAACATTTTTCATTTGTTTTCCATTTTTATAGTTAACATTTTTTATTTATTTCATTTTTTATTTTTCTATTCATATATCTATACCATTTACTCAGTATTTTAAACTATTTAAAAAATCATATGTATATTTATTTTATTTAAAAAATTATTGTTTAACCTGTTAGGGTATGGGATTAATGGACTATTAGACTATACACCATGTGTATAAACCGGAAAAATTTTGTATAGTTTAAAGTCATTTTCGGACCACTTACCAAATTGACTGACGGACGGAGGGCTTCACTATATCCCTACCGAACTTCGTTGGGATAATAAACACTTAGCACATAAAAACGTCAAGATTTAAGAAACATTTATTACTTCATGCCAATTTATGTATAGTTTTAAATCATAGAATAAATACCTTTGTATTCTTATGATGCCTGTAATGTCTATCAACAGTGAAATAACATTCATTTGTGCCACACTTTTTGGTTGAACCTGGATCACCAGTGAAAGGCGTCCACCAGAGAATTATGGGATGTTGAATGTCTTCTTTTGTTGCCTTCTCTTCACCATCAGGAGCATCTATAGACTTGTGGTGATCCCCAACTTCCCAGTCAGCAAACCCTTGGTAATTTAAGTTAAAATTTATTACATCAAATCCCAAGTTTCCAGAGTTTGGACGATGAAAATAAATACAAAAATCAACTTTACTAAATAGGCAAAAATAACATAAATTATTACTAAAAACATAAAGTAAATGGGCAGCCAAACGGAGAATTGATTAACATTTTTTTTACCTGACATACCCTCCAAATTTACAGTATGTGTACATGTATTTCAAACTACACGAAGCTGATGCTATCCAATTTGTTCTATGGCCCCTTATATCAGGCCCGGAGCCAGCTTTTGCCAAGGAGGGGTTCACTTTTCAAAAAATTCAAGGGGGTTCATATTTCACCCAAAATCAAATGAAAATTTCTGAGAATGGTGAAAAACTGAAGGCTACGTGCCTATATATTAATATTTCACTTACCGTCAACAGCTCCGGTGTCATCAGCTTCAACGTAAGTGACATCATTACTCACATACTGCAAGTAAAGACAAAATATTATATTTCCGAAGATTAGCATATTGCTGTACGTGTAATATCTCTGAGAAGCCCATGGTACAATTTATGCCGGTTCATCGTTTTATTTATCACAAATTTGTCGGGTGGGCTGTTATGTTCTCAGGTTATGTTATGGGGGGGGGGGGTATTTTTGTGCTCACCCCATTAGTCGTCGATGGAACTGAAATTATATTCTGCTCTTTCGTCACATTTGGCATCCATCTTTGCCATATGGACATCTTTATGTCCCCATTCACTGTCTTCAGCAATGGTGTTTGAGGACGCAGGCTGATTGGTCGCATAGTCGGTTGTGAGTTATAAGCAAACCAATAAGCGGCACTTTTGTCACTTACCTGTGTAAAACTCATGCAATTAATGTGATACTATTGATGAACATACATGTATTGCTGTTTTACAAAGCAGTATATGTTTGATGAAATGATGCAGCCTTCCCTAAGAAAGATACAGTTTGGAACAAAATAAATGACAGGTGGATTTTCTATCACCATTTCCTAACCATGGTCGTCTGAAAGCCCATAGTTTCCAATCTTGTCTAGATACATATCCCCTGAAATTTGCATATTTCATATTTTGTATAATCTCATCCACTGATGTATAGTCTCTTGAAAATTCCCTTATTTTTAGGAAATGGAGAAGCGTCAGAATGGGCCCCCGTTGTATCAGGTATCCCTCAAGGGACATGCCTTGGGCCATCCCTATTTTCTATCTTCATAAATGACCTCCCAGATGCTACAAAGAACAAAATACTAATGTATGCAGATGATGCTAAACTGTATGGTTGTGTACAAAACCAGGAAGACAAAAAAACAATTACAATCGGACTTAGATAAAATGACAAAATGGTCAAAAGATTGGCAACTCCCCTTTAATACTGACAAGTGTAAAGTAATGCACTTAGGAAACAAAAATGATAATCAGGAGTATACCATGGACAATAAAACCTTACAACAGACAGTGTTAGAAAAAGATCTTGGAATCAACATAGACAATCAACTTAAGTTCCATAAACATATCGACATACGAGTAGCTAAGGCAAACAGCATCCTCGGATTAATAAAAAGGACATTTTCTCATCTGGACAAAACCACCCTACCACTTCTCTACAAATCCCTCGTTAGACCCCACCTTGAGTATGGAAATAGTGTTTGGAATCCTTATACAATATAGACATCATTAAAATTGAAAAAGTACAAAGAAGAGCCACCAAGTTAGTACCAACCTTAAAAGACTTAAGCTACTATGATAGGATGAAACAACTAAAACTCCCCTCCCTCCAATACAGAAGAACTAGAGGTGACCTAATACAAGTATTCAAGATAGCGAATGGTTATGACAGAATCAAACTCAATGACATTGCACAAAAATCAGAAAATAAGATGACGAGAGGGAATACAGAAAAATTAAGCCATAGATATAGCAGATATATCTTCCCCAGTCTGTAATAGACACCACACATATAAATCAATTCAAGAATGGAATTGACAAGACCCTGATGAGACAGAAATTTCTTCACCACAACTAACCTAGACTATATCCTATTTAGTCTGAACACCTATGTTAAAGTTTGGTAATTCTGAATATTTGTTTACATAGGAAGTGCTATTCAAAATGGCTGATTAGGTAAAATTAAATTGCACATTTGTTACTTCAACTAGCTTTATTTCCACTTGACAATATGCTGTGTTACTTTTTATTGCATTTAATTGTACCTTACTATTTAATTGAAATTTTGTAATGTTTATTTTATTGAAGAAATGGTTCCTCCAATTGATAATTTTGTGCAAAAAATGTCACTGCAATTTCCACAGGAAAGTAGTACATCATAACAGACTGACTTCTAGTCAGTCTGTTGGATACATACTAACAACTAACCCATGTCCAGTGAGCAAATAAACAACACCCCCCTTTACATGATATGAAAATAATACATAAAAAGATCTGGATTATACAGGACTATCCTTCTTCCAGAATTATTATAGATATAGATGGGAAATTCTCACTTCAGCAAATCCACCTGTCATTTATTTTGTTCCAAAGTGTACTATTTTTTTCATGGCCCAAGTTCGTCGCTAACATGATAAATATAAGAGTTAGCTGACGTTTGGGAGTCTGACTTACCTTCTAAAGGTTAGAACCCGAATCTTAATGAAACCATATCACCTTTGTTGCATCGATGATGATGCATAAACACAGCATTTGATAGAAATGAGTGTAAATGCTTTTCCGACTTTTTCATTTTTCATCAATGTTGACTTCCGGGAAGGCGTTGCAGGGGTTTCAATAAAGCCCATGCTGAAACTTATTTCACTTAAAATAACTTAGGGTAAGGTAAGTAACAGTGAATTTTATTTCTACATATTTGAACAGGCGTAATTGAGATTTGAACAGGCATTTTCACCACCCGCCTGTGCTAATTGAAACCCCTGGCGTTGTAGTTATCATGATATTTTCCGACTTTTTCATTTTTCATCAATGTTGACTTCCGGGAAGGCGTTGTAGTTATCACGAAATAACGCATTGACCCTTGACTTTACTTTGTTGACGTGTCAACCAAGCATGTCTGGTGTGAAAATTAAAAGAATATTAAGCAATGTTCTACATCCGCCAAGCCATGGGCTCTACCACCCCATGGCCAAGCTAAGTGAAGTAGCCAATATTTAAAATTCCCAATTTCAAGTGAAGTACGCAACGAACGAAACTGCGTGATCTGCACTCCCACTATTGGTCTGAACGAAATGCTACGTAGAATATGAGCCGTCTGCTGTATTAGTCGATTAATAGAGTAAGACCTGTTGGTGATGCTTTATAATTTAGACCAAAACATTGGAGAACAAACGAACCTGTAAATCGTGAAAACAACGAACAAATATTCGGTTTTCACATATGTGATATGGTTTCATTAAGATTCGGGTTCTAACCTTTAGAAGGTAAGTCAGACTCCCAAACGTCAGCTAACCCTTATATTTTACTCGAGTCTCTAGCTTACAGCTAGACGAAACTTCATTGATTTCGTATGTACTGTGCTACACGCACCTACACGCATCTAGAACTCATTTTTAATAAATTTTATAAATATTTTTAAGAATATTAATCATATTTAGGATGAAGCGTTGCTTGTCTGGATTTAGATATTTCAAAATTTCATTTCGGAGTTTCAACACATGGTGAAATTTTCTCGCTGTAGCTAAAAATGGCTTCCGGTTCTGGACGTGAATAACATTTGAAATTATTCTCGCTTAAAGAAATCAAATATAACAATAGATTCAGACGGGGATGTGAGCTGGTGTTCTTCAAATTTATACATAAAGGTATATTTCATATTATTATGCCATATTTACTGTGCGTGTGACACAATGATTTACAATATTTATAATACTAAGGCAGCTCAATCTTCCTCCTCAAAGCCGGAATATAGAGAAGGCTTTGGACCGAAGTAACTTATATTTAGCATGTTAGCGACGAACTCAGGCCATGAAAAAAATAGTAAGAAGTTTGAACACTTTTTTTTTTTTTTTTTTTTTGGTACAAGTTTACTTTTATGTCTTCTTTGGTCAGATAAAATGCTAGAGACATTGTAACCTCATTTGAAATTAGCAGAAATGACTCACCTGAAAGCCTATGATTGCTAGTGTCAAGAAAACAATGAAAAACGACAGTAGAAAGCATTTGAACAAACACCTGTGCCTTGCCATATTTTTGCTTCTTTCTAAGTTTCACTTCCACTTCCTTCCCAGAATGGGAGTACTCCATAAAATATTTTCAAATGTATTTTGATTTTTTCAAAAATGCTGTTTTGACCAAATTACTTCAGAACTGTATATAAATTAATGTATAAATGTTATTTTTGGGATATCTATGTATGTAGTTGAAGAAATAATCTTAAGATTCAAAATGATAATTGATATACAGTATGCTCCTTGACACGAATTTAAAGTCACGTGATACTAAAGTAGCCATCTTGGAAAAATATCGAAAATCAGAAATGGCAATATTTGATAGAACTTACGGCGGATACCGCGTATTTATCGGTGATCTCGGAAGAAGTGTATCGAAATACGATCTAGAAAGAGAATTTGAATATTATGGAAACTTAATGGATGTATGGATTGCTAGGTTTGTGAAGTTACATGTATTGTGATAGTTTCGTTTTAGATTTTCTCAAAACAACATGGCTCATCCTGATTTCTAGGAATCAAGATTGTTTATCTTGTATTTCGAGGAACAAGCTAACGATTTCCTCTAGAGTAAATATGATATATTTTTAGTACAGATGTTCAGAAACAAGGAATATTGAGTCTTATTGGTCCACTAGTGAAGTGAATTGAAATTACTCACTTCGAGAGCCATGTTAGATTTTGAAACTTATGGCTCTCAAACGGAGAAGTGAACAGCTGATCAATAGTGACCTTTGAAATCGAATTAAGTCGATCCGCGGCTTACTTTTGGTCTCTAACTGTGTCTTACATCAGTATCATCAATCCGTGTAAGTATTTGAGCGCTGGAGTACTTATTTTTCGATCAAGACTTGTAAATTGTTCATCGAGTGAAAGTTTTTTAGACCTATTTCCAATATGGCGGTTTGCTAGGTGCGAGATACGCAACGCACGAAATGAATTTTGAGAATTAGTTAGGTTCGGACAACCTCCGGAGATTAGTCATATAAATCCGACCGTTGTATGCTGTTCTTCGATAATCCTTGTTCTTATTTGGATATTTATTGTTTATCATTTTCTTTGCATACACGGTCGTAGATATAATATGGAACAAATTGCGGTAAACGCTTTTCTGGCCTGTCTTGGTAACCATAGTTACCATACTAACCAAAGTCACACAAATTATCACGTAATTATTTAGCTCAAACATCAAAGTGTTAAATCTTACCTTAGACATGTAAAACGCTTGATAATTGACGAAATATAATCAATTGAATTATATTTTCATTATCGCCCGCCATGTTGCTGATTGTTGTTTCCGGTAGTCTAAATGTATAACATGTATCGAAACGGAATCATAATTATTTACTACACAGAGATCGATTTTAAAGCCGTTCTCTGTTACTTATTACTTTTCTCATTTTGAAACAATAACTTTTCCAAATAACTTCCCTTCTTAACGACACTGCTTCCCTTTTACTGAATCTTCGTGTAACAAATACTTATGATTTCGTTTGAAATAGTTTTACATCTAGACTATCAGATTAACCCGGAAGTGACCTTGGTAGGCAAAATGAGAAAATTTTAAAATTTAAGCAGCGTGCTTATATTTCATCAATTACCAAAGTTTTACGTGCCTAAGGTAAGATTAAATACTTTATAGTTGAAGCAAAGAAATTAATTTATCATTTGTGTGAATTTGGTTGGGTAGACATGCCAGGAAAGCAATTCCCGCAATATTGAAGCGCTAGTTTGTATGACCCTTGTATGCAAGAAAATAAGAAAAAATAAATATCCAAATCAGAAAAAATAACAACAAATAACATCATACGAGGGTCAGATTTATATGACTACCGGAGATTTACGAAAATGTCCGAGCAGAAACCGCCACATTGAAATTTGGCAGTAAAACGATTCACTCTACTAACAATTACAAGTCTTGATCGAAAAAGAAGTACTCCAGGGCTCCAATACTTACACGGATTGATGATACTGATGTAAGACACAGTTAGAGACCAAAAGTAAGCCGCGGATCGACTTAATTCGATTTCAAAGGTCACAATCATTCAGCTGTCCAAATGCTCCGTGGGAAAGCTATTATATCAAAATCCAAATAGCTTTCGCAGGAAGTAAAATTGAAATATATGCTCAATTTCTCATTCACTTGGGTTGACATCATTTTGTATAATTTTGGGTAACCTCGACATATGGGGTTACTTTGACACCTTGGTATTTATTTGCTCTAATTTCTGATATAGTGGAAAGTCATATTTTTTCTCTCGCATGGATCGAGATCTCACAAGATTTTTTTTCTGAAATCAAACATGGTGGAAAATGGAAATTCTAATTTTTCATCAAAGATGGCGAACCTGGAAATGTGAATAATCTGCCATGGTCGGAATAACCTAATTGTCGAAGTAGCCCAATGGCAAAGTTCAACAGATTCCCCTTAGACTAGCTTTAAACTTGGTCACCATTGATAAGTGGTGATGCAAGCTGTGTTAAATATATGTAGATGTTTATCACAAAATTACAATAGACTGAAAATTACTGTCAGTAAAACAAAAAATTAGCAATTGAAAGACCACAGTGCAGTATTATACTGTTATATGGATAAATACTTCTAAATTATACTTGCGAAATGTTTGGAAGTTTGTCACTCCTTATATTAATTTAAGTTTACAATTTTCGGAAATCTATTCTAACACATAATTCTATTTATATTTTCAGAAAAACACCTGGTGTAGCTTTTCTTGTCTATAAACATGCAGATGATGCAGAAAATGCTGTTCATGACAGAGATGGACGGTACGTAGCATTGCCCTATACATCTGTATTAATAATAATGCAAACAGAATGTTTGACATATGGTTAGTTAAGAACATTTCAAAAAGAACATCTAGAAATAATAAATTCTATCTGAAGTCTTGAACCAAAATATATATCATTTGATTTTATTATTTCCAGTCAAGTTTTTGGGCGCCGAATACGAGTAGAACATGCAAAACCATATGAGAGGAGACAGCGGGGTCCTCCTCCACCGCGCTATGGGGGAAGTTATAATGGCCGAAGAAGGTATACAAAATATGTTACAATAATGCAAAATATTTCACCTATGACAAATATGCAGTTTTTGTGTTGTCTTTGATAAAAAGATATTGTCTGATAAAAATAAGCCAAGTAAATTGGTGAACATCGAACATGGAACAAAAATTAGCATTTTTTCTGAATTGTTTCTTTTTCGTCATTTTTTCCACCTTTTATCCATGTTTCTTGTTCCTAAATTCTTCTTTAAAGTGTGCTGGTTTGGGTCACAGTCACAATATGTTGAAAATAAACTTCAGTTGAGTGTCATTATGGCTCTGGTTTCTACGTTGTACTTTAAGTATCTTACAAGTGTCCGGTGTACATTATGTACATGAAATATATGTAGTTTTAAGGAATTGGTAGGTCATTGTTATGATGTTTGAAAATTGGGTGCTGGGTTTTCAAAAGGCAAATGTTTGTATTGTCTTGATTTAATTTAGTAAAAGACTAAACAAATGTAATCACCTTAAAAAAGAGCTAGTTACTGAAAATGTTTGTGATTTTGATGCCATATTCAATAAACTATCGCATTCATCGAAGGCATCATTTAGAAATTTACTCCTCACTTTACAAAAGCTTGATTAGTAAGACATGTTCATCGAAAGTACCCCATACAATATTGCTGCAACTGTTTTTGTATTACATTTGTTTAGACTGACTGTTAAATAACTTTGTGTAGATGTAGGTCATTCAATTCATCCTATTTTACAACAATTCTGTTTAGGACCACATCCCTACTCATTAAATACAATGACAATGATGTTCACAAGCTACAGACTCTACTAGTAGCATCTAACTATTGACAAACGCCACAAATTGTGACCAAACAAACAAATATACCCTTTAGTACAACACCCACAATTGAGTTAAGCCACACCCACAATTGACCAGGCCACACCCACAATTGATCAGGCCACGCCCACAATTGATCAGGTTACGCCCACAATCTCCTAGTCTCCTTGTAGACAGGATTCAAGAATTGACAAACAACTATACTACCGCTACTAAATGCAATATGCCCATATATGGGGCTTTCTGCACTTCAGTGTACTTAGAAATGCACTTGAACTATTCTTGATGACATTTATAGGTAAATAGAGTGTGTTGAATACTTTGTATTGCCAACTATAATTTTATTACAATATATGCCCCATTCTATTTTTATGGCATCACCAACGATTGCTACCATATTGTATATAAGTATATATTTTTTATTGTGCTTTGTAGTTTGGCAGTCCATTTAAATGTTCAGCATCTGTAACCTTTTCAGTAACTTACCAAGCGGTTACTTTTTGTCAGGTTTAAAAATATCAAGTTTTTATTATCCTATTGTGATTGCTTTTCAAGTTAATTTTTCAAACCAATTTTCCCATTTGATTCTTTTTTCCTTTAAATTTTGTGTAGTTTACTCATGGGGCACATATTGTATTTCAAGAATTGGCATTAGAACATATTTAATTATGTAAGTATGTCACGGAACACTTAAATCATGAATTTCTCGAAAATGCATGCTTTGTGATGATTCCAAAATTCAATTTTTAGAAAACATATACTGAAGTGTCATGTCATGTAAATCTTGCACAAATGGTTTTGTTTTTAAGCCCTATGGTTCTAAGGAAGGAGATGGCCAACAATGGAGTACTTTATTTTACATCACACACAGAGCAAAAATCGTAATATATTTAGATGTTTTCAGATCAAGGTCGCGATCTCGAGGAAGGAGAAGTAGGTCAAGGTCAAGAGAACATAGGCGAAGGTCAAGAACAAGGTATGCTCATTTACATGAATTAATCGAGATCCATATTGTACAAATAATTTTGGTTCACTGTCATTTATGTACCATAACATCAAATCCAGCAACATTAATAGTTAATACATTGTGTTGTTTGTGGATGTGTGTAACAAATGGCAGGTGGTGACATTTTGTGGACATTTACTCAACCATCCCTTATATCAACTGATCATAACAGGTTGTATTTTATGTGTTATATTAAGGTCACCCCGTAGAAGATCAAGCAGAGATAGGTCAAGGTCACGAGACAGACGTGATCGTTCGGGGGATAGACGTGACAGATCAGGGGATAGACGCGATAGATCAGGTGATAGACGTGATAGATCAGGTGATAGATCAGGTGACCGACGTGATGGTTCAGGAGACAGACGTGATGGTTCAGGAGACAGACGTGGCAGTTCACGAGATGGACGTGGTGGCTCACGAGATAGACGAGACCGCTCAGGAGACCGTGATAGGTCAGCTGACAGGTCACATGACCGAGGAAAATCAAATTCACCAAATAAAGAAGTAACCAGGGACAGGTATAGTTCTCTAATATTCTCTTGTTTATTAATCAGGAACTTTATTAGAAGAACAGTTTCGACAGATTATATACAACTTGTGTTTGAGGTAGCGCCAGTGTGGGTCTTCAAGTTGCAGATTTTTTCAGATTCAAATTTTAAGGGTAAAATTGTATGTTCGTGACATAAAAATTAGAAAGAATACCAGAAAGTGTCTTAGATTTTTGACTCAACTTTTTTTGAACTCATTTTCAAATGTAGAAAGGGCTCAAAACATGATTCATATTTTACTCTTCAGGAGCCGTAGTCCCGGAAATGCTGACACAAACCAAGAATCAGAGAATAGAAGGTAAATAGTCAATGCTATCACTTGATGCATTTAAATAGATAACTAACATGTGAAAATGTTAAACATGTTTATCAAAGCATACAAGGGATGTTTCATAACAATTTTCAACTTTTTTCAATTTTTGAGATAAGTGTACTAAAGTTGTGTAAAAGCAGCAAAATAGACACCCAAAATTTTCAAGGCATCAAATATTATCGATCACCCCTTGTATGTTAAAACATACTAAATTTTAGATCAGGAAAGTGGGATTTATATTTTAAATTGAATCATTTTACAGACCTGAACACAAAGATAAGAGATCTGCCAAGACCAAGTCCAGGTCTGACAAAGATAAATCTGACCAGGATAAATCTGGCAAAAACAAATCTGGCAGAGACAAAACTGTTCAAGAAAAATCAAATCAGAAAACAGGGTAAATTGTTGTTGAACCTAAAAAGTGGTTGATCTTATATCCGACCTGAAAAGTTCAAAATTGTCATAAAGTTAATGTTTTCCTAAAATATGCAATGATTTTGTCCGGTGATTGTGCTTCCTTTCTTGCTTTTGCAGAATTTTGATGATCGGGATCTCAAATTTGTTGATTAGTGTAATGAGAGTTATATGCACTAATTTGTCATATCCAAAAATGATAAGTAGAAATTTGTGTGTGAAAATTTGTAAGTGAATGACATGATTTCCCTGGAACAATTAAGGATTTACAAAGGAAGAAAGGACACAATTAACAAAACAGTAACAAGATCAGCCATTATGAGTTAATAGATGTGATCGGTTGTCATAATAGATGTTATCGGTTGAGCGGTTGTTTTAAAAGACAACTATGGGTCAGCTTCATTTTCATTGTTGTGTTTAGAATTTTGGGCTTATGGTATATCTTACATGATTGTGTATGCTTCATGTGGTACAAATAATGGTTGTATGGGTTACTTTATGGGATAAATTTTTGATATTGTTGTTGTATGTCCTTACTATAAGCAATATAAGACAAACATGTATCGAAATGAATTGCAGAAAATAAACATGCCAAGGAATGACATGAGCAAGACATATTCTAAAATTGAAACAATTTTTTTGTTGCCCTGCTTGCTATATCTGATTCTCTCTTTAAATTCATTCATTGTCTTGTTCCCACCAACCTTTACATTCCTTGATGGTTTGAACACCATTATTGTCAGAGTGCTCTGCATCGTGTAGCATCAAGCCCCTATGGTAACTGGAGGAGTATTGCACTATATCAACATGCTATCAATGAGTTATATTATATTGCAAATTGTCTAACCAAAATATAATGCAAATGCCTGGCCTGTCACTGTTGAAGGAACTCAACCCTTTGAATCATTCCAGGTCCTAAAAAGGGGTCTTAATATACAATAGTACTGTATTATGCGGTCTTTGATTTCATAAAACTGATTGGCCCATTTCTCATATTAAAAGCATATATTTGATAAATATTGTCAAAATAAAAGCAATTTTAGTGAAAAATTCGGTGACAGAAATATCCGTCACTGCATCTCATATAAGGATTTTATTGGTGGAAAGAAATTCATTCTATGTAATCAAGAGAGTAATGTTAAACTATTTGATTTCTTCGTCAGGAGCCGGAGTCTTTCGAGCGATAAATCGTAGGGTAAGCAACACTAGAGACACCTATTGGTCATCACCATAACTACCAAACAGTCTTCAGTTTCGAGTGTTGCTAATGCTTTTCTATCTTTTTAATCATTCTAAAAATAAAAAATTTCCCAAAGATTCCTAGATTTTGAAGTTATTGACTATTTATAGATGGCAACATATAAAAGGTTAAACTTTTCTCTGATGCCATTGTGCTTTGTGTATAGATTCCATAGTACTTGATAGTAGGTAGGGCAGTCATAATACTTCTTCATTGAACATTTTGTGTTGTGCACCAATCTCTAAATTTCTTTACACTCTTTCTGGCAAATATAATAATTGTTGAGTGGTTTGTTTGTACAAACATGTAAACTGTTTTAAATGATCATTAATTAGTTTAAATGTCACCACCACTAGTGGTGACATATTGTTATAGCTCCAATTTTTGGTGGATGGTGTTCTGTTGTTGGTGTTCGGCATTCAGAGGTTGGCATCTGTAACAAATAGCAGGTGTTTTTGTTCAGGGCTTCCTGTTGTGTTTGTCCTTTGTTTAGTGATACAACAAGATAGATTCCTTCAACACTGGGGTCCATTTTCATTTTACAATCGTAACTTACGATTCATATTCTGGATTACACATTGTCTTCTATGATAAACAAAATCTAAATTGTTAATGCACCCCTTATTAATTCACTCAGGTGAAAGTCTCTGGGTTGAACTAGTTTACTTTATCATGGGCGTACGTAACCAGGCATTTGCCTTGCCAAAATGAACCGACTATAATATTAAGTATGCTACAATATATTCCTATAAGAATATTTTGAACCTCATATAATCCTTTGAACATGTGGAAAAATTCAAAACATTATATTTTATTCATTTTTTCAGCGATGAACGGCATTCTCCTCCAAAAGAAAATGGCAGTGGAGACTTAAATGAGCAACAACAACAACAACAAATGTCCCCATCACAATAACAAACAACAATAAACAATCTCTGATCATTACCATATATGGTTACAAACTGGATTTTTCAGAGAAACTCCATATAAGGAAATTCCATTTAACAATATGCCAGACATACATTTCGTATGAGAACAGAACTATTACTAAATTATTTCGTTTTGATGTATATATAATATCTTTCATATTTCTACAAAATTTTAAAGAAAATTGTGCATTATTTCTTCAAATTATCTTGTCATCAGATTGCCATTTACTTTATTTTGTAAGAAAAAAATCATCCATACCATACTTTTTGGTATGAACATTATATAATAGATGTAGAATACATGTGTGAATGAAACATCCTATACACCATGAGATTTGAGGAGTTATTTTATAGGAACTCAAAACTTACCATGTTACTTGTAAATATATTATGTCTCAAACTTTTAAAAGGGATGGATTCAGAAAATCGACAAGGGGTTGACACCAAAAATCTTTAAGCTTCGATTGAAAAAAAAGCAATTTTTGGACCCCCAAAATATACAATACACCAGTGTTCATATATTTTCTTAATAGAGAGAAATAAATATACAGATTTCTGAACTCAGTTTTGTACAGAGATTGTGCTTGTTCATACCCAAGTGTATTTTGACATTAGAGGAGATAGGGACATTCTTGGCCACAGGGCATTCCGGACAAACCCTTGGTATCAGGTGAAAATCTGGGGCATTGTTTGAATTTTTACAATATATAGCACCACATCGATAATATGATGTGTCTAATACGAAGTTTCTATAAAGAAACCATATAAAACAAAGAATTATTGAAGATCGTCCGACAATGCCCCGTGTTCAAGGTTTCCCCTATGTCCTCTAAGGTCATTTATTAGGGCAGTTGAGTTATAAAACAACCAGACAACAAAAGGTGATTTTTTAAAAAAATGAATGGCTTATTTAGCCCATTCCTTATAGTTTATCAGTGGAGAATCAAGAAAAATGGCTTCCTGTTTATCTTGTCATCAGATTGCCTGTTTTGGAGGCTATTTTTGTCAAAGCCACCTTTTATTTCTTGACTGCCTTGTACTTCTAATTTTAGTCACAATATTTCAGGTTTGTAAATAGTTTCAAAATCTTTCTACACTATATAGATGAGTGAATATACAGATAAATATAAACAGTCTTACAAGTAGTCCTTAGAAATGTGATTCATTCATACACTCCCCTCCAAAAGTTTGACTACCCTCACTCCTATTGTATATTGTGTTGAAGCCTGTTATGTTGAATTTTATCATCAAATATAAACAGGCATCAGCATTGCTAAATTTATGGAGGGGGTGTACACCTGAATAAGTTTCGTAAAACCACGTATTTTGGAGGAGGTGTACAGTATACCTGAATTAGTTTGATAAATTTACCATGTATTTTAGAGGGGTGTACACCAAGTCCCATTAATTTGCCATGTATTTTGGAGGGGGTGTACATCTGAATTAGTTTGGTTCTACCATGTATTTTGCAAGAGGGCTGTTTGATAGACATAGAAGAAATTGTTCAGAAAAGCATGACTTATTTTTTCAGTTCCCATTTGGGTGCATCATAAGCACCAGAACAGAGCTGGTTACTTTTGATTAGGACCAGCTAAATATCTTGTCGACTGGTCCGTAATTTTAGATTAACCAGTAGGTCTGGGACTCTTATGGTGCAACCTGGCCCTGGTATTCATTGTATATTATATTTAATCCTGCATATATACTCCATTCCAAAATGTTCAGCTTTATTGTACAGTATACAATCATACATACTTGACACAGATCCAAAATTGTTTAATCATTCATTTAGTAACTTGGGCATTTTAGAATGAGTCTTCAACAAATATGGGAACTTGCACTAGATGAAAGAATGTATTTCATATCCCGTCATTCTTAGTTGAAATTATTTTTTGAATTAAAGATAAAAAAAAAATGATTATAAGGTAAATTAGCTGATATATCTACATGTACTTCATGCGATGGGAAGTTTTATAGATAAAAATGTATTCAAACTTTAACATCCTGTGTGTAAATCCATTATATGTACTACGAAGGAAAGATATCAGATATATGCACTATGAAGGAAAGATATCAGATTCTGTTATTTGAACAGTTTTATAATAAAAAGGAAAAATATGGAACTTATATTGTTATTTGTTAATTTAATTCTTTTGTTAAGAGAAGAGTTTCAAAACAGAATACTCCATTGGTATCTGGGTAACATTTTGAAATGTTAAAATTTCCTCATATAAATAGAAAAGAGGGAAAGTTTGAAATCTGCCTCAGCTATTTAGAGAATATGTCTTTCAACTGAGTTTACTGATTTTGTGAAACTGCGTATTTGAAAAGGTCGGTGATTTTGGTGTGCCTTTCTACAACACTATATTCAATAATACTACACAGGCCCGTAGCCAGGATTTGCCAAGGGGGGGTTCAGTTTTCAAAAATTTCCAGGGGGCGTTCACATTTGACAATTTTGGCCCAAATTTGGCTAAAATCACTCGAGAAGTGCTCAAAATGGTGAAAAACTGCATGATTTTGAAAGAATTTTTGGCCAGGGGGGGGGGGTTCGTCCGAACCCTGCGAACCCCCCCTGGCTACGGGCCTGCTACAATCAAGGTTTTTACTTTTGTGTTATTCTGTATTATTTGATCTTCAATTTCTCACAAAGATGCATCAACTACATGCTCTGTAAGGAGAGTGGGACTTTCTCCCAATGTACTGAATGCCAATATGCTAGTTAAATTGGGCAATCACTTTTCACTCTTGGCAATGAACTTGGAAAAATAAATGTCTATTGGGCAATGTACTGAATGTCAATATGCTAGCTAAATTGGGCAATCACTTGCACTCTTGGCAATGAACTTGGAAAAATAAAATGTCTATTGGGCAATGTACTGAATGTCAATATGCTAGCTAAATTGGGCAATCACTTTTCACTCTTGGCAATGAACTTGGAAAAATAAAATGTCTATTGGGCAATGTACTGAATGTCAATATGCTAGTTAAATTGGGCAATCACTTTTCACTCTTGGCAATGAACTTGGAAAAATAAAATGTATATTGAGCAATGTACTGAATGTCAATATGCTAGTTAAATTGGGCAATCACTTTCACTCTTGGCAGTGAACTTGGAAAAAGGAAATGTCTATTGGGCAATGGGCTGAATGCCAATATATTAAATTGGGCAATCACTTCACTATTGGCAGTGAACTTGGAAAAATAAAATGTCTATTGGGCAATGTACTGAATGTCAATATGCTAGTTAAATTGGGCAATCACTTCACTCTTAGCAATGAACTTGGAAAAATAAAATGTCTATTGGGCAATGGGCTGAATGCCAATATACTAAATTGGGCAATCACTTTTCACTATTGGCAATGAACTTGGAAAAATGAGTTGTTTATTGGACAATGGACTCAATGCCAATATGCTAGTTAAATTGGGCAATCATGTTTCACTCTTGGCAATGGACTTGGAAAGTTGCCTATTTTGGCAATGGACTGAATGTCAATATAGTGAATTGTGGCAATCATGTTTGAATCCAAGTCGCAAACCCTCCTTATAAGTAGCAAACATAATTTCATTCTAGACTCTCAAAGGGCTGTATTGTAATGCCAGTGTCTGTTTCTCAGAGTAACAATTGCCATTTATTGGCAAAACAGATTGACAAAATTGATGTTTTGGAATTTGGTGATGTCAAAAGCGAACTCATCAATTATTTAAAAATAATTTCTCTATGCCGCAGATATTGATCTGTATCTTCTATGAATTTTAAATCTAACAACAACAAATAAGTTTTCTGTTGTATGACATTGGCAGTAGTATATATACAAGGAACATTTCAATAAGTGTAGGCACTGAACTGATCAATTTAGAAATCAACACCTCTGGAAACATTTAATACAAGAAATATGAGACACAAAAGTAGACATCACCGTGGCCATCATGGGCCTAAAATTCAATTGCGCTTTGGGATGGGGTTAGCTGGGTCAAGCACGATGGGGCAATCTCAAGCAACATATGGGCCCCAAGGATATGTACCCCCACCCAGGAATCACAATGCTCTACCCCAAGGACCTCACAAATACACCCTGGGGATTGGATTACTTGTCGTGGGACTTGTGACATTCATCATTGCGACAATAATCATTGGAGTGGGACGATCAATGATTTTCTGGGGGGTGAACCCTCTCATCGTCGTGGGAGCAATTTTCTACCTGGTTGCCATAGTGATCATAACTGTGGGGGTAGCGCTGTTTCAGAATGCAAGGAGGAAGAATATAATGGCTCTGACAGTCGGGACCGAGAATTACAACATCCCCCCAGGACCTGTGGTTACAACTATACAGCCCATGAACCACGCCATCCAGCCAATGTGAGTAAAATTGATTTGAAAAGACCCGGACATTGATCAATTGTTGCATATCAGTTTTTCATATCAATTTACAAAAAATGTGTCTTACATATTTTACCAATTTGGTTTACCCCAAAAAATCATTGATGTGTCATATAATCATTGATGTGTCTGTGTCGTATATTTATATGCAATTCAGCAATTTTAAATTAGTACAGAGATGAGAGATGTAGTGACACTATGGTGATGATGGACATTTTTAAATACCCTTGTTATGACAGAAATGTGATTCAATGATTACAGCAACTTGTTGTTATATAAAATGGTATATAATGTACGAATGAAAAATAAATAAAAGACATGTTACTAATAATTTGTTTCCAGGCAACAAGATCAGCAAATCCAGCAACAATATTGGAACCAATGGCAACAATATCAACAACAAAACTCCCAACCATCCCAGAATCCCCAGGGTGCACCCCCTCTGGGACAGCCCAATGTACTCCAATATCCCCAGGGTGTGGCTGATCCAGGTCAGCCAATCCCTCCCCAATATCCTCAGAACCAGGCCTATTCATCGCCATACCAACAAGGGCCATCACAACAAGTACAGGGTCCTCCTCCTATCCAGGAGCTGACGCAAGGGCAGATATATCCCCCTCCATATCTGCAGGAGTCTCCTCATCATGGAGCTCAAGTTCAGGGGTCACCACCTCAAGAAGCTCTAATTCAGGGGCCACCACCTCAAGAAGCTCTAATTCAGGGGCCACCACCTCAAGAAGCTCTAATTCAGGGGCCACCACCTCAAGAATCTCTAATTCAGGGGCCACCACCTCAAGGAGCTCCAATTCAGGGGCCACCACCTCCAAATGACGGTTCATCTCACCCAAATGAGAATAAGGAACCAACAGCAAATGGGCAAGTTGAGAAAGAAAACAAAGTTGGAACCGAAAATAACACTGATGGATTGACGCCAGTGAATTAAGAACAGTATACTATGAAAACATTTAGCTCCAAAGTGTTAACTTGTTGATCAAAATATCTGAGTGTAACATGGACAGGGTGATCAATAACAGGCAAGGCCCCTCTGTTGTACATGATGAATTGGAACTGGAGTTGAACATTGGTGCAAAGGATTACACCATGAACTTTAACAGTGCATGTTAACCATGGGAGTCCAATAATAGATTCAGGTCACTGTCAGTCTTCTCCTTGTTTTTTTTGCAAGAAATACTAGTATATCCCCATTTTCATGATTTCTTCATTTTCAAGTGGTTGCAAATGGGTTTTCATTTGGGTGCAAGTCTTTTTGCAAGATCTCTACTGGGTCCAATGCCCACTTGATTCAATGCTTGGGAGACCAGAGATTAAATGTCTCATTAATTTCATATGTTAACAAACAATGTAATCAAACAACATGACAAACAACTTGTTTTGTTACTATAAAAGAGGCTTTTATTTACATCAATTTGAACACTAAAAGAATTTCTGTTAATATACAATTTAATTATGTATATATACAGTATATTACTATTCTTATATGTTCTAATTTTACATTCCTCAATTTTTCTTGGATATAATTTGTTACATTTTAAGTTTTGTCACCACTCTTGTTTTTTAAATAAAATCAAACTATGAGTTATTCATGAGAGTATTGTAATAAAGTATGTATTTAATGCATTTCATTTATTATTTAATATTGTCTCTAAATTCTCAACCTGAACCTGCAGGTCTTATTTCTCAATAGTTTTTGACCATACCTTGTTAAAGTATCATTATTCTCAAATCTCACAATTTTTAGGAAAAGTTATACCAATACACTTTGTCATCAATTCATGTTTTTCATTGTTCATTAAACTAACTTTATCATCAATTATGTCTTTAAAGGGTCTTGTCATCAATGCAATGTGCACTTTTAAATCAAGTATAGATGTCTTTTTCCAGTCATGAAAATAGCCAGGTCCCTTTAACATGTTTAAAAGTTTTAATGAATTGCTAGAAGTATTGTAACATCGTGCTTTGTGAAATAAAACTAGTACAACCCTATCACTTTAATAGTACCCCAGACAATATGTTGTTTGCAAAAAAGTGAAATAACTTTTTTAGAATGCAATGCAATTGTGATGTTTTACGCGAACAATTTTAGAACAAACCTAATCTCTTAACAACAATTGTTTCTTGAATATTGCTCTATTGGAGGATGATTGTTCATTCATTTTGAAATACATACCTTCAATCTCATTTTAAAGTTGTAGACAAAATGTTGTGTGGGGTACTATATAAATGATACATACCATTAAACCATCTCTAAATGTATAACAAAGTAACACAAGTGTATCAATAATACATAATATATATAACATACTCCTAACAACTACTTGAATTAAATCTTAAACCCTACTTTTGTACAGGGCAATTTTATGTTCAGTAATTAGCCCATTCCCTCGATCAACTCATACATGAAATGTTACGATGAGTTTTATTTTTGGTAAAGTTTATTTATGTGATACATATTATAAGACCTGATAAATAACAACTGAACCTGGGGCCAGTTTCCAGAAAGTATTCTTAACATTTAATATTCTGAAATATTCACGACATGCACCCCTGGTTAAATTTTGACCTGCTTCATATCAGTATGAACTGAGGGGGGGGGGAGGGTCTATTGATGTACACAATCAGATATTCAGAGACCTAAATTAGACCCCCCCCAAGATGAAATATTAAGACATTGGAAAACACTAACAAACAAATATATTGCAATATTTTAGTTTGACACATAATACAAACACATAACAAGGGCATATCTACACAGCTATTCCAAATCTAATATTTAGACAAACAGGGTGTCCAAAAAGTGAAAAATCTCTATAAACCTTTTTGGACACTCTGTAAAAATATTGAGAATTACTAAGATACATGATATACAAAGGTCGTACTATTTAACAGGGATTGATCATTTTTCACAAACATTATACGGAATAGAGTATTTACAGATATATTTTCCTATATAAACTAGGCCAATAAAATAGTAATATGAGGCACATTTCTCAACCCATGTCATCCTTTTCTAATGAGCATGTACTATAAAGCATGTGTCCCTATTTGCTAACTGGGATAATGAACATTTTAAAAGAAAATCTGTGTGAGGTTTTTCATTTTTTCATGACACTTTTCATCATACTTTCAAACATAAAGCTTAGATTTTTAATATCCCTAAAGACATATCGGAAAATATTCACCTTTAGTAAAACCTTTTGCATGAGCCTTTTCACAATTTGTTATGATTGAATACAAAATACAATGAACTGTATATGGGAACCAACGTATTAGTATTTAATGGCCTAACAACACAAGTCTACATGTACAGTGACAACACACACCACAATAACAATCTCTCAATCAGTTAAAATCCAAATAAATACAAAAATAAAATCTCTGTATTTGATTATGATACAATGAAAATGTAAGTTTACTGTAGGACCACTGTTTAAACAGCTCTGTCAAAAGCTGTAGGATCACTGTTAAAACAATGTCTACCAAAAGCTGAAGGATCACTGTTAAAACAGGTCTGCCAAAAGCTGAAGGATCACTGTTAAAACAGGTCTGCCAAAAGCTGTAGGATCACTATTAAAACAGGTCTGCCAAAAGCTGTATGATCACTTTAAAGCAGGTCTGCCAAAAGCTGAAGGATCACTATTAAAACAGACCTGCCAAAAGCTATGGGATTACTGTTAAAACAGGTCTGCCAAAAGCTATGGGATCATTGTTAAAACAGGTCTGCAAAAAACTGTAGTATCACTGTAAAAACAGGTCTGCCAAAAGCTGTAGGATCACTGTTAAAACAGGTCTGCCAAAATCTGAATGACCACTGTTAAAACAGGTCTACCAAAAGCTGTAGGATCACTGTTAAAACAGGCCTGCCAAAAGCTATGGGATCACTGTTAAACACGTTCCCCAGTTGTTCCTTAATGTAATAAGCAACACGGGTATTATATAAAGGGCACATTGTATAATCACTAAATACATGTATTTCTCTATTTCAAAATCCTTGTATTATTGCAATTTGGACTTTGTTCATGTTAGGGTGGTTCAGTCGCTTAACTACTAGAGAAAGTATTACATTCTCTTCATGTAGGTTATATACTGAAGCAAACAGCAGGGAGCTCATATTTGAGATCTGTTGGTACACACCAAATAAACATGAAGCGTACAGTAATCAGACTATTACTGTAGTATGAGCTCCTCGTGTCCGCTTGAAAGTTTGTGTGCCTTGATATTGATTTAATAATGAATACGAGGTTTTGAATCACTGGAATACATCAAAAAACTGGAATCATTGATGTATAAGAGTTACAAAAGAGAGACACATGTGAGTAAAATACAATGCAAACCATTTCTATTTGTGAATGACACTCGGTCTGGTTATGACCATGATTGATTATTCAATTCAATTTTATTTATTTCATAATTGATATAGATTACCAGATATTATTGTGTAAAACGAACCTGTTTTATTTACAAGACCACACATCGTAATTAATTAAGAATGTTCACATGTATACAGTACACGCAATGGACATTTATCCTGCTTTCATATTTGTAAAACATTCAACAATATTGTGCTTTTAATATCATAGTCATACCAAGGGTTCCTCATGCTGTTTATTATCATGCAAGGGGTCTTAATTCATATTTCCACAATGGTGGTTTCCAAGGAAAATGAACAGCATTTTTATTCAAAATTAACATTTCTGATTGGTCCGTGGAAACCATGTGACTAAAATTGACCATCTTATCCGCGTGTAGTTGATTCGGTCCACTTGGTCAATAGTCCTAGTCTCGCCATTTGGCTTTCTGCGCCTGAATATCATTCTTTAAATTGCATCCAAAACATATTCCCATAATCTGCAATATTACAAAAACATGATGGCTAATTTCGAGCAGAAATATACATATATCAGATTGAAAACATACAATGAAACAAAATCATACAATCTTTTTTGAAAATGTTCTTAGCCCGTGGTTGAATTGAGAGATGAAAATAGCCTTCTTGTCAAATCAAAAATCAAGAGTACACTTTCTTGGGTGTTTATGAATAAAATACAGTATTGTTTAAAATTAACGGGTTCTATATGGCCAAGTATTTACTCCAGTAAAAGTAACTACTGCACATGTCCTAGGTGACTCTGAAATACATACATTATATACCGGTGTGAAAGAAATTATGGTCCCCCAGGGATTATGGTCCCCCTTTTAAAGGCCCTTACTGGCCCTGATTGTGTATGAGATAATAAGGGAAAGAGCACAAAGAGATCACCATATAAATCAATGGAGGGTAGGACCATAAATTAATAGGACCTCCAACCCTTTTACACCGGTAATACACATGTCCTAGTTGATTTAGAAATTTAATCAAGCAAGCATTTCCTTTATTCTTAAACATGTACTATATACCTAGTGTACTCTTCCTCTTCAAAGCATAAACAAATATTACATTCAAACCTGTGAATTGGAACTAGTTATAATATGAATATCCCGATGTACAAATACTTTTTAGACCCAAATCTTGATCTTCCTGCTTTTGAAAACCTCTAAATCTAAAGTCGTGAACACTTTTAAGTGGAGACCCAATCTAAACAAGTAATTTCAGTGTAGTATACTTATTAAAATTTTTTATGTACAATGTATAAAGTGAAATGCAGGATGTTCAAAACTATAAGATAGTTTGGCTGCAGGGAGTCAATAAAGAAAAATATGAAAAATATCTGAGATACTAGTAATACAAACACATAACAGGGTTTTACAGAGAGGTGTTCACTACTTTGAGGTGTTCACTAGATTGAGGTGTTTACTACATTGACGAGTTCCCTAGAGTTATTCATGCATTAATAGGCCCGGTGTTTTATGTATATTTTTATATGTATTACTAGGTTCTCCTATGTATATGGTCTATCATTTAAGGATATTATACATTGAGTAATTGAGTTCCCCTTTTCATATATTATCTAATTTGATTATTCATACATTATTAAGATACAGAGATCCACATTAATTGAATTGAGTGGCATAAATATGGAGCACTCTGTACATAAAGAGACACGTGACATAAATATGGCACACTCTGTATATAATGAGACATGTGCCATAAATATAGCGCATTCTCTACACAATGAAACATGTGTCATACATATGACACACTCTGTAAATAATGAGACATGTGTCATATTCAAGACACATTTTGTATACAATTAGTCATGTGACATAAATATGACACACTCTGTATACAATGAGGCATGTGACATGAATATGGCACACTCTGTATATAATGAGACATATGTCATATTCAAGACACATTTTGTATACAATGAGACATGTGACATAAATATGGCACACTCTGTATACAATGAGGCATGTGACATGAATATGGCACACTCTATGTAATGAGACATGTGCCATATATGACACATTGTGCCTAAAGCTATTGAATAGACTGCACAAGTTGACTTAATACCTTGAAATCTGAGAGAAATTATCTAGGTGAAAATCGCTGAAAAACACATGTATATGATGAATGGAACTTATGGTATATTGTACAATGTACATGTAAAGTCTGTATACATTGTAAGTAAACAATGATTTTCAACTGCACAATTTCTCATACTTAGTTTCAAATAATCTCAAACTCAGCATGTACTTGTAGTTTAATTTCAAACTCAGGGAGATATATCAGTGTATATCAGCCAGTGGATGGAACCCTTAGACTAGCCGCCCTCACCCAAATGTATTTATTACTCCACGGACAGCCCTGGAAATCTGTCAAATTTCAACCATCAAAAGTGAAAGCCTTTATGATATCAATTAAACTGAAGGGTGCTCGATATTATCCATGTGGGCGATATTCGAAATATGACCCTCTGTTGGAGTTAATAGCATGCAAAAACAACAGGAGAAGATTCAGTTAAACTTTTAGTCACGTTCTCAAGAAATGAAAATGTCTAAAATGTAAACTATAAGTACATGCTTTACATAGTGTGGATGTAGAAGAATACAACCAATAATCAGGTATACAACCAAAATCAGGTATACAACCAATATACAGGTGTACAACCAATATAGAATAGTACAACAAATATAGAAAGGTTAAAGAAAAAGCTTGGCACACTTCAACACGAGAAAGAAAATGGTACGTACAAAATATTCTTTAAGCAAATTCAAAAGATGAAAAAGCTTTTTAAAAAAATATGCAAATTAATTTATCACTCTTTTAAAAAGCTGGCTGAAATTGTACAATATTTTTTGTTGTTATTAGCGAAGCAATCAACCTGTCAAGAAAGCTGAATGAGTGATTTTGTGACTGCATTTCTTGTTGTTCATGTACAAGCTTTTACAAAAGGATAGAATGAAGCTACAATTGACTTGAGGTGCCATGTATTGTATTAATGTTGAAAATCACTTATAACACTAAAACTGACTTTTTTCTGATATCAATATGTCTGTGACCAAACTTCCAAGATTTGATATATAAAGTTTCAACTAAAAAACACTGTGTAGTATTGAAAGTGATGATAGATGGAGTATTGGTGTGCTAATTTCATCACTAGATGGCAGCATAGCAGTGATTTAGCGCCATTTTGATTTCTGTGCCAAAATGTCACTTCGTAGATTTTGTGCAAAGCAAATTCCAAGGATCTGTAACAAGAAACGAAATGGGATAAAACACATTTGCATATACAATATCAATAAAATTGATAGAAACTAAAACTAAAATTGTGATAGTGAAATTCTCAGCTAATAAATCATTGTCAAGGTATCATATCTGTAGAGGTCAAAAGTCAAAACACCATGTCCACCAAAAATATATAACTATCCCTCCCTTCCCCCACTTAATAAAAGCAACTAAAGGACTCATCTCTTCGAACTATTCATATATATTTTTTAACCTTCAACATTTATAAAGATAAATAAAATTTGTCTCATAATCTATTGATAGTTAACATAGTTTTTGAGTTTTTATTAAATAGATATTGAATATCTTTCAACGATTACAGAAGAATGAATTGAGCATTTTGGTCTCCCTCTCCCAAAATGTTACATTTTGTGACAGACATTGGTGTTTGAAAATGACCCATTTGTACAGCTACCTTAGTATGTAGGTAATTTAGAGTTGCAATTTGGTGAGGTAAACTGTGTTAAAGTAAAACTAAACTATTAGTGCTAATCAGCAAAACAGGAAAAAATAACATAGCATCATTCATCAATAGGTGACAAATATACAAATTATCGAAGTACTGTAAATTGGTTAAAATTAGTAACAACTTTAATTTGGTGATTTTACTTATCTTAAGATCACACATTTAATTTTTCAGCATGGTATTTTGATAATATTTCTTCAAAATCAGCCAAAATTAATAACAAATTCACCTAATTAAACACTGCCAAACTAACCAATTTACGGTACGTAACACTACAATGTAATAATAATTTAAAAAAAGCACTTTGATAATGAACGCCCTCATTCATGATTTACCTGTTAGAGGGCTATACCAACGCTTGTAAGAGGGCTATACCAACGCCTGTAAGAGGGCTATACCAACGCCTGTAAGAGGGCTATACCAACGTCCAAACGTCAGACAATTGAATGGTGTGAGAAAGGCTAATGAACTTCATTATGAAGGTTCATGTATGAGAGACATTCATATTACCACTAATTTACCAATTAGACCTTCAATTCACCTGTAAAAGGGAGGCCATACCATTGAATGGTGTTATGCCCGGGTCACATTTGCTACGATTCATCGGCTGGCGCATGGTCGATTGAGTATTATGTTCAAAATTGAATTCAGTTTTGAATGAAATACTCAATCGGCCAGGCGCCACAGTGAAAATCGTAGCAAATGTGACCAAGGCATCAGAAAGCCTTAGAAAAGAGGCGACTTCATACCACTGTTCATTCATTATTTACACCTTCAATTTACCTGTAAAAGGGCGATACCAACAGCCACACCTGCGACTGGAATGAGATTTGCCTGAAGCCACGCTTCACCAGCCTCAATACAACCTTTATTGTACACAAGAGCTGAAGCCTTCAAAGTCTTTAAATCGGGGTCTCTTGTGTCATACCCACACTGCCTGTTGACTATGCCCTCCTGCAATATTCCAAATGAATCATTCAAGGCAGAAAACGAGAACGAATGATCAATTTTACAGTTTTGGACAAAGAGTTTGTAAGTTATTAAACAAGTCATCAATGTTCAAAATATATGAATAGCTAAAATATGTCAGGTTGTAAATAAACCGATAAAAGAGAAAGTTACCCCTCCATCTACAGGTTGGCAGCAGGAGAAAGGCACTCCACATTTTTCTCTGCTTGGAGATGAACAGTTGAAATAGATGTTACTTTCCCAATCTTGAGGCCCTGTTACTCCACAGCATTTCAGCTAAAATAAATACACCTTTTTAATATTTGACACATTTTTCTCTCCTTGGAGATGAAATAGATGTTATTTTCTCAGTTTTGAACTCTGTTTACTCCACAACATATCAGCTAAAATAAATATAAGTTTTTTAAATACAAATGACTCATTTTTCACATCAGCCCTTAGTGCAGGATTTATTTCTGTGTTTTCATTAACCAACATATTTTTCTATGCTCTATTTGCCAGTCTTGAGTCGATACTCATTTACTCAGAACTGAATATTTGCTAAATTTTATTTAACATAAGCTACCAGGTCAATGAATAATGTCCCAAAATATAATAAGTAATATTTCATATTTTATGTTGCACTTTGCACTCCTCCTTCCCCCAAATATTTATTGATTCTTTTGCGAGTCATAAGTAATAAACTTGCTTCCTTAATAAAATACAGTGTACTGTTTGTTAATAAAATGTACTCGATTGATACTTTTTTATACCTTTATTTTGATACCTTTTTATGTTATAAATTTTGTTTGTGAGTGACTGCATTTGGTTATGTTTTCCTTATTGATAAACATATAAATCATACAAATCTTTTGAGAGCAGGCCTGTAGCAAACCCCCGTGGCCAAACATTCTTTCAAAATTATGCAAGTTTTCACTGTTTTAAGAATTTTTGGAGTGATTTGGTTCATAAAAGTCAAATTTGAACCCAGTTAGAATTATTTACAAACTGAACAGGACTTGAAGGGATTAGATCTTATATGTTCTAATTTATAATGTTCATTTAAACACTAAAATGTTTTAGCTCACCCAACTGTCTTGTACCCAGTCAATGAGGTTCTGTAAATCAGGGTCATCTCTATACTGCACTATAATGGTTTGCATCTGTGTCTCTATTTGGGTTTTAAACTGAAATAAATAATAATTATTCCAAAATAATCAACAATAGTTGCATTTATATTATACTTCTAAGAGCTCTAACATAAAACATTTCAGAGTTAAGATATCTCTTTAAGAAGGAGGAGGTTCAGGAAGTCCAGTATATCTAAATTAATACATTGGTCATTTTATTAGTTCCCATAGTAATATGTAAATCTACAGTTTCTCTAGACATCTTTTCAAACCCTGGTCATTGCAAGACCTCTTGAAGCGTAAGATGTCTTACAAGGAAAGTGTTAATCTATCTGTTTTAGCTAAGAATTTTTTACATGAGTTTTAAACTGACAACAACGAAATACTAAATTCAAAGCAGAAGAATCACTGTTTTGGCAAATCCTTTTCCCATGTCCTTTTGAAAAGCCGCGAATCTTCCCATCTCTCACACGTTTTCATTCCTTGCTAATGATTTTTTGAGAATATATTTGCTTGATCCAGATCACCATCCCTTTAACTGTAACTTCCAAGGCCTTCAGCTAGTGTTGAATTGATGGTTCTTTCATTTTTGATTGTGATCTACATCCTCCAAGATGTAAATTAATGTAAACTTGCCTGAATTTTTGTTAGAGCTCCTAGCCAAGATGTCTTGTAATGTGTTGTATAGTATAAGAGGACTAATGTGAAACTTAAAACTTGCAATTATGGTGAGTTTTTCAACAATATGTTTTATTTCATTAGATGAAGGTGTTCTCATTTCAAGATTGCTTAACATGCGAGTCAATGGGGGAATAGCAAAATGGAAAGTGATCACAATAATTCAGAGGTTTTAAGATTAGATAGGTTTTCAAAGTTTTACAATAATATATAATTTTACTCACCCAATCTCGATATATGAATCCCAGGATTCCAACTGCCAACTGAGCAAAGAATATGATTCCCACGGAGACGCAAAACTGAAAAACAAAACCAGTACCATGGTAACTGGGATCACATATTGTAGTGGTAGCAGTCAAAAAGAGGATCATTTTGAGTATTTGTCAACAGTTCTTGGCACTTTTGGGAATTAATCATGTGCCTCCTTTCTGGAAACTTTTGAGCTCTTCTTACTCAGAACAATTGTAAAGCTAACATGACATAGTAGAGAGCTTTCAATATAAGTTTTTTTGAATAAGTAATGCAAACCTGTACTTGTACAAGTCAGGTATAGCACTGGGGAGGAACTCTGGAAACGAAGATAGTGTGCTTTCATCCTTCAAATCACAACAAAACATTCAACAAGTATGTAGTTTGTGAGTTCCGGTTTCAAAATATGATTACAACTTAGAAATTATAATTCTTCCATTGCTGGGATATTCACAAATCAATACCATAGGTCTAGATAAGCTGTCGCCATTGGCCAATTGCAAATATTTTTAGCACCTGGCAAAGATATTGATCTAAATATTTGCAAAGGGCGAAGATCTTTGTACTGAACCTATCCAAGAAACAGATAGTACTATATTATTGGGGAAATTCTAATTTTATCCGTAATTTCACCCATGAGACGCCACAATTATTTTTGCTTCAATGGAAATTTTACACGGGGCAACTTCATAAGATCTGTTGCGTTTGGTATTTAAATGAATCAGTCAGATGATTACATTGATGTGCGATGTGCTATATTTGAAAATAGCTGATGAGGATTCGGACAAAAGAAGACGATAAGCATTTTCTTTTGACTGGACCATTGAGGTCTTTCCGACCAGATTAGAAGGCGGGCAGGGGTAACCTTTAGCATTTAGCAAGTAGCATTAGCGGGATGACAACATGTATAAGTAATTTGAAGTACGCTTATTGGCTAATAATTTTTTCAGCTGATCTAGACCGCTGGTCAATACCCTGGATTAGGAAATGATGAAATGTACTTTCCTGGTTTCTTTGAGAAACCTTCCTCCCCAGTGGTGTTACATCATCTTAAAGATAAAGTTTGAGTATAAGTTTGGCTGAAAACTTATATAGAAAGCTCTTATTGGAACATGAACCTGCACATTTTTTCAAAGGCTATTTATATTTCTTTACTTTCTAGTTCATTGAAATAAAATCATTGACTATTTGTGAAGTTATTGAACACATAATTTTCAATAAAAGCTATGATAGGATCATTACAAAATGAAAAACAAAATCAATACATTATTTTGTGATTTATCAATACTAAGCTTGTATTCGCGAATGCAACTAACGCCTGTCGGCTACTGGATTAACCTACTATTTTATGGGTAACTCAATTAAATATGAATAGTACCTGCCATTATTCCATTCATATTTAAAGTAGTTGGACCAAAGTGAATTTGCCTCCAAAAAGTGTAACCAGAAATAATATTTTTCAGACATTTTTTTCAACTTAAAGTGTTAAAATAACATTCAAAAGCTGTAATATAACCTCCTTTAGTCTGATTTTGCATGAAATTACCTCACCAAATTTTTGATCCTGGCCATGCTGCTGCAACAGTGTAATAGTGAAAATGCTGTTTTATGTACTTACAATGCTGTATTATGTATATATACATAAGTTATTGAATGATTTGAAGTACGATACAGGATATATTCTGCTAGAGAAATTTTGTATTGGAACGAGACGAAGCCGAGTGCCAATACAGAATACCGTGTGATTTTAGGCCAATACAGTTTACATAAAGGAGATAATCCTTTGGAAATATTCTGTATTCTCTGTATTGCTACTGAGATTGCCCCTCCGTACCAAAAATTTCTGTGTTGCTGCGGAGATGATCAATGGGGACAATCTCAGTAGCAATTCAGATCCGTACAGCACAATGACTGACCAATCAGAGGGCTTCATTTTACAGATCATACGATAAAATGATGTATATACTTATATCTTACAATGCTGTATTTTATACTTACAATGAGTAAGAGACATGTGTTCTCCCTGAGAGCTCCTACACAACCAGTGAAACCAATTAGGAACATGATACCCCCAACGATGATGAAGATCAACGCAGGGTCAACTGGGATACTGGTTATTTTTCCAATATTCTGAAACATTTCTTTTTCTGACCACGCCCATATTCCCACTGCAGCAACTGCACCACCAATAAGCTGTAAATATACAAGGCAAATAGTGATGAATATCGAACTTTCAAGAGCAGCGTGTTGTGATGTATTTCACCAAACATACCAAAAACTTAATGAAATTTGTTACAGATGCCGAAAGGCTGTCACAAAAAGTTGGATATCATAATACCACAAGCAGTAACATAAAAATGAAGTTAAATTGATAAGTGATAACAAGATTTTGTGGTATCTGCCTGTCAAATAAATGTATGCCTATTACGACAAGACCACCTTTAGCTGCAGTGTTTTCAGTAGGTTTGTCCAAGATTGCGTCCCTGGGACGTAACAATTTTCAAAAAATGTGTCTCCCCTCCAAAAACTGCGTCCCTTGAAAAAATGTTCCCGGGAATACAAAGTCGACGCTTTTACACTAACCGAAATAAAATTGATGAAATTTTGTAGCGCTTTTGCTATTTATCGGTCTAAATCAGTGTTCTGGCAAGTCTAGTATGTCATTGAATGATACAGATACCATCACTTGTGAGGTATAACTTATATTCAACCATTAGAAACACATTTTCTTTGCGTATTTCGAAGCAATTAGCTACTGATTTTGCTTTAGTTTAGGGGCAATCTATGCGAGGTTCAATTTTTGGTTCAGTTTCTTGCGCATTCTTAAATAATGATCTTGTGATTGCACTTGACCAAAAGAAAATGGTTTAAATCGGGTCTTCAGCTAGCGGCCAATCGTAAGACTCGTACTGATTACTGCTCAGATATTGAGTATTGGATAACTATTTGTCCTATCACATGCCTAGTACTATTTCGATCAGAAATCAACTTCCGGGAAGGAAACTTCAAAAGAAAATTTTATTTCTTTTAGAAATAGGATTTCCTTCAATTATTTAGTGGATTCACGAAGTGATTTACAAAATTCAAATTGCGTCCCAAAAACGTAATTATTTTTTTAATTAACGTCCACCCAATCTTGATTTACGTCCTCTCCATTGAAGGACGCCGTTAATGAAATCACAGCGCTGAGACAAAACCAAACCAAAAGTCATTATTTTTGATGGACAAAATTTACAAAAAATCATCTAATGGATATGATTTTCTGACATACGGGTAAATTATCCTATAAATGGTTTTATTAATCTAATGTCTTCTTAAAAAAGATATGTCTAATCGCAGATCAGTATTTATTTTTAACAATTTATAACAAACCAACTCTTAGAAATACCATGACACTGTGAAGTCAAACACATATGTAGCAACCAATATTAAAAGCATAAAAAATATTTCCATCATTACTAAAACTAATATTAGTTTTACATACATTACAGATGAGCCATATGAGGAATCCAAATGCATATCTCACATCCCGTTTGCAAAAACAATGGATTTTAAGTCTCATAGTACATTTTAAGTTTAGTTTGCAAAAGCAATTCATCTTTATCCAAAACAGGCTTTACATTTCAAAACAGTTTCTATATCTCTAACTGATATCTTTTTAGGTCATATAAGTTATCGTAACTTCCTCCTCGTGCAAAACTACACATTTTTATCCACAACAGACTTTATCCAAATCGGTTTTTATCCAAAGCTGTGATATACTTTCTATCCAAATGTAAAAGCAACACTTTTATGTGTGTGTGTATTATATCTATTTTTTACTATGTTCCAAGCTACATATAAAATGAACTATCATATGCCAATATTATATCACATACTTAATGAGGTCATACTCAAGTTCTTGAGGGGGGGTGTATAGGGGGTGTTTGAAATCCATATACAATATTTTTCACAGCTCTCATACCATATAGGATATTTTACAAAAGTTCAGGTGAAATACAATATACGATAATTTTGAAACTGCTGTTGAATAGAGTTTGGATATTTATAAGGAAATAATATTAGGAGAACCAATGTACTACAGTAAATGTATTATCATAAGTAAATGTAAATGTATTATCATAAGTAAATGTAAAAGATCTTTAACATGGACTTGGTATGTCAAGATATGCAAAGCTATCTCCCAAGAGATAGCTTTGTGCACACTAAGTAATATGTAACTAGAAGTAACTTTCTTTTAAAGGACCATGGACGGTTTCGCGAAAGATTTCACACAGTCATATTTGAACAGGTTTTGAACAGGTGCATATGTTAAGCCAATGCATTAACTCCAGGACAAGCAGTCATAAAGATGAAAAAATAATTTTGATTTTGATTTTTCTTCAAACTTGTTCCATTCAAAGCATAACAAAAATGCCTTTCTGTTGGTACATTATTCTGCTATACAGAGTCCCTACTTGCAGCGGCATTTGGGAAAGAATATTAAATTTTCAAAGGTGATAAACTCTTTTCAAAACCACATTCCTAGATGTTCTTTTACATGTAGATTCCAAATATGACATCAGTTTGACTGAATTTTTAATGATGTAAATCAAGATTATTTCTACTCACATCTACACGCGGTACTAACTTCGACCGTTAATTTGAATTTTTGACCTACCAGATGTTTGAAAATCAAGGATTACGAGTCTCATACTGCACCATTTTTCTTAAAACTTGTTCCATTCAAAGCATTACAAAAATGCCTTTCTGTTGGTACATTATTCTGCTATACAAAGTCCCTACTTTCAGCGGCATTTGGGTACCCAGCTGTGAGAAGGGCTTCTCACAACTGGGGACCAAAACGCTGCTACAACGAGGGACTCTTTACAATAAAGCAATGTACCAACAGAAAGGCAATTTCATTTTGCTTTGAATAAAACAAGTTTGAGGAAAAACGGTGCAGTATGAGACTCGCAGTCCTTGATTTTCAAACACCTGGTAGGTCAAAAATTCAAATTAACGGTCTAAGTTGGTACCGCGTGATCTAGTCTATTAGAGACGGATTTCTAATATAAATTTCACACAGTTACAGTCAGAGAATCTACACAATGGGGAATTTTAGGGTACAATAAGTCTTCTTTAATTCTTTTTGAACATACATTTAACCTGCTGGTGCCTTGATATATATTTTCTCTTATACCATAGACCATATTTTTTACATCTCTTATACCATATACGATAAATTCTGCCCCCTCTTATATAATATACAATAAATTTTCACCCTCTTATACGATATACAATATCTCTATACACCCCCCCTCTTGACCCAGATCACCTGAATAAACAAATTTGTAATGTCGTCTTAATTCAGCTTTTATTTATTAACCAGAAAAAAGCTGAATGAGGTCATACTGAGTTTTTGACCCAGATCACTTGAATAAACAAATTTGTAATGTTGTTTTTATTCAGCTTTTATTTATTAACCAGAAAAAAGCTTTGATATACTTTCTATACAAATGTGAGCTTCTTTTGTAAAAGCAACACTTTTTAGGTGTGTATCTTTTACTATGTTCCAAGCTACGTATAAAATGAACTATCATACGCCAATATTATATGACATACTTAATGGGGTCATACTGACTTTCTATACCTACATCACTTGAATAAACAAATTTGTAATGTCGTTTTTTATTCAGCTTTTATTTATCAACCAGAAAAAAGCAACTCCTCGGAGTAGCAAATCCTACCTAGCAAATAAATCTAATTCCAAAAACATATTTTTATGACGTGAACATTTCATAATAACAGATATAACCAGGCATAGGCAGTAGTATTCACTGAGAATCAACTGGAAACGAAGACATCATGTCTTCATTTCAGCATGGCCATACTTCCGATAGGAGCATTTAATAGGATCATTGTTTTCTTTATTTTATAACTGTTATCCTTCAAATTTGAATTTAACAGTTGGCCCGGATGTAGTGCGTCCAGGTTCTAATTTCAGGACATAAATACAGTAATTGCTTGAATAGTTACTAATCAGTTCCCTCGTTTGGGAAATTAAGACAGTTTCTCATAGAAACGAAGACATTATAAAGGTTTCTGAGGGATGAAACAAAGACAGCACACTTCAATGATATCTTCATGTGATACATAAAGTGGTCAGAGTCACAAAAACATGCGGGTATAATCCGTAATCCCCAAGCTGGATTTAGAATTTTACTGATTAAATGAAAATTAAATTTGCACAAATATAATTTTAGATAAGAGGTCATACAAAAAAGTTCAATGTTTAAATTTGCAAAAATGATTTAAGTTCTCCTGCTTTGTTAAACCTTATCATTGGAGTATAATTTTATCATTACTTATTTAATTATCACAGTTTCAAAAATTTATACTTTACTCCCTATAAGTGCAACCCCTACTTCTTGACTATTAACAGATTCAATCTAGATTAAACCTGGATCGGCACCTGGTGAATAAGGCAGAAACATTGAATGAGAAGTTTGTAAAAAATTCTCCTGGTTGAATCTTAGCCAAAATTAAAATGAATAAATTGCCAAATGATAACATCAAATAAGTGTATTATTCAATGAAAATAATGAGGGCAGGCCCATAGCCAGGGGGGGGGGGCGGTTCGAAGGGTCCCCCTAAGCCAAAAATCTTAATCTAATGTCTTCTTAAAAAAGATATGTCTAATCGCAGATCAGTATTTATTTTTAACAATTTCTAGCAAACCAACTCTTAGAAATACATGACAATGTGAAGTCAAACACATATGTAGCAACCAATCTTAAAAAGCATAAACAATATTTCCATCATTACTAAAACTAATATTAGTTTTACATACATTACAGATGAGCCATATGAGGAATCCAAATGCATATCTCACGTCCCGTTTGCAAAAACAATGGATTTTAAGTCTCATAGCACATTTTAAGTTTAGTTTGCACAAGTAATTCATCTTTATCCAAAACAGACTTTACAGTGCATAACAGTTTCTATATCTGATATCGTTTTAGGTCATATTACATTATCATGACTTCCTCCTCATGCAAAATTACACATTTTTATCCAAAAACACTTTATCCAAAGCAATTTTTATCCAAAGCGTTTTTTATCCAAAGCTGTGATATACTTTCTATCCAAATGTGAGTTCCTTTTGTAAAAGCAACACTTTTTAGGTGTGTACATATGTATATATCTATCTT